GGGGGGGGGGTTAGGGAAATAATCGAGGGGTTTATCTATATGATAAATCTAGCTTCAATGATTACGTCTCGAAGGCTAGACTGATATACCCTAGATTCAAGTTGTCGTTGTGAGGAAAGATCGAATGCATCATCCTGAACCCAATAAGGACCTTCTGAAGACGAGATGCATATGCGCCCCGCGCGATTTAAATGATCTAGAAGCATTGATGATGTCGCCGCCTTAGCTAGGGGCTTGAGAGATGGCAATACAGAAGTTCCTTTCCCGACCATGCGAGAGTGGTTAAGTCGTATGGGTTTGCCTCGGTGTTGAATCAGTACATGTGACGGTAGATGGATAACACTCGCAAAAGGACCTGTTTGCCAGAATGGCAATCACAAAGAACCGAAAGCAGAAATTAGTCATTGGATATGAGTGTTATGAACTGATATGGTAGTAAACGGCATGCGTTATGATCAATTTGAGGAACGATCGCCCGTCAGCAGCTCCTTTCCCGCGGCGTAGTATTCCGCATCTACACTTCCAGCCTCACAGACAGCCTGAATTTGCATCAGCCCCAGCAGGCCTTTTGCCTTCGTCTCTCTCCACCTGCGGCCCACTGCGCTTGTGGCGATTGGGAAGCGTACCGCTCCAGATCCGGTAGTTGGGTGCTGAGACTGTGCAAATGAGATGGATGGCCCCTGCAATCTCCCTTTCTCTCCCGATGAATCACACTGTACCCCGTGGGATCTTGTGCGGCTCGCCTTATGGTTGGCCTTGGCTATGCCGGATGACATTGGCCAAGGCCTTGGCTCCCTTGTTTCAGCATCAAAGAGCTGCCGAGTGTGGACAACTAGAGTCTTTTTTAACCACCACGTCGAAAGACGGTGGCTTCTTCTGCAGACATGGCATTCAAAAGGTCCTCCAACTGAAGTGGATAAGATCATCATCAGAAGAGGCGCCTGATCGTCATGGTCCTGGTCGGCAGCAGCCGGCGAACATGGTAAAGCTAGAATTCGCTACGGTGATCGATCTCACTTCCTGAGGCAGATCATTGATAGACATTGATTATCTGGAATAGACAGAAAGCATATGCTTTCGTGGTGATGGCTTCACTCTGATTTTCGTTGAATGTTACCGTCACTTCCCGCCCAGGAGGCCATCGTAAATCCTCCTTTCCGGTCTCCGGGGGTCGGGCATTTTGGGTAGCATCGCATTTACGTCACATTTTGAGCCCGATTATTTCACCCATCGTGAGTGGCATCGAACCCGAGAGCAGTACGTGCATCATGCATGGCTGGGTAGGGTATATGTTGCTGTCTACTGAAAATGGCAAGTAGTTAAGGAAATGAGCCGGGGGCATAGAGGAGACGATTTAGATAGGAAACACAGCAATAACAACCGACCATCTCAGTGCCGCAGTCCGTCTTGCAATGGGTGGCTACGTGCTGGAGATCTAATGCATCTCGGACGAGAGATAAGACTGGACCTGCTGCTTTCGACCCGTACTTTTGACTTGACTTAGGGCCGGGAGCTTCAGCTAGTGAGGCACGATCAAGTGGAAAGGGACCTTTGTAGTGGTCTGGTGGAGTCTGTCTCAGATTCATGCTTCCATAACGAGCTCTGCCATTCTGACTCCTGAGCGATCAGGGCCCACCCCTTGTTTGCCAGGAACCGCGAGTTGCCAATGAGTTGCCGAAATGCCGGGAAGTGTTGTAATCTACCGGTTCAATTGCGAATGAGTGCTCTAAAACGAGCTGAGATGTGGCGCCACTGCTCCGTCCCAGCCAGCACTTTAGTAGAGTGAATTAATATTATCTAATGGACGATGAGCTAGCAAGCGCTTTCCGATTTCCCTTGTCCCTGGTCGGCTTTGGACAAATAGAGCAATTGGGTTGTCAATCAACACCAACTTCCAAAAGTTCTCCCCCAGTTGTCACCGCATGATAAGTTCTGGGTAAGGCGAACCTGGATACTGTAGCACACCCAAAGGCCAAGCTGCATCTCAAGGGTCACTTTCAACAAGAGCGACTCGTATCAGTCAGAAATGGGATTTCCATGCTTCTTCCAGCGGACGTGCCAAGGAAAAACTGCCGATCTCGACAGGGGACTTGCCGAACGAGCTGCCAAATGGGAACAACGCGGCTGTGGCTTTAAGAGGTTCACTATGAAGTTCACGTAGATTCTCACGCGATCCATGCCATGCTGACTGCTGGCGCTTGGCTGCTTAAGGTAGGTTCAATGCGGGATCGGCAGTCACGCAGCTAAGCTTTGTGACTAGGCTGCCTGTTCAGGGAGTTGTCATGGCTAAGTAAACGCGCGATCGACAGAGCTTCAATTTGAAGAGGGGAAGATGGAGGGGCGGGGTGAGCCACCATATCACACCGTTGGATGCAGGGTTGTGGCGATGGCTTCATGGGTGCTCGTCTTGTCTGATTGGCGTACCTCACTTGATGTACGCCTCAATGCTACTTCAGCTCCGGAGTTTTATGCATGTCATGTAATGTGAGGCAAAGGGTCTAGTAAGTGACGGTCTGAACAACACCGGCGGAGTGAGCGGAGAGGGGTCGAGTTGTATGGTGGCCATGGATCCGCCACCACCAACAGACCCCTTGTCTGCTGAGAGGATGGCAACTGCTGGTATTGATAATGAGATATCTGAGAGCTCGTGAGAGCTACGTCTGAGGATAAATAGACGGGGCCCATCCGCTGTTTTTCGAATTTCTCTTCTGATCCTCATCAGCATCCTCTGCATCATCCTCTCCTCCTCTTTCCGAACCAACACCCAACAAACAACCCCAAATACAGCATCAAGATGCGTTCTTCCACTCTTCTCGCTCTCCTTCCCCTGGCCATGGCCGCTCCCTCCGGCATCAAGGCCAAGCGTGATTCTCCCGCTCCTCTCATCATCCCCCGCGGTACCAGCCTGATCGATGGCAAGTACATCGTCAAGTTCAAGAAGGACGTTGTCACTGCTTCCATCAACAGTGCTATCTCCTCTATCAAGGCTGATGCCGACTACACCTATGCCGACCGCTTCAACGGTTTCGCCGCCAGCCTCACGGAGGAGGAGCTGACCACCCTTCGTGACGACCCCACCGTTGAGTACGTCGAGCAGGATGCGATCATCACCATCTCGGCCACCCAGTCCAACGCCCCCTGGGGTCTCGCCCGTATCTCTTCTCAGTCTCCCGGTGGCACTACCTACACCTACGATGACACTGCCGGTACGGGTACTTGCGCCTACATTGTTGACACTGGTATCGACACTACCCACTCTGTAAGCGAATTTACTCTCTTGTTGTCACAACGTTTCGTGATGTGCTAACAATGTGAAACAGGACTTTGGTGGCCGAGCCTCTTGGGGAGCCAACTTTGTCGACAGCAGCAACACTGACGGACACGGTCACGGCAGCCACGTCGCTGGTACCGTTGGCGGTACTACCTACGGTGTCGCAAAGAAGACCAAGCTCTTCGCCGTCAAGGTTCTTGACAGCAACGGTTCCGGAACCAAGTATGTTCATACCTTGCACCCCTAACTCTATGATTGGCTTCTAACATGATGACAGCTCCGGTGTGATCGCCGGTATGGAATTCGTTGCTTCAGACGCCAGCAAGCAAAGCTGCCCCAAGGGTGTTGTTGCCAACATGTCTCTCGGTGGCTCCACCTCCACCGCCATCAACGATGCCGCTGACGAGATCGTCAACGCCGGTGTCTTCCTTGCCGTTGCCGCCGGTAATGAGGCTGCTGACGCTTCCACTTCCTCCCCCGCCTCTGCTAAGAGCGCTTGCACCGTCGGTGCTACGGGCAAGGATGACACCTTTGCCTACTTCTCCAACTTCGGCTCTCTCGTCGATGTTCTCGCCCCCGGTGTGGACATTCTCTCTGTGAAGGCTGGCGGTGGCTCCACCACCATGTCTGGTACTTCCATGGCCTCTCCTCACGTTGCCGGTATTGGTGCCTACTTCCTCGGCACTGGCAAGAGCGCCTCTGGCCTGTGCGAGAGCATTGCCTCCTCTGCCGTCTCCGGTGCCATCTCTGATGTTCCCAGCGGCACTGTCAACAAGCTCATTAACAACGGCCAGTAAATGGTTGGTTGTGTTTGGAAAGGAGAGCTCGGAGATGCTTGATCTAATGATTTTATAATGAAGTATATAGCCATAATGTAAATACTCAAACAAAGAATACAAGAATATTCTGATGTAAATTGCGTGCACTTTTGAATATCATGAAACAACTTGTTTGAAATTCATCCGGCAATATTAGGTTCCGAGAAAGCTGGGGGGAGTTTGTCCCCTAAAGTGGCGAAAGCAAAATAAAAGCACGTCAGGTAGTACACAATACAGGGACTAGTTTCTTATGAATAATGCTAAACGCAACAATAAGGAAATAATGAATTATTCTATAATATTTAACTTGATATTCTGTTTATTACTGGGCTGATTATTTTGATATTGTGTTGAAATTCGGTTCTCAAGCAAAGCAGGACACAAATATCCGTAGGTTTATCGAACGAAACTTTATGCAAGCCGGCGAGGGTAGTAGGATACGACAGTGGTTTGACTTTTGCCATTTGCCAGTCTCTAGTTCTCTTCATTTCTGAATTTCCTGTGCTATCTTCCATCTCTTCATCACTGGAATTCGTTGTTCAAGATGCCTCGTTTACCAGATGACCAGATCCAAGAGGCCCAGGGTGCTTTCGACGCCTTTGTCACGCGAGAGACTGGTCATCCTAGTGATCACGCCGCGCTCCTCCGTTTCTTGCAGCAACAGGTGCCCATGAGTACGAATATTAAGGAAGTTCGCGACCCCATCCCTGACCAAATCAAGCGTATCCAGCTTATATACGACACAAAAGAGAATCTTCAAAAGAGCTTTGGAGACGATTTTGTGTTTAACCACCTCCACTAGATCGGAATCCTCCTGTTTGGGGATGATCTCATCCAAGGGAATGACTACACTATAAGCGAGCGCCTGACACTTCTTGAACCATTTCTTGCGAGATGTAGGTCTTATGCACTGGCTTCACTGCAACAACTTACCAAGCTAACTCTGTTTTCAACAGTTCTCCAGAAAAGTACCGTCATACCCTCCAATCTCAACTTGTCAACAAGCCCTCACGAGCCTGGAGCGAAGGAAGTCAATCGAAACAAAAGTGAAAGTAACAAGGTACGAATTGTAACAAGATTCTCGCTTGAATAAGTGTGTTTGAGATTTCCTAACCTTGAATTTGGACCTTTAGGCCCTAGAGCGCGACGGGAAACGATGCCTCGTTACCGGCGCGATCAAACCTGATGTTTGTCACATCATCGCTTTCAGATTAAACAGCAACCCCGTGACGGAGCCCCAGTCTCGGCATATCTTTGCACGAATTCTAGTGCACATCCTACCTGCGCAAGACGGGAAGAACCTCATGAGGCTACTTTTTCCCACGCACCAGGGCAAACAGGTTCCCGGGGCTTGGGACAAAATATGGAACTTGTTGACCCTATCTCCCCAAGTTCATCGGTATAGGAGCAGTTGCTACTTCGCATTCAAGTGGGTGGGGGTCTTGAATCCCGACCTCAACGCGAAGACACAAACTGTGCAACTGGAGTTTCGATGGATGCCCAGGAGCATTGCTACTGCCTTAGGTGATGAAGGGCTCGGCAAGGCCAGACCCCAACACCCCCGCAAGGGTGACGCCTTTCGTCCGGTGAACACTGACACAATGACACCCGAAAGGATGTCTGAGATCATCAGGGATTGCATGGATAGCTCATCCCTCACATCAACCGTTCAGCCAAAGTACCAGCAGCCGACAGGAGAGTACCCAACCCTCGTTGATCATGAGTCCTTCCTCCCCATCAAATCGGGCTACATTATCAACGTGAAGGAGGTCATCAACGAGGATATTCCCAAGATGAAGCTGGCAATCGATTTGCAGTACGTGGCTATTCGGCTTGGCGGGATGTCTGGTGCTGCCGACGCCATTGACTCTCTGGATCCACAACTACCCCCTAGATACATGATCCGGTACAACTCTGAGATTGACAGTGTGTCATATGAGTTGTATACCCCGTTCCCGAAGTTGAGAGTGCTAGGTGACGAGGAAGGGGAGGAGGGAGGCGTTGACCTTATTCAAGCTGGCGGAGAACCAGACCAGAAAAAACAAGGCTAGCAGCTGACAGCGGATTGGTACAATCTACAGCGGAGGGGCCCACGCCGTCGAAAGGGAAGGAGATTGCAGTGAAGATGACGGAGGCCGGTGAATCATCCAACAGGAAGAAGGGCACGATGCGCCGCGCATTAAACATTAATATTTAAACAACCAACTTAGTAATGAGCATAATATTGTGCTAATTATCGTGGAACGATTTATTATTCTCTTATTATTGTGCTTAGCATTATTGATAGGAAATTAGATCCCTATCTTATATGCAAAGGGCTCCAGTGTGCCATGTTTCATGCCAGTTGCTTGATTGGATGCCAGTGCTGAGTCTCATCGCCATATATTAATTAACCTATTAACGATGTACAATTGGATCCATCAAAATAACCACGGGAAAAGTGAAAATGGTAAGGCTCCCGATTGTCCCAGCACCCATATGTCAAGAGCCGAATTGCCATTCTGTTCTCATCAATATACTCGACAGGTTGGACATTCCAATGCCCCTTCATTATCTCGTTCTGGCACTGGCCACCTTCTAACTCAACGAGGTAGAGATAGATGAAACTATCTCTCTCGCTAGCCCAGATCAATCTAACTTCGTGGCGGGTTAAAGGAGTGTAACTTCCTCAAGTCAAGACATGTCGGACTTTTCTCTGCAAGCAACACACGGATAGAGTCATCATATTTCATGCCAATTCTCCTCCTGCATTGATGGCCCCGCTGGATATACAGATATAATACTCGTCTCCATCTCTGCTCCAACTAATTTTGAGTACGGCAAATGGGTTGGAGAACAGATGGGCAGAAGTAAACATCTTATATTTAGCAGTTTGGCTAAAGAGTCGAGGGCGGTCAATAGGGTTGTGATCCCCGGAAGAGGATACAATTGCCCCATTGATACAACACCGTTCAACAGTTCATTTACTTCGTCTAGCGAGCGTAAAAACTAACATGATGAGAAGTTTACGATTCTAATGCATACGAATGTGCTAAAAAGGGCAAGGCCGAGTTCTTCCCCAACTGAGCTCATCCAGGACAAACTCTTGTGGGTACCATCTAAATGCAAGACATCGTCATCTCCCCCCGCATGCTTCAGACCCTGAATCATCCCCCTCTTCGATGCTGAAGGGAGAATTATCAAGCGACACATCTCACTAATCTCGGCATCTGCATTATCATCCGTCAATATCTCCAAGTCAGAGCCGGGAAATAGAAGTAGCCACTCCTTGTCAGATCCGCCTCCAGGATAACATTCACCATGGTAGCTCAAATCGTATCTGAGCACTTTAGCATCGGCATTGACAACACTACTGGAGCTATTGTCAGCATCTCCAATCCCGGCTCGGAAGGAGACATGAACTGGGTCAGCTCGCCTGACAACGCGCCATGGCAACCTCTGGGAAGTCGCTGGGGCATGGGATACGTTGATTTGGGCGCCGATGTCTTGCATAGAGCTTACTGGAAAAATCCATCCGTGGTCTGGAGCGATGTTACGAGCGTCATTTTAGAGTATAATCTAGGGCCTTTGCTCATCAAAGTCTCCAGAATTCTCAAGGATGGCGGGAAAACATTCCATGAATCATACAGCTTCAACAATGTGGGAACTGAAGACCTCAACTTGGATGGCCCACAAGGGACTTCTATTGCTATATTCACGCCGTTCAATGACCACTACACCAATACAGAGGACGCGCTTCAAAGGCGTGCACATGCCCACGTCTGGGCTAACGGGGGTAGCAATGCCTGGGTTAAGATGACCCAAATGGGTGGCCATGGTCCGAATCTGGGACTCGTGGTCACTAAAGGGTCGTTGCATGGTTATAGCATCGAATCTCGAGATCGCATCACTATGTCGAACACCAGAGGTGTCTTTTTACTTCATCCTATAATCGGTAAACTGGCCCCGAACGACCAAAAGACGATCGGTTGGTCCATGTTCTGGCACAACGATTGGGGTGACTTCTTTGAGAAGTGCGCTGAACGTTCGAACCAGTTCATCCACTTCCATATACGCTGCTACACTCTCGTAGGTGACGAAGTCGCTGCTCTGCAAATGACCGGTGGTATCAGTGAAAAGACTACTGTGAACGGTCAGAGCGTTGTTTGTGCAGGCAAGGGCCGTTACATAGCGAAAAGCGACACCTGGAAGGGTTCTATCGAGGTGAAAACCCCGGGCATAGAACATTCTGCAAAAGTCTACTTGAACAGATTGGAAAGCGTCGATGAACTTGTGGCATCTCGGGTACGATTTATAATAGATAAGCAACAGGTCTATGATCCCGGAACCCCCCGCGATGGCGCTTATGCCGTATACGATAGCCAGGCTAAAGTCATTTCTTCCTGGGACACCGATAATGACCGAAACCTGGGTCGGGAGCGTGTAGGGATGGGTATCTTGATGGCCAGATGGCTGAGAGAGCATCCTGGCGACGGCAAAGCACGCAACTCCCTTGAAAAATACTACAAGTTTGTGTGCGAAGAGTTGCAAGACCAGACTGGATACGTGTTGAATGGTCCCGGAAGCTGGGAAAAGCGGCTATATAACTGGCCATGGATAATGCAGCTACATATCGCAGTAGCGCTAACGGACCTCGACACCACTGGTGTAAATGGAGGTGAATCTCCCTTGGAAAGGTTCGAGAAGACCATGGAGAGTTTCTATCATGAAGGCGGTAGGGATCTCTATCCCATTGGCCTTCCGGTGCTTGAGTCTCTAAGTTATCTCCAAAATTTCGGCACAAATAATCTTCTTGAGCGTGCCAGGAAACTGTTCTTGGATCATGGTCAAAGAATACTAGAAAGGGGAGTCGACTATCCTCCTTTTGAAGTCAATTTTGAGCAGTCTATCGTTGCACCCGCCGCCATCGTGCTGCTCGAGCTCTACCGGTTTACCAAAGAACCGAAGTGGCTGGATGGAGCAGAGCTCCAGATGAAAATTCTACTACGCTTCCAAGGGAAGCAGCCTGACTATCGTCTGCATGATATCGCAATCCGCCACTGGGACGGGTACTGGTTTGGAAAGGATCGAATGTGGGGAGACACTCTTCCTCATTATTGGAGTACGCTAGATGCTGTCGCATTACATCACTATAGTTACGCCAAAGCTGATCAGGCATCCAAGAACAGGGCTGGCGGGATCATCTTGGGAAACCTGGCATTGTTTTCTCCAGATGGAAGTGCGAGTTGCGCCTGGATTTATCCATTGTCTGTCAATGGTCGAACTGGCCACTACAAAGATCCGTATGCTAATGATCAAGACTGGGCCCTCAGTCACCTGCTGTATCTCAAGCAAGACGATGAATACGGTCAAAAAGGGCATGAATAGACCTTTATGGATAGGATGCAGATGGATTTGAGTGTCACTGAAGGGAAAATAGAGAGCCATACGCTGAATGTAAAGCAGCCAGTCAATGCGCTGCACAGCCTATCTATTGTTACATACTTGAGCAGTTTAATCAACATACAATTCCCATTTTCTCACTCCGCCTTTCCCCAAAATGGGACAACAAATGAACAAACCAAGATCGAGTCAGGCACGAAGTCGGCTTAATCCCACCCAATCCTAGCATAGGTTCAGATCAGTGGTAGCCGTGCTAGAAGGAGCCTCAGTGCTGGAAGGGATCACAGTGCCAGACGGGACCCCGGTGCCTGAGGGAGGGCCTCCAGAGGGAGCGGTGCCGTTGCCACCAGGGCCGTCACCACCACCGCCGCCGCCGCCGCCAGAGTTAGAGTTGGTAACACCACCTTCCTTGTAGCGGAATGTGGCAGGGGAAACTTCTTTTGAAAGTGTGGTGTTGATACCGAAAGCAAGCCAGGCGAACAGACCCTGACTGACGTCGTCACCGAGGAGAGTGTACTGCATAACGGGGTCGACGCCTTCGGTGGCTACCTCTTCAGAGAGAATGGAATCATCGGCATTGAGCGTGAGCTCCTGGGTGTTGGTATTATAAGGCGGAAGCTGTTCAACGGCAGAGATGAGATCCTGGTCAAAGAAAGCCTGACCAGTGTGGCTAGAGTAATTCTCATTGCCTAGGGTATGGTTCTTCTGCTCGGTGGCGTTGGTGTGAACCATGATATGGATGTGGGTGGCTCGGCTGGTGTAATGACCCGGGAAAAGGGACAGGAACTGACTGACGCCATCCTTGTCGGTCTTTTGAATGCCGCGCAGGAAAGTCTTGTCGATGTTGCTCAAGTCGGTTGAATCGCCGTTACCCTGGGCATTCACACCGGAATAGACACCGGTAGAGTTACAGTGCCACATCTCAAGGTAGACATCAGGCACAGGCTCACAGGTATCAACGTCGATCACCTGATAGTCGAGGATGATCTCGGCTCCCTCTTGATCTTCAATGATACGATATCGGATGTCTTCGCCGGAGACATCTGAGAGTGCTGTTGTTAGTGATCCGTTTGCAAAGATTGAACGTAGGAGAAGGATTCTTCGAACTCACAGTATGGGCCCTGGGTAACCTCGGGTGTCAGGACACATGAGTTGATGCTAGCAAAGAGGGTGCTATGATCGGTATTGGGAGTGAATCGGAGATCAGTCAGGTTGTGGGAAGTGTTGAGGACTCCGTCGAGGTCGCGCTTCTTTCTCTTGGAACCGAGGAGACCTCGCTTATGGCGAGCATCCTGGACAATGGCCGCCCGACGAGCGTTGTGGCGAGCCTCAAGTCCGTTTTCTTGCCATCTCTTCACACAGTGGCTCAGAGAACGTGTCTCTATGGACTGGAGGAAATCACGACGTTCTTCAGCCTCCTGTTGGACATCGTGCCCGGGATGGGCAGCAACACCACTTGCGAGAAGCGCAATGGTGGAGAGTGACTGGAGACGCATTTTCAGTCGCGGTTGAAAATACAAAGCTGAATTGGAGCGCTCGCAACGAGGGATTGGAAATGAGAGTCAAGATGAATGATTTGGTTTGATCATTTTGATTGAGATGGCTCCCACGCAGAGCTTTATAGACTTCAGCATTCTCTTTTACTTGTGCGAAGCCAGATCCCAACCGCACCGGATTTGTTTACATCCCCAGATTCAACGAAACCCTGTTTCATCCCTACCGGCCCTAGTACTAGCCAGAGATGATCGAAATCTCTACTTGTAACCAATGAAGCAGTTCTAGATGACCAAACCTCGCTGGGGTAGGTCACCTTGACAGGTCCCACGAGCGCCCAACCAATAGAAAGGGCCAATTGGTCATAAGCGACCTCATATGATTGCGTTGCCTCTTAGCTCAAGATGGAGCCTTGATAGCAACATCGCGGCAGAACCCCGCCTGTCGTCGTTGTTGAAACCTCCTTGAATCACGATGCGGCAATTTGAAGCCACAGCAGGGGTGAAAAGCGTGCGTAACTGCACGGGTCAATGGTGCCAATCGGGATAGTCCGAAGAATCAACGTTAATGCTAGTGGGACACGTTGTTAAGATGAGCCCCCAGTGTCGAAATTGGGTGACGCGGCCTCCCAGTCATGAAACGTTGGTTGCGGGCTTCAATACGTGAACTGAGGACGCGCCGCCCCGTCTCAGGTCCTGGGACGTGTAATCATCAAGGACGCCATTGGGCGCGTGAATTTGAGTCCTTGTTTATGCATACTGCTGGCGAACAAGCTTTTTCCAAGCCTTATTACTGTAGGCCAAGAAAAGCTTGACCCCGTCCCCTTGCCACCATCGCCGTCTTCCCGTGAGCGCTCTCCACCGCCTAAGATCATCTCAATGGCTGGACAGCTTCGTCAGTGTTAATTGAAAGGGGTTATCATGAAGCCAAAGCCAGTGTCTCGGCCCACTCGCACTGAGCTGCTTACAGGCATCACTCTTCGGGCCACCAAGGAGATGTGCATTCTATCCTCTCCCCCCACATTGTGAAGTTGTGAGCCATCTTGGGGAAGCTTCTGACCATGAGGCTCTACTCTTATATGGCCGTTCAGTGCCGAGGCTGATTCAGGGCTTTGCGCCCGATATATACACAGCCAAGCTGCAAGCCACCCGATACCCCTGTCCCACTCAGCATTGCCTCAACTGGCAACGCCCAGTTATTGAACTTTCCCCTTTTTACATTTTCCATTTTATCTAAATCTCACGGGTGATCCTCTGAGCTGAGTGCGAATCGCCTGCTTCCTTACTCCAGTGCCCGAGACTAACTAGGCTCCAGCCAGCTATCTCACTCTGATTGGTTGCATATGCCTGCGCTTCTGCCTCACAACAGCCAACACCATTATTTTCCTAATTATTTTAAACGCCAAATGCTCCATCTCATGGTTCGCGAGCCAAATTTCCAGTAAAAGTACGGGGTAGTATGAGTACAGAGGCTGTTAACGCACGTCCTCTATCCAAAGCCTCACAGGACAGGCCATCACTTACAGTCCCGTAGACGTCATGTGAAGATGCTCTAAAGCCCCAGGCATCTTCCAGCCTTTTTTGTGGCCAGTGAAACCTACTGTATGTTGTAGTTGGCTTTGCCATGCCTGCCTGGCCTGGCAGAGGCGCCTACAGGCAACAAAAGGGAGACACTCTTCTCTTCATTTTTTTTTTTTTGTTTACAGACGTAGTCATCTGATTGACATAGTTCCACGACATTTCAAGTAGCTACATGAGTCTCCCTTCCCACTTTGCCTGCGGTACGTTGCCATCTACAGTATGTCGCCAATACCAAGAGAAGGGTCTATCATGTATCTTCCGCCTCTTGGTGAAATAAATCCTCCGTTAGAGGTTGGACCAAAAAGCCCAGAGACCAAGGCTTTTGATCACCCAGTCGTTGTACTTGCAGTCGATGCTGCGATACAGCAAGCTTCAATCCTTGTGGTTCGTGCCTCTGTGCCTTGCTATTTTATCATCATGCTGATTCTTTATGCCCGTTTGTCCATCAACAGATTACCTCTTTCAGCGGTATGCGACTCGAGGTGAAACATCCAAAACGACGTGTCCGAGAGCGATATGTTCCGTTGCCCCCGGCGGACAAACATCCTGATTCCGGGCACCTGTTGGTATTTGAGCATGATATGGAACTCAAGAAAGCATCTTATGTCAAAATCAAACCGCTCTATGTGGTTCCATGCCGCATTCTTCGCAAAATGAGGGAAAAGAGGCCATTTCTCATCACTGCTGCCTCCAGGAGCCTTCTGTTGGAAGTTAGCGGTCTCGTGCCGAGCCTTGTAGGCACGACTGGAGATATGGCCAGTTTAGCATCTTTGTCCCAGTCAGCTCTTGCCTCCGGACACGAAAATGTGCCTCTGGGCAGGCAGCCATGCTCATTCAGTCAGCAAGGCAATCATGGCTTATTGCGGCTGAATCCAGCTGAGACACCAGCCGTGGTTACCAACGAAACTCTTTGGCTTCTGTCGCCAGAGTCCGTCGCCCATCAAGCCGAACCAAAATCCGGCCATGTTTACACTCCTACCCCTAAATGTCTGTATTTCGCCGTAGCCCTTGCTGGAATTTCTGTATATGTTATCTGGTCTTGTTTGCCGAGCTAAAACTTTTGATTCTTTGTTCCATTTCCTCCGTTTGGCATGTTCTGCGGTCTGGGTTAAGAAGAAAACGACACATTGGTCTAGATACTGTTTCGTTTTGGTTGTTATCCTTTTTGTATTTAAGTATTTGCTTTGAGCGAGAGGGGAAAGGATACCTTTAGACAACGTGAAATTTAAGTGCCCAAATTGGTTGGCTATTCCAACCCCTTTCGGAACGAAACAAGCCCGTTCATCACTTGTTTCCTTGGAAGATGGTAATTTCAATCAGGTGATTAAAAGAGATCCGCGTATTTACTGCAGTCTTGTTGAGTAACAACGTATGTCCTTCTCCAAGGTATTTCAAGGGGTTAATACTTGCAGCCAAACGAGGCCTCACAATGCTTAGAGAGCGGTCCGGTCTGCCTAGCTTGAACCGGGAGCGGCCACATAGATGATTTAAAGGCAACTACGACATTTTTGAAATAAAACTTGTGTTCTTTACGCCCTGCTTTGAACAAGCACGCAATGGGAATGGCGTGTGACACGTGGCTCCAACGGGCCAGGCAGCCAGAAGCCTTTGTATCGCCCAATACCTAGATATATGATTCTTCGTCATAAGTTTCCTTGATATTCAGGCAAGTAATATTCCAAAGCGACGTGTGTGGATATGATTGGGCTCTTTCTCACCACATGATGTGATGAATATCTGAGTCAGTCATGCGATATCTACGACGACACTGAGCTACGTCATATAGTGTTTGCCGCAAAAAGAGAAATGTTCAAAAAAAGAGCATTAGTATTTCCAGCCATATGTACTTTTATAGGAGTTGGATGGCAGGTTTCCCTTTCTCAGGATATGCTTATCCTCCGCCGAGGTAAACCGACATACTGAGCTTCCGCGGGGGTGAGCCGACATGCTTAGCCTTGAGGGCGTGAGCCGACATACTTAGCTTCCGCGGGGGTAAGCCGAGATTCTTTGCCTCCGCCGGGTGAGCCGATACACTTAGCCTCTAAAGATGTGATCCGACATGGATGCTTGGCCACTAGGACTTGACGCATTCAAAATGCGGGGTATGAAACTCAGTTGTCAATGGACTGTAGTGATTCTCATTTTCTGTTTCTCTAACAATCAGGTCCGAAATCAAAGCTATAGTGGCTACTAGTTCTGCTTGAGCCCATTGCCCATCTTCACAGCATAACGCTACCCGCAAACCAAGACGTTGAATCCTTAGTGAATACCTATCTTCCCACTTGACTTCCCCTAAAACGCAGTGCGAAATGGAGTTGTCTGTGCCAGTTCTAGGCTTACTTTTCGCATTGTTTCTCATACTCGGGCGAGTCTTATTCATAACCCCTCTGCGCTCTCCCCTCCGTACTGTTCGCGGTCCGTTCTTTGCGAGGTTCACGGATGGGTGGTACTTTTGGCAAGTCTGGAAGGGATCTTTCCAGCACGTGAACCAAGAGCTACACAACAAATATGGTAGTGATGCCCGGACAGATCATTAAGCTGAGCTAACCATTTCGAACAGGGAGCATCGTTCGCTATGGCCCGAACCGGTACAGCTTCGACGATCCGGAAGCCGCCAAGATAATATACGGCCTTGGTAGCCATTTCCCAAAGTCATCGTGGTACTCGACCTGGGCCAGTCCCGGATCGTGGGCGATCTTCAGTGATCAGTCAATCAAGCGCCATAATCAGAACAGAAAACTATACCAAGCCACGTACTCGATGTCATCTTTGGTCCATTACGAGCCTTTCGTCGACAGTTGTATCGATATATTCACAGAGCGGCTGTCTGAGATCTCTGAATCCGGGTTGCTGGTAGATATAAGACACTGGTTTCAATGCTACGCGTTTGACGTTATCGGATTGATCACGTACGCCAAGCGACTAGGTTTTCTAGACCAGGGAGATGATATTGGAGGCGTCATTGGGGCGCTCGAGGACCATCTGGGCTACGCGACCCTTGTTGGAATTTTCCCGAGCCTGCATCAATATCTGTTTTCCATAAAGAATTATCTCGCTGGTTCCCAGGGATCAGGGAGGGCGTACGTCCTTAAGTTCACCAATGAGAGAATCCGAGAAGCACAAGTGATACCGAAACCCGTCGAAACTGAAGAAAGCTCCGTCGCGATGGAGGACTTCCTCACCAAGTTTCTGGCCAAGCATGCCGCGAACGCCGATTTGTTCACAAACTACCACGTGCTTGCCGGGTGCACCTCTAATATGGTTGCGGGGTCTGACACAACGGCCATCAGCTTGTCGGCAGTTCTCTATTATCTTCTCAAGAACCCTCGCTGTTTGCTTAAGCTGAGAGAAGAGGTCGACGGCCTTGCGGTGCAATCGGACCCCTCAAAGTTTCCCACATTCAAGGAGAGCCAGCAGATGCCGTATCTACAAGCCGTTATCAAGGAAGCTTTGAGGCTGCACCCAGCTACTGGTCTACCCTTGGAACGTGTGGTTCCTGAAGGCGGCGCGACGATATCAGGGCGGTTCTTCCCCGAAGGCGTAAGTGTTTGAGCATTGCTGTATCTTTTCGAACCAACTCTCTAAATTCTAGTGCAGACCATCGTGGGAATCAACACATGGGTAGCACATCGCAATACCGATGTCTTCGGCGAGGATGCTGAACGATTCTACCCCGAAAGGTGGCTGATCGATGATAACGATAAATTTTCGACAATGAATCGATACTATCTTCCGGTAAGGGTTCCGTTTACCTTTTAGGCCACTCAAGGCGATATTTAACATGTGTTCGCGTTTTAGTTCGGCCTTGGCTCGCGGACATGTATTGGCCGCCATGTGTCCATGCTTGAGATGTCAAAGTTGATACCTCGCCTTGTTCGAGACTGGGACTTCCAACTTGATTCGTCTTTACATTCCAAGGAGTGGCGAACGCTGAATTACTGGTTTGTGAAGCCATTAGATTTCAAGGTAGGGATCAAAAGGCGCCAGTTGGTGAAGGATGTGAATAGTAAGGAGTAGGAACGCAGAGAGCAATGAGAGCGTGGATGAGATTAATTTTTCATAAGAGTGAGAAAAGGCAGGGCAAGTTCATCTGGTCTACGACTTAACTTTGCCCCCATCAGTGGAGTGGCCGAGTTCTCATTCACCATTTGCATGGGCAAGTGGCTTTAGTTCTAAGCTTGCAGTTCATCCCCTTCATGGAGCAGCGTATAAAAGCATAGGGCCCTCTGTTTATTAATGTTCTGTGTCCTTATTGCCGGTGGACGTTCCTGTATTTGATGGAAATAACAGGGTCATTCCTACCATCGTACAGCAAGCCCTCCGGTTCTATCAATCTTCCATTCACCCAGCGTCAAAATGCACGATTCACCTTGGAGTCCTAATAAAACCCAGTAAGACTCAAGATTGCAATTTACCCCGTTATGGCACGATGCCCTTATAAACAAATAGGGACGCTCTAACAACTTATAAGGGCCGCAAATGGCAAGGCATAATAAAGAAAATCTCAACACCTGCCTTAATCAAACAGTAGGCTGATTTGCACTGCCCCACGCTAGTTAAGGCACCACGAGAGGCAGCTCAGCAGAGATCTTCACGTTTACTTTTCTTCGATACTGGTCCCGTCGGCGGAAAGAATATTTTGTAAGCATACTGTAACTCTCACAGTTCAACTCATCTAGCCTTTTTGTTGTGTAGAGCAGTACCTTTTTCCGATTTGTTCAGCTCGCCAGAAATTGTCCGCCAAACTGCGTCAACCAGACATTTCTTGTGATGGATATTCGATCTGGAATAGTCTCTTGGCCTTACGCCTGCCCTGGCGGTTTCATCAAGAAGCTGCAGTCGCAATACAGGGGGTATGTTCGAAAAATCAAATCGCTCGATACCTGCTATGCGAAAAACAGTAGCTGGGACACGTATGCGCGTGCTAGCGACTTGGGCATCGTGCACAAGTTTATCAGGACTATAGACGCGCTTGAGGTGCTCAGCATCAGAACCCTCGAGGAAGATGTATCTGGCCTTTGGCCAGTCATTTTCCGGCAAGGGAGTTCCTTAACATCTTTGACATTCCGGCCGTATCGCGATTGCAATTTCATCGCCGTGACGCCGCAGACAGTGAGCGAGATTGCCTCTCGACTTCCTCGTCTAGTCCATTTGGGGATAGATGTCTCATTGCAGGATGCAGAAGCTGCACTGAAGCCCCCGGAGCAACCACAAGAAGAGTCCTCTATCGATGAGCTTGTGAAGATGAGCGGCCTCAGAGAAGTCGAACTGTTCATCAAACTCCCGATGGAGCCATCTTCTTTTTGCGCACGAAACACATTCAGCTCCGTCGGCACCACATCAAACCCACCAATCAAGCCCAAAGTCAGTCTTCGCCTAGCTGAAGGTATTTTCAATAAGTTCCTCACTCACGATGCCCAATCTTCACTTGAGAGAGTGAGCATTCACTTTCTTCGCAACTCCTATGAAGATCGTGGTCAGTACAGTGCACTACACTCGACAGCTTGGGTGGAATTGAACGAAACAGGGTTTGAGAAACAAGTAGATCGAAGCTGGCAGTCGGATCCTGCGGAGATGTCAAGCGAGGTTTGGAAGGAAATTAGACAAGCGGATTCTGAATTCGCGGGAGGAGCTTAGCAAAGACACGGCTGTCTCCTAAAGTAGCCCATATCGAAACACGTCTATGCACCCTCGATTCTTCGAGGGAACCCCTTGATTAGTGATGGCTAATGTACTCATGGATCTTGGCCTAGCTTAGCTGTAGATCTTGTAAAGCAATATATGTCGGAATTGCATGATCGCCTGGGTCCTGTAAGGTGTTTATAGTCCTTGAGCAAGATTTAGTCCCGGCCGCTGGGTAGTGTAATACGGGCGAGGTTTTTCTCCAGGCAATTGTACTTTATTGTACCTAAGGTATGTTCGATACCCCCTATCCTAGAGCTCTATCCCAAATAGGAAATTTACTTGCTGATGACAATGATGATGATGATATATTCATCTCACACAATACAAGACATTACATCATACGGTAGCTGCATTGTTTATGTTTATGCTATCGAAGGGACTTTGAGTTGAAACGAAACAAGTGGCTTCTAAACTAAGCCATCACTCGGGGGCGAGCTTAGGTGGCTGTGCAGTCAAATTGTGATCCAGATGTGATCATAATGTGTCACTTACCTTCCAGTCAGATGGTGCCTCATGTCTTGTATCCAAAATCCTTTCTCGGTGTTACATTACGTACAACCTTTGCCGAGGCTTGGAACTTCGAGAGACATGGCACAGAAAAGAGAATTCCCACCTCAATAATGGTTTATTTTAAACGATCCCTGCAAGTCTTTCTTTGTTCCCCCTCTCCTGTCCACCCATTTCCTGCTTGCCGATGCAAGCACTCAACACGGACCTATTCACCAGCGCACGTCACCTTGATTGCAATGTACCATCACGGCCGAGCTCCTCTCACAAGCTCATCCCCAGATCCGTTAGATAGGCAAGATGAAATGCGGGGAAATAGCTATGAAGATGCACCTGGTGAGGTGTCAATCAGCCCCCTATCGCCACTGGTTCGCCACGTCGAATCTCAATTGGAGTTTTCTGAGAGATCTTCATCTGCATGTTCTACAAGAGAAACCCCATGTCACCCAGGTAGTGATTGTCAAAATGGAGTTCAGTCCAAAATCGAGCCACGATGGCGGATGCCAACAGGCTGGAAGCTTGGCACGATGATGGCAGCTACCTTAACATTTGTTATCTTACTGGTGAATACGATTCTTGCAGCGTTATTCACTTCAAGCGTCCTCCGGACCAAATATTCCAGCAGCAGCATCGCACCTGTTCGCACTGGCGACTGCGGAGCCATCAAGTCGCTTGCAACCGGCACCCATGTTCTCATCAATATCGTCAGCACTTTGCTCCTCGGTGCAAGCAACTATTGCATGCAGACCGTTAGCGCTCCTATGCGACAAGATGTCGACAACGCTCACGCCCGGGGTAAATGGCTGGACATTGGAATTCCCAGCGTCCGGAACTTGCTTTATATCGAGAAGAGAAGGCTTGTCGTCTGGCTCTGTTTAGGCCTTTCATCTATCCCACTCCATTTTATGTAATGTTTGTCCCACCCTTGGTATAAAGCCAAACCTAATTCAAGTGCAGTTATAACTCCACGTTCATTGTGTCCACTGCAAACCAACTGTACCAAATTCTACTAGTGAACGAATCTTTCATCAGTGGGGGACCATTCGACATAGACAGTAAGGAGCGCCATCCACTTTTCGATATAGACGGTCATGAGTATTATATACCTTTCGAGCTCGAGGTCGGTCAGAGCCTACAATTCATACAGGAGGCAGTGCAGAAAAATGAATATGAGAAGTTGACACCGGACGACTGTATCAAAGCGTATGCAAAGGGTGTAGTCTATGACAGAGCAAACGTCGTCGTGGTACTCAGCCCACCGGAAGACTGCCATGAGTTAAAAAACTTACCCATGCTTTCTGAGGCGAATGGCCCCGTGTACTGTGAGCCACCAATGAACAGCTCCATCTATGCTTCGCTCCGCTACGAAACCATTCTCAATGCCAATAGGGGGAACAATGATTGGTTTTCTTGGATATGCTCCCTAATGTCTTATGAGGCAGATCATTTGAGGCTGCCGAAGTGCAGAGACGGAGCTTGGAAGAACCAGATGAGCCCAGCTATTTGGACAATAGGGACCGCCAGAGTCAAGTATTGCTTGAGCCAGAAACCGAAAACCCCATGCCAGTTGAACGTTGCTCTCAACCTCATCTACGTGGTTGTCTGCTTCAATGCTCTCAAGTTTGTGATCATTGTCATCTTAGCCACGAGCAATCTGGTAAATCGAGAACCCCTTGTCACAATTGGAGACGCCGTTGCCTCGTTCATCGATTCTCAAGAACCAGCGACGAAGGGAATGTGCTTGCTATCGTCTGCTGAGGCCCATTTTTCTCAAGAATTAGATGATTATCAAGAGGTATCAGCCGTCGTATATAAACCGCAGAACAACAGATGTTCGGTGGCCGCTAGCCTTCGCCGCTGGTTGTTGGCTTCGATACTGTAAGATTATTTTCGTTTGACATTAAGAACTCGACTAACCGGATGATAGTATCATTGTGGCTTTGGCTACTCTCGTTGGACTGCTAGGACACGGTGTACATGATTTGAACCAGCGTTTCTCGCGTGGTGATTGGCAATCGCTATGGGATCTTGGCATCGGTACCATCAATCCATATACGACCATTGAGTGGAAGTTGCCGAGACGAGGCGAAGCGTCCGTCATAGCCACTGTACTAATCTCCAACTTGCCCCAAGTCTTGCTTTCTTTTCTCTATCTCATTCTGAACGGCTTAATCACATCGATGGCGGGTGCTATCGAGTGGTCGAAGTATGGCCAAGGTACTCAACGCCCCCTCCGTGTATCTTTCCCAAAAGGCAAGCAGCGATCTACCTTCTTCCTACAGCTTCCGTACCGATACAGTATTCCGATGCTGTCTCTCTCAGTCTTGATGCATTGGATGGTCTCTCAGAGCTTGTTTGTTGTGCAGATATTCGAGGAGAGCACCTGGGAATCTATTTATGAAGATGCAGATTATTTAGGCGTTGATTCAGCAATTACGATTCCTGCCTACTCCCCCATGGCTATTATCTTGACAATTGTCATCGTGGCAGTAACATTTCTTGGCATAGTGGGATTAGGTAGGGTCCGATTGAGAGATGGCCTACCTACAACCAAGAACAGTAGTTTGGTTATCTCGGCCGCATGTCATCCATTGGAGGGGACCTCAAGCATGGAAGCCGTGAAATGGGGAGTGGTACTAATTGCAGAAGATGGTTCGAACCAGGTGGGTCATTGCTCCTTTTCGAATCATAAAGTTGGTTTCCCGGAGGAAGGAAGGGCATACTCGTAATCAGACAGAAGGAAGTTTGATTCGAACTCTAGCTTGTATACGAGTTTACTAAACTTCGTGAGAAATATGCCCATACTTCATAACGTTTCCTTCGACATATCCTTTCCCCGTTGTATGAGACATGCTCGGACTTCAGCCTTCGACATCCAACTCCATTAGGGATACTTATGGGGCCTAAACAGATATCAAGTCACTTTTTCTTTTGCGAGTGGCCTGACAATTTTCACCTAGGTAGAGAGTCGGATGATTTAACGTTGTTCTCGACAAGCTTGTCGCGACCATCGAGACACCTTTGGACGAGTTGCGGAGGCGACTTGGTAGTCAAAAAGTGCTGATGGAGCAACTTGTCGCTGCCATTGAAAAGTAAGATGATAGGGCTGTATCTGATGTCTCCGTCAAATGCTCCCTAAAAAGGCAAATTTCGGCAACCAAGGCCCCTAAGTATGCCTGTCACGTGCGATCCTCGTCGTGCGACCCCTGGGTGACCACGTAGATTAGGATTCGCAGCAATCTCACTTCTAAAAAGAACCCTGGTTATTATTTCCTATCTCCGCCGCCCCAAAACGCGGCAAGGTCTCCATCAAAAATAAATAATTGTCGATATTTTTTTTGGAATTCAGCATTGAAAGCGACCCGAGAACATACCCAAACAAATCCAAGGCAATGAAGCTCGTGATTTGCGGAGGGACTGGCTATGTTGCCACAGAGCTGATCCGTCAAGGCCTCGCGCTGCCCCAAATTAGCAACTTGGTTGTCCTCTCCCGCCGACCCATCACCGTGCCTGATAGCCCAAACGCAGCAAAGTTGAAGCAGGTTCTGATCGAGAAGTATGATGAATACTCGGAAGATGTAAAGAAGGAATTAAGCGGCGCGAGTGGGTGCATCTGGTAGGTACCTCTATCAAACCGGGAAGGGCGGGAAGGGGGATGCTGATGACACCGCAGGACCGTGGCCATTACGCCAAGCAAAGCTTCTCGTTATGACTTTGAGGTGGTGCGTAATATATGCCACACCAGCACCATGGCTTTCCTCAATGCGTTCATGGACACCAAACCGACCAGCAAGTTTCGTTTTCTTTATATGAGCGGTCTAGGTGTCGAGCGAGACCAGACCAAGAGGCCGCGGATTTATGCAGACTACATGCTCATGAGGGTTTGTCATGAAATATGTACCCCAGCTCCCGTTGAGACAAGAACTGACTTATGCGTGCGATATAGGGCCAAACCGAGAGCGAAGTGGAGGCATTTGCAAAGGAGCATTCTAACATTATGGAAACTCAGATTGTCAACCCACCCCTTATTACAAGCACCGCTACCTTGCCACGGGCTGCTTTCTACGCTTTGTTAAAGGGGCTAAGTTTCGTATTCTGGGGTCTGCAGTGGATCACGGTACAGGAAATCTCCGCTGGCATGTTGTCACAAGTCGTCAATGGGTTTGAGAAGGAAGTTCTTGGTCCGGACGACCTCACACGTATTGGGCATGATGCTCTGTCCAAGGGAGAGGAGTAGTCGCTGGTTGATTTTACAGGGCAACTATCTCTCTACACAAGAGAATTTGCAAACTTACTTTTTTAGGATCATTATAAAGATCTCAACTCTTTCTTCAATCAATCAATGATCGCACGCCTGAATAAGCATTAGATCCTGTCATCATTGAGCTTCTCTAGCCAGATATCGCTCATGCGTACCAGTGCCATCAATATTTTCCAGCATTCTAAATGTTAGGGCCGCACAATTGATAGCCGCATGCTTCCCCAAACGCCAAAAACGAGCATTGGGATCAGGGATGGTGGGATCATGAAGCCACCGAGATGAACCGACCAACGGAAGCCGGCGGCTGCGGCATTAGGGGCGGCATTCCATGTGCCGGTCGTCCGCCGGAAGTCCGACTCGCGTGCTTGTCACTCTATAGGTACCGTGGTTGATTCAACGAAGTCAGAAAACAATTTACACATACGTTCAGGGCTTTCTTAACCTAATTGCTTGCACATATTACAGAAGGGAAATAGTATCTCAGACCTCCTTAACAGAAACGTTTCCTTATGCGACATAACACAAAGCACTCTTCCATAACCACCCATCCCCACTTCTCGCCTTCTGACAGACATTATTAGCTCCGGCCCCGAAAACCAACTGCTTGACCGATTTTCCCTTGCAGCCCCAGTCGTCATAGAAATAGCAGTAGTCGCCAAGAATACCCCCCTGGGCTTTTCCAGGATTTACGGCCTTGAGACTCTGGGAGTCTCCAGGCATCTTGAGTGAGAAGCATTCCGCAGTCTTGCTTCCGTCGGTTCGGCCGACTTGAGGAGACCCGATCGTATAAGTGTAGGCAGATCCGTTGGCTTTGCTGCAGGTTGGGGACTTGAAGTAATCGATGCGGATGGCCTGGTTCACTCCAGGCGTTCCGGGTAAGGCCAGCACAGGCTGTGTGGCCGCCAAGAATGCCGTAGCGAGAGCGACCAGGTTAGTAGTGTGCATCCACATGACGATGGCACTTGGCAATGGTTCAAGTTGATGGTTAAGTATGAGAGGTTTTCTTCTTCTCCTCCCCCTTTTTTTAAACAAAGATGTTAGAAAACCCGGCATCAGAAAGTCTGGCTGGATTGGCCCTATATATACTTCTCAGAGACGAAATGAAATCTGAACGGGGCTTTCAGCTGCGAGGTACGAGATGCCCCAACTAGTAAGTCGTAGGCTATTTATAATTCCAAGTCAGATAAACGAGGCCTATGCCAATTGAATCGCATCATCTATCTTACTAGATCTGGCGGCTCGTACACATTTCATTTAATGAGAGATATATTATTCATTTGCAATATCCAATCAACATTCTAGACTCGGTTTCAATCATGCCTTCAGCATCCAAGCTAATAAAGTGCCTCGATCCATGACTACCCTATACCTTTTGAATCCAGTTCCAATAACAGGCTTAAAAAGCAATTGGAGGAACTAGTGTTACAAACTTAGATGAAGCCACTTTGTTCATTTTCAAGAGTGAGCTCAATTTTGACTTTCCCAGTAATGTTTCTTCCCTTGCTGTGAAAACATCCACAGTTGGATGCCTAACTTCCGAAACTGCGATATGCCTCTTACGGATCATCACTAAAATGTGCCCAACTAAGCTTGCCAAGCCATTTCGAGGCTGAGAACTATGGGGCACATGAAGTGAGCAGCCAGTCACGAGTCTCAGAAGAATGGAATTGGCCCACCTGATGAGGCTGGTGAAAGGCGCCAGCCAATCGCTATGTGGAGCGGGTTAAAGAGCGATGAATACGATGGAAACTCCCACAATCGCCCCACTCAGCCCTTGCTTGGTCGCTTGGTGATCCCAAGAGGCAGAATCTCGAGGTGAGTTGCCAAGGATATATAAGACTTGCCGGCATCCCAAGATGAAAAGAATATCAAATATTCGCGTATAAGGAAGAAAAGACATAATTCTCGCGGGCTCAGCCTTTTCACTTGTCTTGCGACACGAACACATCTACCAGAAGAAGATGGCTACTACGTCTACCCAAGCCAGTGCTGTCCCCATCAGTGACGGCAAGGGTCAGGTAATTACCGAGACCGCATCGCCCGCACTGGAGTCTGTTGTCAAGCGCCGCTTCGATATAAAGAAACCAAATGTATTCACCCACTACGACATCTACCCAGAGGACAGCAACAAGATGGTACATTTTGTGAGCATTTCCAACTTCACCAGCAATAAGCCAGACCTCACGCTGCACTCCGGGTCAGACACCCAAGCACCCGTGCTGGCCGTTAGCCACATGCCCATGTCAACAAGACATTTCAAGATTGGCCTGTCGAACTCACTATCGTCTCCCCTTGGCGACGACATGGAGTGGGAGAACATGGAGAAGAGATCAGTTAAAGGCAACGAGTACCACATGGTCTTCCCGATGGAGGACGGGCGCCGCTGGGAGCTGGCCTGGAAGCGCACCCACGGGCACGCGGTAGACAACAAGGAGACGTCGAGCCTGAGCATGCGAGACTGGAAGCTTGTCGACCTGCAGACAGGCCAGGTGGTGGCCCTGTTCACGAACGAGAGATGGTCCTTCGTCAAGACGGGCACGGTGCAGATCAATGGGGAGTTTGGCAGGGGGTTTGACCAGCTTGTTTTCATTACCGTGCTGTCGCTGTATGAAAAGGTCAGGAGACGACACCAGAGAGGCGCATGGTATGCGCACTCTTAGATTGGTGCGTCGCAGGTTACGAAGTACATGAGAGTTTTGCTTTTGTAGGCATGAGCTGGTTCAGGTTGTTAAGATACCAATTTGTATTTAAGGTTTCGTTTCCTTTAAGCTTCCTGCCCTCTTGTTCGTGAGGCCAGATTGATGAATGCTTATTCACGATTTTACACTTTACCTTGCATCCATTGTAGCGCTGAATATATCTTTATTGCCAGACGACCAGTCTGGAAACAGTCATGTTATCTAATGATACACACGTGTTGGCTTGAGAAGCCCTTTGAGCGACGAGCTTAAAAGGTGGAGATGAATTCTTCTGGAAGAAGCGATGTTCGGCATCTGCCGTGGAAAATGCGACAACTAAAGCCAAGCCTCAAAAGTATCTTGTGCGTGCCTAGAATTAGAGTGTTGACTTACATGACGTAGGTCAAGCAGACCATTCAGCTAGCGGCAACACTCAGCGCACTTAGCACATTATGAATGACATCTCGTACCATTTCGCCGCGTCCGAGGAGAGGAGTCAATTGTCCATGGGTTTATTCGGGCCGTTAAGCAATTGGATCCAATATTATGCAGTTTTCAGAGTGCGGGGTTTCTTGTGGCCTGTCCATGCAGAATTCTCACCGTGTATGCATGTTCTCGGCTGGGTGGTAGACAGGGAATATTAAACTTTTTTCTGGGCGGAAAAGAGGCGCTTCACGATACTCTCAAGTAGAAAGTAGTAGAACACGAAAAAGTAAGTTTGTGAACATCAAATTTTCATCTCGTCTCTCATTCTCCTGGTCAATTGGTCCTCTTTCTGTTTTTCTCTCATTCTTCTCCTCCTCATCATGATATTCTTCAGCTAGGCGCTCACAGTGCCCATTGCCTTGATTCAACACGTCATTCCACTAACCGAGAGCACTGGATCTGCATCACCTGGTCCTCTTTTCCAAGAGCTAATAGCTTCCGATTGGCACTACTCCAATTCAAACCGGTCCTTTTCCCCAGAGTCGGTGCTTGGCGCCCCCGCATCAGACTCTGTGCTGCCTTGGCTAATCCCTGAACATCCCTGGCTTACTGCTTCCCGAGTCCAAACGGCCTGGACCAGGGTCGTGTGCTAAATACGTCAGGGTAATCCGCCAGATTATTTATTGTATCCTGATTTCCTCTCCAATCTGTTGAGCGATTGAATCAATTCCTCGACTACTAAAGGTATCCTTGAGTTGAACCGCCGTGTGGAAGATGGCTCTCCGTACACGCGCTGCGGCGCTGACCGCTGCTCTGGCCGCGACGGCCAATGCCCTCTACACCAACGGATCCGTAGTCGCACCGTGCGACTCGCCCATCTACTGCTATGGAGAACTTCTCAAGCAAGTCGAACTGGCCCAGCCTTTCTCGGACTCCAAGACATTTGTCGATATGTAAGTGTCCCCGAGCTCAATCAATCCAGACATACAACTGAGGCTAACATCTACTGTACAGGCCTGCTATCAAGCCATTGGAAGAGATCCAAGCTGCCTTCGATAAACTAGAGAAGCCGCTCAGCAACAACACGGCGCTCAACAACTTCTTGGACGAGAATTTCGCCGATGCTGGTGGAGAGCTGATCGCTGTCCCCGAGGGTCAGCTCACGACTGATCCCGTCTTCCTCAACCGCATCAACGATACCGTTATACAAGAGTTCACCAAGAAGGTGATTGATATTTGGCCTGATCTGACGCGGCAATATTCGCCATCCTCTAGCAGCAATTGCACCTCCTGCCCCAACAGTTTCATCCCGGTCAATCACACCTTTGTCGTCGCTGGTGGCCGCTTCCGTGAGCCCTACTACTGGGACTCGTACTGGGTGATTGAGGGTCTCCTGCGCACAGGAGGCTCCTTCACTGAGATCTCCAAGAACATCATCGAGAACTTTCTCGACTTTGTTGAGGACTATGGCTTCGTGCCCAATGCCGCCCGTATCTACTATCTCAACCGATCGCAGCCGCCGCTGCTCTCTCTCATGATCCAAACATACGTCGATTACACAAATGACACGGAGATTCTCGATCGCGCCCTGCCGCTCTTGGTCAAGGAGCACGAGTTCTTCATGAACAACCGAACCGTGGACGTCCAGGTTGGAAACAAGACGTACACCCTCAATCGCTACGCCGTAGAGAACACGCAGCCTCGCCCCGAGTCATACCGGGAGGATTACATCACGGCTCGCAACAGCTCCTACTTCGCCGAGTCCGGCATCGTGTACCCAGAGACCGTGCCGCTCAACGACAGCGAGGTTGCCACCCTCTACTCTCATCTCGCTAGCGGCGCCGAGTCTGGCTGGGACTACACCTCGCGCTGGATCGCCAATCCAGAGGACGGCGCGCGCGACGTCTACTTCCCCCTCCGCTCCCTCAACGTCCGCAACATCGTCCCCGTCGACCTCAACTCCATCATGTACGGCAACGAGGTCGCCATCTCCCGCTTCTACAACCAGACCGGCAACGACACCGCGTCAGAGACCTGGGCCGAGCTCGCCGCCAACCGCAGCGCGGCCATCCACGCTGCCATGTGGAACGAGACGTACAGCAGCTACTTCGACTACAACCTCACCTCCTCGTCGCAGTACGTCTTCGTCCCCGCCGACAACGACACCGCCGCCCTCGAGAACGCCACGGCGCCCGCGGGGCAGCAGCTCTTCTTCAGCGTCTCCCAGCTCTACCCCTTCTGGACGGGCGCCGCCCAGCCCTACCTCAAGAACAACCCCCTCGCCGTCCGCGAGGCCTACTCCCGCGTGGCCGCCTACCTCGACGCCCGCGCCGGCGGCATCCCCGCCACAAACTTCAAGACCGGCCAGCAGTGGGACCAGCCGAGCGTCTGGCCGCCCCTGATGCACATCCTCATGCAAGGGTTGCGCAACACCCCCGCCACGTTTGGCGAGGACGACCCGTCGTATGTTGAGGTGCAGGACCTCGCGCTGCGGCTGGGCCAGCGGTACCTCGACTCGACCTTTTGCACGTGGCTCGCGACTGGAGGCTCCACGTCCGAGACGCCCAAGCTGCAGGGCTTGTCGGACCAGGACGTCGGCATCATGTTTGAGAAGTACGCCGACAACTCGACCAACCGCGCGGGAGGTGGCGGCGAGTACGAGGTCGTCGAGGGGTTCGGGTGGACCAACGGCGTGCTGATCTGGACGGTGGACGAGTTTGGCAACCAGCTGCAGAGACCCGACTGTGGGGATTTGCAGGCAGCGCACACGACGCAGACGAGGGATGTGCAGTCTGCGGTTGAGCTGCACGTGCGGGATGGGTCGAGGGTGAAGAAGTTTGGTAAGCGCGCGAAGAGGAGCGTGTGAGGGGTGAAAAATGGTGGTGATGATTGGCGTCAGGGAGGTTTCTTTTGATTTCTTCCTTCAACCCTTCTAGTATATTCATTTTAGTCTTCTCATGTGTTAATGTTAATGAATAGGTATAGCTCATCAGCTTTATCTGGCGTGGCACGTTTGTGATTGATTTAAAATAACCATGGTAGAAATCTTGGGGTCCTCGCATGCCACTCTTCCCATTTCCTCCCAAATGTATCCCTAAGCATCTCCTCCTCCTGCTTAACACGCATCTTGACGCCGAGCAGACCAGCAGCGATGAACACTGGTGCGACGACAAACCAAAGCTTTCTCGCGGCTGGGTACAGGGACGGCGGGATCCAGCAGCACACGGCGCCATCAAATCGAACAAACAGCGCGATTGTGGAAACCATGATGGCGGAAAGACCGGTATAGCTCGGGTGCTGCACGTATCTGTAGATACCTGTCGTGGTGAGGCGATCTGGCTCTGCAAGGGCAAACGTAAAGTTTGTTCCTAGATATGAGTAGGACATGAGGCGGAGGGGAACGCCAACAAGGAGGATTAGGCAGATAGGGACCGACGTTGACGCCGACCAGGTGATGAGGTCTTTGTTGAGCCCATTTTCGCGGCCATAACCGAAGAGACGTGGTGGGATGTCTGGGGCGTAGAAAGCGAGTGCCGAGGCATGAAGTGCGAGAACACCTACAGGTGCCAGGACGATCTTAGTCGCATGCTTACTCGTGATTCCAACGCGCCGGAGTAGGTCTCCAGTTCGAGGAATGGCGTTGGTGGAGGGATTAGGAGGTGATAGGGCGACGAAGCTTCCAATGAGGGAGACTATGATGGAGATGGCAAAAGTGATTTGACGGAAGGAGCTCAATGGTTCCATGGACGATGTCGCTTGGTCTAGCCTGGACTAGAGTATCTGAAGTTGTTTCGTTTTGGAGTATAAGCCGTCCTGTTTTCGTGTTGCTTCTCCTTTGTGGGCGGACTCTTATTCCGACCTACTTGGATTTTTCGCGGGGAAGGTGCGATCTTTTAATTCCCGAACTGTCGTACAATTTTAAAGGTCGTTTCGATTGATTAGATAATCTGAGACAGAACTAAACCTACACTGAACTACCTCGAATGAGGCTGCAGCTGTGTGACTTGTAATCCACCCATTTCATATCAGAATCCAAAATGGATGAGAAGAAGCTTCACTTGATTCTACTCGCTACTAAAAGTTCAAAAGCAAAGACACCCAGTGGTACTTCTATTGATCTCACATAGGAACTCCAGATGAAGTTCTGGTGAGGTGAGAGTCTCCTGGCAAGTGTGTGAGGTGAGCAGCGACGGCGCTCTCAGATTTTTTTCACCTTCACTGCACCTTCCATCTCACCTTTATATGCGCCAGATGGTTCTGAGAACGAACTTCAACTCTTACCTCAACTTTCACTTCGATCACTGAGATTCACTCGCCGTGCCTGCCTTTCTTCCAGCTCGCTGCCAACCTGCACCTGAATCATGTCGAGCCGTCAAGAAAATCAAGATTTAGATTTCATGAGCCAGCTACTTCTCTCTGGAAAGTACAGTGATTTCAGATTGCGGTGCCAGAATGTCGAGTTTCAGCTCCACAAGTCCGTCGTTTGCATGCAGAGTCCGATGTTTGCGGCTGCACTGGATGGCAACTTTACTGTAAGATCCCAGCTTGCACCGGCTTTGTTCCCACTTACTTATTTGTTTGTGAATAGGAAGCGGCCTCCGGTACTATCGACGTTGAACTTTTTGATATCGACACGATTCGACGCCTGATCCAGTTCTTTTACATCGGCGACTACAACACAGAGAACCCAAGTGACACCAAGCAGCTTATCATCAAGCTGGAGTCGCCTTCCGAGGAGAACCTGACACCCGCTGGAACTGAGATCTTGAGCGCCATATCCGTCGCCGACCAGCTCCGAGCTCACATCGACCTTAACATTGCGGCTGATTACTACCAGGTCCCGGACCTTTTGAAGATGACGAGAGATGAGGTGGAAAAATTGCTCCAGCATCACTGGAATGCTAGCGCCTTCCCAGAACTCTTCGATCGCGTATCCTCAGTGGTCGCTGATACGAAACTTCAATCAATTGTGACCGACGCGGCAGCTCGGCACCTGGAGGAACTCCTGCAGCTCAAGGAGTTCCGAGAACTTGGTTGCATCAGCGACATGACGATTAAGCTTTTATCAAGCATTCTAGAGGCTAACAAATCGACAAGGAGCCCTAAATTAAAGAGCCCCAAGAAAAGAAAGTCGACTTTCAGCCGATGGTAAGAGCGAGGTATTGCATCGATGTTTCACATCCTGGCTGATTCAAGCTCAGCTTCTGGTCAGTTGCCATGTGATTGCGCCAATGGGGAATATTCGCAGGCTATGGACCACTTACGAACTGATGAATTTGGCTTTGTACGAAGGGAGGATGGCGACGTTGGACTTTTTTTCTGTCACCTCATACATGGCATTCTTTCTGAATGACTGCTTGAAGCTTTTACTACGACGTTGTTAAGACAAAGACTGGATGACTGAGAGCTGTTTTTGAACGAACAGGAATTGCTTTACACACACAAAACGGACACTGTCTAGATCTCTGCGATGTTGCCTCGCGTTCTCACCCTTTAGCTTATGAAAATTCACCGCTATTATTTCCTATTATTTTAAAGTAAAAACATTGCTTCTGCTGCTTCGAAATCTGATTTACATTTGATACGACTTATCATTGCAAGCACCCGCGTTCCTCGGCCGGTATGATCGGCGTCCAGGGCATCTGTCGAGCTCACTCGATCTCGTCACTACCTAACAGTACATCAATGGCCTAGTTAGCGACTCTTGATTCTCCCACGTTGATCTCTTGGGTCTCGTAAGCAATTTTAACGGAACTGGGATCTTTGGCGATGATGCTTGTCGACATGAATTTGCATTGCGACCTTCTTGGCGTCATTGCTGGGTAAGATCTTCCGTTTATGACATGCCTGGTGTGGCTATGACCGAGCCAAGGACAGAACAGCGCGGGGAAACAGGGTTCGCGCTTACTTGACCTGGGGAGACGGCATTCAGGTACATGAAGTAGCCGGCGGTGAGATGGATGTTTTATCTCCGCGATGACTGATCTTTGATCGCATCCGTTATTATCCTGTTCCTTTTCTTCTGTCCCCCCTCCTCTGCCTTTGGAAATATATCGTATTTTTCGGACGGACAGCCAATATGTCTGTGCAGGAAGATCCCTATTCCTCGGTGGAGGCCATCCGAGAACTAGCAAACACTGAGTAAGTTGAGAGATCTATGCCGGGCTCATTCTCATACTAATCCAGGCTTGTAGCCCTGATATGGCCAAAGTATGTCTCTGAACAGGAAACACCAGTCATCGCTAGTATTTTCCTGACATTCCTAGATGCTCAAGGATGGCTCGATAGATGCTAGGACATTTCCGTCATTCGAGGCGATGGTACAGATGTGTCGCGAGCATCCTCCATCCCCCGGCCCGCAGCTGAGAACCGAGTGGCCTCGCTACGCCAAGATGCGTGATGGTCACACTCACGAAATCCGCGTATATAAGCCGGATGACCTGGCAGAGGGCCCGTTGGTGGTCCTCATATATGGAGGCGGCTTCTGTATGGGGCATTACTCACACTTCGGCTCTTATTCTAGGGCTATTGCATCTCTGTATGGTGCAACTGTTGTGAACATCAGCTACCGCCTCGCTCCAGAGTTCAAGTTCCCGATGGCGCCTAATGACGTGTGAGACTCCATCACATGGTTGGTGGAACCAGAGAATGCAAAAGAACTTGGTTTAGATCTGAACAAGGGGTTTATCGTGGGCGGGATGTCGGCTGGGGCGAACCTTGCGGCGGTATTCGCCCAGCAATGGGTGTCCAAGTCCAAATTGCCCTAAGTCAGTGGTATATGGCTGAACGTTCCGCTCCTCCTTGTCCAAGAAATCATCCCCGACGACCAGCGAGAGCTGTGGATTTCTAGAGAGCAAAACGCCGAAGCCATGATCATCAACGAAGAATCGATGGGCTTCATTCGCAGCTCGTACAACCCGCACGTTACCTCGCCCGACTTCTCTCCTGTCAACCAGCAGGGAGCACACACAGGGCTCCCTCCAACCCACATCCAGGTTTGCGGCCAAGACCCGTTGAGGGATGACGGCTTGATCTACGAGAGGATCTTGCGGAAGCATGGCGTGAAAACCAAGCTGGATGTGTACCCGGGTATTCCCCATGCAGGGCCGTATTTCTTTCCCACACTTCCCATCGCGGTCAAACACAATATGGATGTCTTGAAGGGATTTGGGTGGATGTTGGGAAAGGATGCGAGCGAAGAGCGGTACCAGCTGGCATTAGAGACAATGACAACGCCTGCGTAGAGTATTGTCACTCTTGCCTCGCTGTGCGGGCAGTGTCTGAGAAGTCGAAACCTTTATATACGCTCGTTTGTGTAACATGACTCAAATACTACACCAGTGTTGTGTTTAATCGACCAACTCTCTCATCACGCTGCGGCTGTAATCCAAGTTCCCTCCGTTTGTATAACTCCGTCCAATGATGCTCGGTCTGGGGTCTGGGTTGAAGTAATACCGTATCCGATCCCACCTATCTTATTGATCCTAATTTAAGCAATAATCTCGACATTAAAGTGGCTAGGAGGTTTCTGGGAAGTAATATTAATCCGGTATTCGTCGTATCATGGGGTCAAAAAAGTCCCAACTTCGGCAGCGCAACATGGCAGTCGAAGTTGAGCAGCTACATTGTGCGGTCGGCTGCACTTGCTGTCTGGTCTGCCAACGATAATCAGACTGTGGAGCAGACAATGGGAAATAAGTGAAATTTGATAGATGGATAAGGTATCTCTGCCACATATATATGAAATGAACATGGTCTGGGCAATGCTTGTTGTCATAACCCCAGCGGAGTGGACTGCCGAGAAGCCTTGACAGAGAATCGGGAACAAATTCCGAACCACACCAACACCTTCCTATGCTAAAATCCATCTCTCTGGTTCATGGCCTAAAAAAAGAGCGGCTAGATCTCACATGAGCTGCCCCATGGGGTGCTGGTGTCATTTGATATCTGACATTTCGATTCTTATATGGATAATGATGGGCAAGGAAACTGATAGTCGGGATGACCTGCCTGGCTTGATGGAAGTGGCGCATGCCGTATCGCGTCTGGGTTTCAAGACACTGAGCCCTCCAACAAAATCGGAAGTGTAGACATGATGCTGTAGATCCTTGAGATACAATACTTGTACCTATTGGTTAATTAAGAGTTCTTCCCAAATAAGAGTTACATTCTTGGGGTAAATGAGCAACAGAGCGCCTGTTATTGACTTAACTTGCCTCGCTCAAGAGAGCACAAGACCGAAGACGTATGTGTCAACTTCATATACCGCCAAGGCGCTTTTAGCGATAAATCAGGACCCTCCACTTGCCATTGTGGAAATAGCCACGATACAAGTCAGTAATGGTCGACATGTACCAGCTCTCAGCAATGCGCCTCTGCTTTCATACCCCGGCAATGTCATCTGCTGGTGGAGAGCCAGCCACGGGTTTTATCCACTACCCAGCAAGACTGCCCCAATGGAGCTTGTAAAGAGTCATGGCAAGTGGCTGACATAGTGATAAGGAGCACTAGTTCGCCCCTAGAACGGCGCGGCAGCTTCTCCCTTTGTGATCGCAGCTCAGAACGCAGGCTTGAAAGGCATCCCCGACTTGGTTAATACGTGTATCATTATTGGTATTGTCGCTATTGCTTTGGAGAGCATCTACCTCCCTTCCCGGGTCTAGCGCACTATGTCCCTGCAAGGTCTGCTCCCCGCAAGAATTGCGAATGTCGATGCTCTCGGCCGCCCGCGCTGGGCATTGAGCATCACATCAGTGGCTGGGGTGTTCTTCGCCTATTTGAGTCTCAACGGTATGTTCCCATCTATGCTCAATATACGGGCACTTAAGACTCAAATATTTGTTTCCTTAGAGGGCGGTAATGAGGCACTCAATTGGTTCATTGCGATTACCAGCGCCTCCTTTTTCAGCAACTGGGCAATCATTGGTTACTCGAACCTTCGATTCCGCCAGGCACTGAAAGCGCAAAATGACCATTTACTAGACGAAGAGTATGGGTGGAAGGCTGCTATGGGCATCTTCACCCCTATTTACCTCATCATCGTTTCCACACTGCTGCTAGTTTGCCTTCTCTACTTGGCAATTAGCCCTTCGGTATTCGTTTCTCCCCCATCCATATTCTCCCAGTAACGCTAATATTAATTCTGCAGGGTGGTTCCTTTACTGCACCAAACTTCTTCCAGTACACTATTGGTCTCTTGCTCATTATCGTGTTCAGCCTTACCTACAAAGTGATTCGCCGCACGAAGTGGGTTGACCCTGCCACAGCAGATCTGACCGCGGGCCGCAATGTCCTACGAGTCAATGAGATTCATTATCTCGACGGATACGCTAGGCTTCCGACTTGGAGACGAACTTTGCTTTCTGTGGGTCTTAGTCCTGCTGGTGGACCAAAGAGTGAATGAACGTTACTAGAGAGTGGTATGAGGCTCTCAACTAGCTGACTAGACGTTGCATGTCTTGGTGATGAATTGTTAAAGTTCTTTGTGTGATGCTGAAGGAGGGCGGGATGCTCTATAATCACCCTGCTAGAGATGAACATTAGAAGATGAAATTATTAGTATGAGCATGTGTGACTCCAGCAACTCTCTAGTTGCCCAGAAACTCTGTGATAAATATATTGTATGAGACTATATGCGAGTCTTCCGTAACTCCTGTTAGAGATACGGTCTTGTTATACAAGGCCCTGTAACTGATCGCTCATAGCAGACTTAAAAACATCGACATGACTTTCAACATGTTAAATTTACCTCAAAAAGTTCCTCCTGGTGAGCTTCAATACTCTCTCGTGTTAGGAGACACCTTTGCACACTCAATGTCACAACAACGAACGCAAGTTGCTTGCCCCAAATTTCCCATAAATTCTACTGTAGTAGAAATGGCCAGAACAAAATCAATCAACGCTTAGTTTTGAGGATCAAACCCGTACTCGCGGAACTATCACTCATCTGCATTTATAAATCTTCTCTCTGCCGCCCGGCTTGTGTCACGCAGTTTCTCTTGCCGCTTTCTTCCTAGCCTTTTCTCCTTCTTCCTCTCATGCAAATCGTTCCTTAGATCCTCAGTCTCCTTCTGGCTACCTTCGGAAGCCTTCTCCTTCTCTTCCCTTTGCGTCCTGCGCTCTTCTGCTCTCTTTCGGCTCTCCTCCTTCTCTGCTTCAACTTGCGTCTTGTTCTTGAAGAAAACCCCTTTCGAGCAGCAATACAAAACGACGGACACGATTTGATGACCCGGAGCAAAGTAGCACGGAAACGCGGCCGTTCCTCCAGTACTGCTTCTTTGCGACATCCAGTTGATATGATAGACCATCATGCCCGTGGGCTGAATGGGTTTACCATTTTCCAGGGAATAGACCCTCGGGGGTGAACCGCCATAGAGATATGTGCCCACAGCCTTGATGAAATCGCCCTTGGTTACGCCATCTGGGCGGAAGAGTTTGATATTTTGAGGAACACTGGGGAGATCGCAAGGACAGCAGTTCGGATGCTGATCGAAAACATCAACATCGAATCCCTTGACAGGCGGCTCGGTGATGTATTCAGGGATGTCTTTGTTCGCGACAACTGAGGTATGGAGCCCCGAGAAGACGCGTTGCCAATATGATTGGAAGACGCTTGGAGATGACGCGTCATAATACGGGCTCTCGTCCCACGCGTCCTGAGTTGCTTTCAGAATGAGGTCAGTCAAAGGCTCCCATTGCTCGATTATTTCGATTTGCTGGTCAGCATCCGTGTCGTCATTTGCGGCAACTGTCGAGAAGTCACCGTCGACAAGTTGGCCGTCGAATTGAACGGTAGGATACCTATCCCAGTCCATTACTGACAAACTGCCTCCCGAAATCGAGTGCAGGTGGTGAGATATGAACGACTAGAAGAGGGGTTAGCTTACGTAGAATGTTTCAATTTCTAGCCTTCTTTCCTGCTAGTGACCAGCTAATACGCCAAAAGTACTGTCAGCAAAACGGTGAATCCAGCCAAACCAACATCTCCATTTAAAATAAGCTACCCTATAACATCCACCCTACTTTCTCTCTATCATGGTGCTTCACAGGACTTTCAAAATAAATTAGTCCATGATACGGTTCTGTTTCACCCCGCACAAGTAAAATGCCGTAGAGAAACACTGAGTTTAGCTATATTCACACTTGTGAATGGGCAAAAGTTGCGTTTGACAAGGGCTTGTAGAGTGCAAGACCTGAAGCATAGAAAGACAGCAAAGTCCAAACCGTGACTAAACAGCCCAGACTTAGACGACCAAACAGAAAAAATCCGGTGTTATCACAACGGATTCTCGGTTTATACATGCAGTCACCTGAATCTAAATTGAAAAGGAAACGATCGAGGCGGGAGACAAAGAGAACAACTGCCAATGTAGCTAATGAACACCCTTCGATCATATTATTCTTGGCCTTCCAATTTTTTCCTTTTCTTACTTCTGGAGGACGAGCGAAAAAAAATCTTTAGCTCATTATCTTTTACAACGGGCAACTACCCTGGAAGAGTTTTAATGAATGTTTCGTAACATTGACCAGGATTCGTTTCGTTTGCAATTTATTATGAAATTATAATAGCATAAGCCGAGATTTGTATCTTAGGAGACACTGGCTCAAACAAATGACATGCTTTTGATGCGTGGGTTTGATGTCATTCGACCTTTTTCCCTCCTGTCTAAACCTTCATCGCCTAATCGTTTCCGAGATCACAGGCAACCAAGAAGTTGACCGAAAGAGGTGTAATAAGGAAGAAGATATCTAGTAAGGACAAAGAGGCTAGTTCAGATGGGACCCCTAGGCTAGAGATGGATTGGAACTCTGTCATTGGCAAATCATTCTTCAGTTGATGCCACAACCGAATCTCGGACAGCTAGCTCCGAAATGTGGAATAGGGGTATCTTAGCGCCGACTTCCTGGTTCTAAGCAACGGACTCATCGGCACTATCGGGCATTTTATCCCAACCTTTCCGATGGGCGGGGCTTATCGGGGTGGGCTGAGGTCACGAGTCACGATGCAACCCATCCCAGACTCACCCCGTACGTGGACCCTGACTAGAATCCTGTGGAGGCGTGATGGAAGATTGGGACATATCATCGGAATCTAGAGGGGTGCCAGGCTTGGTCAGACATTGTTGCCCCTCTCACTTTTCTTGGGGTATATATACACATTTTATTACGGAACTGACACAAAAGCTATTTTACCGTCGTCCCTAAGCCTCTAAAAGAGTTCATCGCCTAATAGGCTCGCTTATGATTTCATTCGGTTTAACTTAGCAACCTCAGCCCATATCGCTGCCTTCTTGTTTCATTACTATTCTAAGCGTGGGAAAACATGCATTCGTTGGACCCCCTTACTCCGGCTGAGATCAGCCTGGTCGCGTCCTTGATCAAGAGAGCGAACGCGGATAACACTGTTCATTTTAAGAACATTGATTTGATTGAGCCACCAAAAAAATCCCTTCGGAAATATTTGGTTGCGGAGAGAAATGGCTCAGTTCCGCCCCCTGCCTTGCCTCGACATGCCTCGGCTCTTTACTACCATCGCGGAACGCCAAACCTTTTTGTTGCAACTGTGGACATTGATGCCTCCCGGGTCGCTAGAATCAAGAAGCTTGAATCTCGCTATTATGGACAAGCTGACATGGACGAGGTCGTCGAGGTGAGAGATGCATGTCTGAGGCATCCCAAGGTGATTGATCGGATCAAATCTTACGGACTACCCGACAATATGACGGTGGTCTGCGATACTTGGCCTTATGGGCGAGATTCCGACCAGCTGAATCGGAGAATTGCTCAGGTGATTATACTCTCGCAGAAAGAAACGAGAATGAGGCAATTTGGCTGACGTTATTCTCTTGCGTGGTAGTGCTATCTTTACGCAAAGGATCGGTCTCACCCTGGCTACAACTCTTACGACAACCCCCTGCCCTTTTCACCAGTGATTGACTACCTCACAAAAGAACTCATCGACATAATCGAACTCCCCCTAGGCTCGGACCATTCCGTCACTCCAGAAGTGAAGCACATCCCCCATGCTAACAAAGAATGGCACCATGACCTAAACTCTCTGCCCAAGCGGGCTGACTTGAAGCCTCTCACAGTCCACCAACCATTGGGCGCGTCATTCACGGTGGATGAACACCTTGTGCAGTGGCAGAAGTGGCGATTCAGGGTTGGATTCAACTGGCGAGAAGGCATGGTCATTCACGACGTCACCTACGACGGACGGGAGTTGTTCCACAGACTCAGTCTGAGCGAGATGTTTGTCCCTTACGGAGACCCCAGAACACCTTACTCACGAAAGAGTGTTTTTGACGTCGGAGATATTGGAGCTGGAGTTGCTGCAAACAATTTGGCTCTCGGATGCGATTGTTTAGGATTGATTAAGGTAAGTTTGACCTGTGAATGAAGAGACAAGGAGATTTCTAACCGGTGAATGACAATAACAGTACTTTTCCTTCACCCTCAACGACTCCAATGGAAACCCAGTCCCAAAGCCAAACGCAATCTGCATGCACGAGATTGATGATGGAATCGGCTGGAAGCATACTGATGGCGCCACAAAGGAAGTCTCTATTGTGCGATCACGAGTCCTTGTTCTCCAGACGATCATCACTGTCGGCAACTACGAGTACATTTTCAAGTGGCATTTCGACCAAGCAGCTGGCCTTCACTACATCATTCAGGCAACGGGAATTCTCTCCACCGTCCCAATCGCGCCCGGGGTCAAAGTTCCATGGGGAACAAACGTCAATCACGGCGTTATGGCTCCCTATCATCAGCATGTTTTCTCTCTGCGCATCGACCCTACTTTGGATGGAGACAAGAACAGTCTCATTGAGGAAGATTCTTTAGCCATGCCTTTCGATGAAGAGAACCCATGTGGTGTGGGTTATATCACCAAGACCAACGTCGTGTCCACATCGGGAACTTCGCAGGCCGTCAATAACCGCGTACACAAGATCGTCAACCCTTCGGTCATCAACAGGATCTCTGGCAAGCCGGTTGCGTACGCCATCCACAGCCCCCAGAAGCAGATGCTCCTCGCCCACCCCGACTCATGGCATGGCAAGCGGGCCAAGTTCGCTCTTCACCCCTACTGGGTCACGGCCTACCGCGATGGAGAACTCTATGCCGCAGGCGATTACACCTACCAGTCGCTCCCAGATGACGTAGCTATGGAAGATGACGGTGCAAACAAGGGAGATGTTGCCACTTGGGCAAAGCGGGGTGACAAGGTGGACAGCGAGGATATTGTGCTGTGGCACTCGGTCAGCTTGACGCATAACCCTCGACCTGAAGACTATCCCGTCATGCCTTGCGAGACGATGATGGTTAGCCTGAAGCCTAGCGGCTTCTTTGAACAGAATCCTGCCCTGGATGTCCCGCAGAGCACCCAGAGGATGAACAAGAGTGTCCTGTTTGAGGAGGAGGCTCCGGCAACTGGAAGCAGGAGCGGGGCTTGCTGTGGCAACTCCAAGCTATAAATGACTAGATCAGCAATAGATAGAAGACGATGATTTTTATAACATATTTGTTATAGCTTTTGCGGTTGAGTGAACATTTGCTAGGATGGCCATTCTTGGATATCTGCCCAATTACTGCACCACCATTGATCAAGAACAGTGAGGTTATCCCCACAATAGATGACACAGAAAGGTTTCTGGCAAAAATCTGTGAACATGTCATTACCTCGATATAACAATTCCGAGCAGTGTGACGTTCACTGACGGAATTGTTCAGCTATGGGACATAGCCAAGTGCTCCTTGTCCCGTTCATCATATGTGTCGTCGAATATGGGGTACGATCTAGTGAAAAGTGAGTTTGGCAAAGGCTTTCATTGAATTTATCGAGCCTGGTACAGCTACAAGCTGAAATATATCCTATTTGAAAAGTCCAGATCTGGTGCTGGGTCGAAGCCCTCCCCTAACCCGCCTTGAAGATCTCCCATCCACTGGCGATGCATCTCCTCTGTCATGGGAGGCGTGACACCTTCCAACGAATTCATGATATCGACAGTCACGGAATTATCATGTTCAAACTCGGAAGGAATCTCAAAATCAGCCACCAAAGGCTCCGTCGCCATCTCTCGAATCATCCTCAGTGTGGGTTGGTGGATGACTACCTTGCTCAAGCCGGCCCAATGTTCTTCGATCCCATTCCTAGAGGCTGCGCTGATCATGGCGGGTCTCTCCCATGTCAAACCGATGGGTATTTCACCTGCCAGGAGCTCAAACGTGTCTCGTATGCATTCGGCCTCGGCCCAACGTTCTGCGAGGATGGCCAAGGTGCTAGAGCAGGCCCGGATAGCGTCAGAGACGTCGGGCGACGTGTACGAGTCCTTCCACCGTGAGGGTGGGGTTGCAAAGAAGCAGTAGAGTAAGGTGACTCCGATTTGAAATTGCGTAAGAAGCTAGATATCCACGATTAGGCGATTGTACACAAATTAAAAAGGGATAGATGCAAATCGAAATGGGGAACCCTTACCCCTAACCACGGCTGGGCAATCTCTCTTGCCATCTGGAACCTCCGGAACAGAACCAACGAGTGACAACAAGCCTGCACAGACCAATCACCTGAGATGCCGTGGGCTGTTCGCCTCGTCGGTCTGAAAAGCATCACAATGTTGTAGTAGTAAATCATCGTGAGCCATCCGGGGCTCACATATCCCCGTTGGGTGGGCTTGCACGACAGCTCCAATCCTTTGTTCCATTCCTTGAGCTTCTCCATGAGTTTGATGCGCCATGTGAACGTCACATCGGAGTGTGGCACATAAGTCTTGTCGAGCACTGTGTTCTGAATTTCAGACTCGAGCTGGCGGCCTACTAAGACGTGGAGAGCCGTTGACAGATTGGTGTAGCCAGAGTATCCGCGCAGAGGAGTACCCGGCTGTGTCGAAGAGGCTACCTCGAGGAGTAGATCATCGTCGACATTCTCGAAGATCTTGCAAAATTCAATTTATTGAGTGGACATGATAATTTGGCAGGGAATCTAGCTAACACTTACAGCAACTGTTATGTGATTGTCTGGAATCGAGGTCGGAAAATCAAACGAGCTGCAAACTGCTCGATCAATCGCGTAGGCACACCAAAAAATCTTCCGGCGATGCTGGATCTGCAATAAGGCGTCGGCATCGGTAGGCTGAGGCTCAGTTTCTGCCAGGTGTAGTTGCGACATGATGCAGAATCTCATGGTCCAGGACGAAAGGAAAATAATATTTTCTTGAAATGGCATGTGGAGAGCGTAGATGGTTAATAGGAGGAGGCCTTGTGCTCGAATGACGGGATCGGGTGCTGAAACTAGATAAGAAAGATATTTTGAGGTTGCCAGAGAGTACAGTGCCTGAAGGTATAAGAAATGTCAGAACACCATTCGTATGCCGAGATGAATTCCAATCTAGCCAGACTGACCTCAGCTCTTTCTCTCCCATTAACTCGAGCCTTTGTCATAAGAAAGGCGATGGCATAAACCTGAGAGCACAATATGATAGACATTAGAGATTGATTGGCCGGGGAAAGAGGCAGAGCCATTCAAATCAAATCAACTCACCATGTACACGATAAAGGTCTTCCACCCCATTTCCGGAGGTAAGGAAGTTCTGTCATTTCTCCAATTATCGATCCACTCGAGAAATTGATGTTTGAGGAGAAACGGATATTGAGAATGGGCCATCTCAAAGTAAGTTTGGATGAGAAACTGCTCCGTCTGGGTGTCTAAATCCACGGCCTCAGGCCATACTGACGTATCTAGGCTGGAAGCTGGATGAGAAGTCCCTGATAGGGCTGCGAACAGTGTATGGTCGGGTGGGGTCGGCACCAGGGGTAATACTGGGCCTGAGGTAGTGATAGCTTCATTATGGAGAGTGGTAGCAGGCTCGACATGGCTTGGGAATGCGTTATCGGGGCGCGGCCGCGGACCATAGGGCTGGGTGGGCAAGAATGGTAAGTCGATGCGTGAAGCAGTGTGTGAGAGAGTATGTGGATAGATATTCAACATGGCACAACTCTAAAAACTCGAATTGTCGTACCTGTACATCTCTTGTTGGGGATGGTAGTGACTGTTGGCCTCTAGACCGAGAGGTTCCGTCAATGTGATCTAGGCTCTCTTGAGGTATGAGCCGTTCTAGCTGTGCTATCCGTTCCTCTAGTCGATGCACATATCTAAGAGCCAACAGGCAGCCATCATTAGTATAACACCTGGAGCCACTGAAGGTGGTCGGACGAACTCGGATTCCAAAGGTGGTTTCGATATGTTTGACCTTGCGGGGACACATTCTACAAAGGGGTTAATCTCGCTTAGTTGCTGGATATGACTGGCAGAACGATTGGGCCAGGGTCTAGTTTACCAGCACCAGAGTGAATACAGTTTTCACAGGGCCGCACTTCGGTACACTTTGCCACAAGAAACAGAGAAATGGTCAGATCTAGAACGAACAGGCACACCGAGGGAGTTCTCTGCTGAAGTGGAAGAGGGGCAACAGGCGGCATTCACCTTCTGCTTTCGATGCCGGCAGCGGGCACAGGCCAAAGGTTTCGGTCTCCTAGCTGAGGGACCCCCGGATGGCTCAGGTGGATCCTGTTCAACTGGTCGTGACATTCTGCGCCTGTGTCACTTCCTCCGTCTCACTTGATATCCAGGCTGTGGTGCGTGGAGGTCGTTCAGTCTCCAGATTGGCGATTTGGTTAATGATTGATATGATTCGGCGACAGGGTATCCCGCTGGGCGGACATTGTTGGCCCCGGATTTGGACAGAAAAGTCTGTTCCCGTGTTGTTTGGTGTGTGTCGGAGTCTTGGTCCGAAAGATGGTGTTGGTCGTGTGGGTCGTCTGGCGTCTTCGGACTTTGTCGGCATAAAACTATTTCCTATCAGCCTAAGTCATTAAGCTATTGCTATGAAAATTGGGTAAACTTCACTTCCCTGAAGCCTGAAAGTAGCGTGTTAATGCCAGCATATTGACAGCGAAGGCTCAGATATATCGGCGGATAGAACCAACGAGATACGCACTATCGACAAGTATTCTTTTGATAGTTATCTGTCCACAACCCTTACCGACCACTTTAGTAATATGGCGATCGAGAACACACTTAATATCGCAGTCCTTAACTGCGGCTACACATGCCAGAGCATTCAAGAAGCCCGAGGGCAGTACCATGATCTGTTTGGTGCAATACTGCAGCCAGCAGCAGGGCGAGCAAGCCGGAAGGCAACTGGTAGCCAACGAGTGAAGCTTGAAATCACGGGATGGGATACCGTTAACCAAGTGTACCCACCATCGCTGGAAAGCATCGATGGCATTATCATATCTGGTTCACCGAATAGCGCCTATGAAGAATTGGAATGGATACAAACATTGAATCGCTTTGTTGCAGGTATGCCTCTCATCCCGATGTGCGATGTCACCTTGGACTAAATTGCCTCTAGAGGTGTATCACAATTACCCCGCCATTAAAATATACGGCTCATGTTTTGGCCACCAGGTTGTGTGCCACGCACTATTCACCAGCGAGGGCGCCGTTGTGAGGAAGGATCCGGCTGGTTGGGAGCTTGGAGTGCATAGCGTCCAGCTCACAGACTATTTCGTCTCCAGGTTCCCGAATCTGCTTGATGACAACAATTTGTTGCTTCAATACTTACATGCTGATTCTGTCTTCTTTGGGGAGAAACTCCCAGAGGATGTCCATGTCATTGGCACCACTCCCCAATGCAAGAACCAGGGCGTATATCAACAAGGGAGGCTTCTAACATTGCAGGGACATCCTGAATTTGACCAATTCATTGAAGAAGAGTGCCTGAAGTTGGTAGGAAAGCGTGTCGGGTGGCAGGAAACCTTCCTAGAGGATGCACTTGTAGCCGCACGGGTCGAAGATGATGCCTCGATAGCTGCTGATATTATTGTTCAGTTCTTTGTGGAAGGGTAAGCTCTAATGTCTGATATTGATTAATCAAATTTGCGCTGCCAGAAAACTTCTATTCAGTCGATTGGAGAGAAAAGTTGGCACAGGCTTAATGTGGTCACTTAATACAGGTAGATGTGTTGAAAGATTGAGATCTAATGGCATCATTTAGAAATATAATAATGTCTCTTCAAGTTCCAACATCAGTATATACTCAAGCAGTATTCTTCTCATAGCTTAGAAGAACACCTCTCAAACGCATTATGCCTTCCTTGATAGCCTCCTCTTCATGGAACGACCAGCACAATCTAATGGAGTTTCCAAAGCTGGCTTTCGATCTCTCCTTGCTGCCTCCGTCTCCCTTGACCTCAAACATTTTCCCATACGCAATCTTCAACTCATCGTTTTCCAAGGCTACCTTGGCAAGGCCAGGAACATCTTGGTATACGCTGGGCAAGGCAATAGACAAGAAGAATCCACCGGCAACCTGAACCTTCGCTTTCGAACAGCCCCCGTCACTTGTTTTAAAGTGACTGTAATAAGGCTGCCCCGTTATGATTTTAACGCCGAGAGGTTCCAGATATTCCTCAATGGCCTGTACCATGGAGTAGTAGCGAGATGAGTAGGCTGGTATTAGAGTCTTCTCGATGTGGGTTTGAAGTGCTCTTGAGGACAACATGTTTTCGATAAACGTTGAACTGAGGTGGCCTGGGTTTCCTCCAGATATGGAAGCACCGCTTGAAAAAGAACCATACTTGTTAGTCTTCGATTCGTGAATTTGGGAAATCCATGATTGAACCTACGTAGTCGCAAGAAAGTTTACAAATGCAGGGGTGCCCATTGCCCACGATACTCTCGCTCCTGGAGCAATGATTTTGGAAAACGAGCCATTACTCATGGTATTGCCCCATTTGCTTTCGGGGTCAAGCTCTCGGTTGATATCCACGAGTGTAGGGGGGGTTTCTAACTTTCCACCTTCAACGTAGTTCTTTTGCTCGTGCGGCCAGCTTAGAAAGTCGTACACATCATCCGATATGACAAGTGCATGGTACTCTATAGCAAGACGGACGAGTTCATATCGATGTTTCAGGGACATTGTTTTACCGCTAGGATTGGAGAATGTCGGCACAACATAGATGATGTGTTTGTATATCTTCTCGTATCCATTGGCTGTTGTTTTGAGCCGGCCCTGTTCGCCCTGACCGGCATATTCAGCCTCGGTTTCAGCCAATGCCTTTGCGAGAAAGCCCAGATCGATGCCTTCATCATCTTCTGGCACGCCTCTTAGCTTGCCGATGAAGCCGCAGTCCTCGAACACTGGGCAGGCTAAGAAGTAGGTTGGTTCCACCATCCAAACCCGCCTGGTGTACGAGGGATCGGCGAACCGGAGGAGGGCATTGGAGAGATTCTGCGATGCGCCTCCCGCAATGCATACGCGGCTCTCTTCAATCGCCTCGGGATCGTTGTGGTACATGGAACCGAGGAACTTCGCCATTTGGCTGCGAAGCGGAACATGGCCACGACTGGGACCGTAGACCAGAGCAGAACTGGCGGCATCGAAGCTACTTAGAACAGAAGTTACAGCCGCGTTGAGGGCCTCACTTGGGAAAAGGGAGGGAGAAGGCCATCCTAATTGGAGGTTGATTTGCTTCCCGGTGGGGAGAAGGGAGGTCATTTCGTCTATGATGTAGAATCAATGAAGAGATACGTCATTGCAAGCAACCCGCCAAAAGTTAAAATTCATGACAGCAACAGCATGTGAATGTGAAGAGGGTGGTTCTTAAGTGCCAGAGTCTTCGCCAAGCAGTCACATCAACGTCAAAAGTCCGGTCCCCAGTCCCCAATCATTTTCAGTGGGCTCCCAACGCTGTCCGAACCCATATTTACTGGACAAATAGGGCATTGAGCTAGATCAATCCGAAATCTTCGGGCATTCCTCATGGTGTTGGGCGCGCATGACTTGGATCGGACCTTAGCGTCCGATGATGTCGCATTGGGATCGGACCTGGACTGCGCCATGACACGGTGAGTACTCACTGTATATTACCTTGAAGTGTGTGAAATGTCCAAGGTGAATAGCTAGCCAGACAAATCTCATCGATCAATTGTAGTTCTAGACGTAAAGCTACACTCTCCGCCATGACCCAATCACTACCTTTCCAGGTGCGTTCACAATCAGCACGATCATCAATGGAATGATGCTTGGAAGCTGATAATAAGCCAGCTCGACTCCCCATCGCTTTTTAAGGACCAATCCTATGTGGATGGCGCCTGGGTAGAGTCGGCATCTGGAAGACGATTTCACGTGACAGGTTGGCTCACCTCATAGCCCAGTGAGGATATTGCATCATGTTCACGATACTAACCAATTCCAGATCCTGGAACAGGGCAAAACTGGGCGTCTGTTCCAGAGAATGATGCTTCAGATGTGGAACCTGCAGTTCAGGCAGCCCAAGATGCTTTTCTTCTGTACCGCAAGACCACACCACGCCAACGGTCGCAATATTTGCTAAACTGGCACCTCCTTCGAAAGGAACACAAAAGTGATATTGCCAAGATCATCACATATGAGACTGGAAAGCCTCTCAATGAGGCTGCGGGCGAACTGGATTACGCAATCAGCTCTACATGGTGGTTTGCGGGAGAGGCTGATAGAATCCAAGGCACCTTCTTCGACTCATCGATGCCTGGAAAGAAAGTGCTAACTATCAAGCAGCCCATAGGCGTAGTAGCGGCACTTGTTCCCTGGAACTTTCCTGTCGCGTGAGTTGACAAGCTTTCTCCATCTCGTGCTGCCTTCATCCTGACTGATCTTCGATAGGATGGTGGTCCGAAAAGCCGCAGCAGCGCTTGCTGCCGGATGCACCATGATCGTCAAGCCATCCCCAGAAACTCCATTATCTATCCTCAGTTTGGCACAACTCGCGGCGCAAGCTGGTTTTCCAAATGGGTGTTTGAATGTTCTCACGACCAGCCTTGCGTATACTCCGGCCCTGAGCGAGGCTCTCTGTCGTCATGCCCTGGTTAAAAAGGTCACTTTCACTGGCTCGGTATGGGAAAGAATTTCAGTAAAACGTAGGATTTAATTGTGCTAATCGGCCATTCCAATGCCCGCAGACCAGAATTGGAAAGCTGATAGCCAAGATATGCTCGGATAGCCTCACAAAAGTCACCCTTGAGCTTGGTGGCAACTGTCCATTTGTCATTTTTGACGACGCAGATCTAGATCAAGCAGCGGCCGGTAAGTTAATTTGCATTATTAGTCAAAACAAAGCAGAGCTGTCTGACTTGCATCTTCCAACAGCTCTTATGAATCTCAAATGGCGAAATTCGGGCCAGGCATGCATCAGTGCCAATCGCGTCTACGTCCAAGGCGGTGTCTACGAGAAATTCGCCTCCATGATCACTGATTTGACCTCCAAACTTGTTGTTGGCCATGGCAGCTCCAGTGATTCGACATTGGGTCCCGTTACCACGCCACAGAGCCTCGATCGCATCTCAGAGCAAGTTAAAGACGCCCAGCTTCATGGAGCTCTGATCTTACTCGGAGGCAAGAGAGTAGAAAACACCACCGGATACTTTTTCCAGCCGACGATCATCGCCGATGCTACAAGTGAAATGCGTGTCACGCATGAAGAGTCATTCGCTCCCATCCTCACCTTTTACAAATTTCAGTCCGAGTCAGAGGCAATTAAGCTTGCAAATGATACGCCGGTAAGATTAGCTGCCCTCTATCTACACGATCTTCTTTCTATATTGGCTTAATGCTGTGTCCAGATGGGGCTCGCCTCATACGTATTCACCAAGGATTTAGATCGAGCCTGGAGACTACTCGATGAAATTGAGGCTGGCATGATCGGGCTCAACACAAGTACGAAATTCTTAACAACCGTCACATTAACTAAACCTAACTTGAGATAGGTGCAATCACGGGTGCTGAATCCCCTTTTGGTGGAATGAAGGAATCTGGATACGGAAAAGAAGCCGGGAAGGACGTAGCCGTGGAGGAGTACCTTGTGACCAAGGCAGCCTCAGTGGCAATAGCGAGCAGGCTGTAGTTTGTAAACGCTGATTTTGGTCGGACAAAGGTCACAAGGACTTAGGCAAATAGAAATTCGATAGTCATTTCAATTGAAGAGTCTTATCGCAAGAATCATCCACCATGTTTTGGAAGTGAAGCAACTACCGAGTCGGAGCCGTCTCTTCTCATTTCTTACTCCAAGACCTGTTCCAAGTGACAATCTAATTCTCGCCTATCTACGTATCGACCGTTCATTCAGTTGAGGCCTTGCTGATGATTGAGCTATCTGCCCAGCCATGAACACTAGTTCTCCTGATACAGGGTTTCCCCAACCTGAGAGATAAGGATAGGTTTGATCCACCACTCTGTGAGGATGCTGATTGGATTTCGGCACTCTTCGGGGCCCATCGGGGTGTCTCCGATGAATCTTTGTGGCCGCCCGCAACCATCAAGAATCTGGGCGAGTCAAGGCTTGGGCGGAGAAGAGAACTAAGATTCTTTAGCTCCTGATATTGGTGTCACGCAAGCAGAGAGCATGGATGCGATGCGTATATAACACCCAAACGCGTGTGCCTTTTTGCTTTCTTGCAACACCGCTCTGGATTTGGCACAACGATAACCGAAACGAACGTATACAACATGACTGAGGCAGAATCCAAGGAAATCGCACCGGTGACGGAGGCTGACGGCGACATCGGGGAGAGCAAGGTCATCCATGAGACGGGTGACGTTATTGACGATGGTGTTCGACGTGCCCTCAAGTCTCGCCATCTTCAGATGATTGCCCTTGGAGGTGTCATCGGCCCTGGAACCTTCTACGCGACTGGTTTTGCTCTTCAGTATGCAGGCCCAGTGGGTTCGCTCATTGGCTACATTATCATCGGTATAGACGTCTTCTTCGTCACGCAGTCTCTCGGCGAAATGGCCACCATGTTCCCCTCTACTGGCTCATTCAACGAGTTTGCTGGTCGCTTTGTGGACCCGGCTTTGTCATTTGCTCTGGGATGGAACTATTGGTACATGTGGGTGAGTTACCGAGCTTCCTAATTCTCTCTTCTGCCACCCTAATCAGGATCAAACTTCTGACAACACCAAAACTGCATATAGGGAACGATTTTAGCGAATGAATACAATGGAGCCGCCTTGATTCTAAGCTTTTGGACCGACAAGCTTCCAAACTATGCCTGGATTTTGATCTGCTGGGTCTTCTTTATGGGAACTTCGCTCCTGGGCGTTCTTGTCTATGGAGAGATGGAGTTCTGGCTCGCGTCCTTTAAATTTGCCGTTACTCTCATTCTTTACCTCGTTGCAATGTAAGTCTGCGTACTAATGACCATCCAACGAGGTCATAGAGGACGAGTGATTAGCTAACTCACTCGACAGCCTTATTGATACCGGAGCAATTGGTGGCGAATACCTTGGATTTAGGTACTGGAGAGATCCTGGACCGTTCGCCAACGGTATCAACGGTTTCGGAAAGGTTCTGGTCCTGGCGGCTGTCATGTACTCCGGAACTGAAGCAGTGGCGATTACCGGTGGAGAATCCCGAAACCCTAAGCGAGATATCCCCAAGGCCCTCAAGCAAACCTTTTGGAGGATCTTGATCGTCTATGTTGGCATGGTGTTTTTCACCGGCCTCATCGTTCCATCCAACTCTGAAGGCTTGTTGAACGCCAAGTCCAAGTCTGCCTCATCTCCCTTCACCGTTGCCCTTGTCAATGCAGGCTGGGGTGGTGCCGGCAACCTGATCAACGCCATCATCATCATGACACTTCTCTCTTCAATCAACTCGGCTATTTATATCGCCAGTCGTACTATTTTCGCCCAGGCCAAGGTCGGCCGGGCCCCCAAGTTCCTGGCCAAGGCCACGAAGAATGGCGTGCCGGTCAATGCCATTGTCTTCACCAACCTTTTCGGCTTGATTTCTCTGCTGAACATTTCCGAGAATGCCGGAAATGTATTCAACTATCTCCTCTCCATCTCGGGATCCGCTGCCTTCATTGCCTGGGCATTTATTGGCCTGACCCACGTGCGTTTCCGTCAATCGATGAAGGCTCAGGATGTTTCGACCTCTGTGCTCCCATTCAAATCTTTTGGGTATCCCTACATCCCCTGGATTGTGTTTGGCGTCAATATTTTCCTCGTCTTAATTTCAGGCTACACCACCTTCTTATCTCCTTTTGATGTCAAGGCATTTATCTTTGCCTACCTCGTGATCCCCATTTTTGCAATCCTTTATGTTGGATGGAAATTTTATCACAGTAAGTTGCCATCCCTTGAGCTTCCGTCACAAATAATTATGGCAAATCAGTACGGCAGAATTATACTAATTCATATCTTCTCTTCTTCTTTTTAGAGACAAAATGGGTCAACTCTGCGGATGCAGATATCTCGAGTGGTCGCAGAGATTGGTTGGTTTGTGGTTCTGATGAAGAAGCTCCTCGTACATGGGCTGGCAAGCTGAAAAATGTTCTCATCGGTTAGGGGAAATGACCAGCCAGCTCACTGGCCAACATGAGATTAGATTTTACCACATCTTCGGGCTCTTCTAGCCTCGTTCTTCATTTTCGTCGAAATATAATTTTTAATTCCACCAATATACCACCTAATCTAACAGTTTGTCGGTTGCATTTTCAATGAAATCATCGCAGCTGTGAATAAACTAATCGAGTAAACTCAATGTACTCTGATACTCCATCACTTATCATGAGGGAACTTCCCTTCGGATTCAAAGTAGCTGAAATCACATACCTGAATATCAACGCCGTGGGTCCCACTCTGCTGATCTCTACATGTTACGCCTAGAACTGTTCAGCTCGCTTAACCCATGAGACAACCTGATCCCATGACTATTTCCCCAGGAATCTCGACCCGATCCTGGGACGCCTCCGCATTCGACTAGGTACGTTGTAAGTTAGTCTGGGACGGGGTGCAGCGCATCGTAGTCACGGTCCGACACATGGTTGATTTCGCCCTCCTCCGCCGATCGGGGCAACGTCCGATGGCAAGATACAGGATCTCCACATTTACCTACTATCCGATACAGTCCTTCCTGGTCTGGTCGGTGCCTGTCCCCGACAACTTCTATGGCATGTGAAATGCAAGGGACCCCTACAAATACGACTATCGAGTTAATGAGTTACGACATGTAATAGTCATAAGTGATACATTAAACTGTCATCCTTGTGTTCGTAATTCTTTTTCCGGCAAATAACCTACTATCAACGAAAGACGTCAGCTTGAAGAAAAGTGTACAGACAACATGGCTCCCAGTCCCAAAACATTTGCAAGTGACGATACCGTCCTCGATCCTGCTATTAAGTCCCATATCTCCAGTCTCTACATGGCTGTTGACACCAAGGATCTGGAATTTTGGGGGTCCCACTTCACAGAAGATGCCGAGCTGAAGAAGGGAACATCTAATGTCAGGGGAAGAGGGAGTAAGCACACAACACTTTAGCACATCCCGCTCCTCCTCGCATGACTAACTACGTACGAATCGCTCATAGAACTTGTTGACCTCGTTACAAAGTCCTGGGAACCGGTTCAAAGTCGTGATCACATCATCTACGCCGTCTTTCCCTTTGGACCCAAGGCGGAGGAGGTCATGCTCCATGGACGAAGCAACAATGTGTCCAAAGATGGTCAAGCTAGCACCTTCACTTGGGCGGCCCGAATGCATTTCAGACGAAGCGAGGATGGAAAGGTTCTGATTGATAAGTATACAATTATTCCTGTAAGTTGTGTTTACATCCTGGGTGAACGCCCGAGAGAAGTTGAACCATTTGCTGATTCCTTTACAGGACCCCCACCCGTCAACACTGTCGTAAACCCCCTCGTGCGATGGAGACAGCTTAGGGAATCGCTAGTTCAGGTAGTTATCTATCCAATACTCATTGACGTCTTCAATAAATATGATGTTCGCTTTTTGCCGTGATGCCTCTGCCCTTAAGCTGTCCCTCCATGCTAGGGAGGGTAGATAGACGCTGCTAGCAGTGTTGATCCCTAGATCCAGGAGTAGATTGTGCCCGGACGACTAAAAGGCACTCTACCTTATAGCATCACTGCTCAAGAAGGCTTAAATGTTACCCTACTGCGCCGCATGTTGATTCTAAATGTATCTGTCTTTCATTCAGTAATTGTGATAACCCTCTTCTCAAGCCAAGTTTTTCGCAGACTAGCTGGCCTTTTGTATCACGTGTGCCCTTCAGTCTGAGGCCCGGTCTCGCATATCTCATGTAGCATCCTGGATGTAGTGCGATGGATCCCGCTCTCCTCGAGTTTAACAAGAAGCGTGGCGAGGCCTTGTCTAGCCTCAGCTGATAATTGTCCTTGGGGCTGGCTGCGGGGGATTGTCGAAGCCAGCCACTCAAAGCAGTCTCGGTAATGTTCCGCCTTGGGCCATCGGTCTGCAAATATGGCCAAAACTGCACTACAGTCGCGGATCGCGTCATTCGCATGTTGGGGGACCGGTGTCATCCGCGCCCAGATGATATACCAGAGCGTGACAGCGGCACGAAATTGGGAGAGCACCTGTTGCCACTTGTTAGCACGATCTGGTGATTTAGGAAACGGGGAAATCTACGGCAAGCCATGGCTGTGCGATTTGTTTCTTCTTTTGGAGGCAGCGGAAGCTGGTGCATGCCGCACAGCTTGCTTGGAGGGCATTGTCGGCGTTTGTGGAGAAGATATTGGCCTTGTTAACGAAACAGAAGGATAGTCGAGTGAGATGGCCAATATGCTGGAGCCAGAGAGGGTTCTGATAGCCGCGGCTGGACGGAAAACTGCCGTTTGTGAAGAAAGATTAGTCGGCCATGGCTGCGACAAGCGAAAAGGGTATGTATTCAGTATCGTACCTGTGTTTGCGGATAGTCTCATCATTTTCCCACTCTCGCAATTCTCTCAACATGTGGATTTCCAAGTCCAACGGGACAGGTTTCCCCTCCAGTTCATCCTTCTCAATCATGTGCATAAAGAATGACTGAATAGTCCTGATTTTGCAAATATAAGAGAATGTCCGGAGATCGGGATACGACACGTCCTTGTCTAGTGTGTCACAATGCTCTATCCAAGGCAGATTTAAACAAGGATTTTCCATGGCACGGTCATCAAACTCGTACAATGGAGTTGATATGTACATATCGGGCAAGCTCACTGGGGTCCCAAGTGCCGAGCTAGCAGCTCTGTCAAGTCTTTATGGTGAAAGCAGACTCTATCAGCCTTCTGTCTCCCTGAAAAATGATTTGCTCTTAGTAATGGCTTACACGTAGGCACACGACCAGGCTCTGATCGATATCAAATTTGTCGGGTCGCTAGGATCTCTCTTCAGCCGGTGAAACCGATGCAGGGACGCAAACTTCATAATAGCGCCGCTAATGTGTGCAATTCGCCAGGTGCTTTCGGCGTGCAGCGCGAACATGGCAGAGAGGAGCATGGCCTGCAATCGTACAAGGGGAGTGGAAGTTGAGTCGGCTAGAATGGATTGCTCGGCTTGCGCTCGTGATTTCAAGTTTTGGTAATGGGGGAAAGATGCATTATCGATTTTAGATTCAATGAGAGACCCAATCGCGAATATCTTGTCAGTCGCATCAGCATATAGACATCATAATACTCAATCGGCTGGAGGTTAGGATACATACCATATTGACGAAGAATGCTGGCCACCCGACAAATTCCGGGCTACCTCCGGTCCTAGTCCATGCCCTATAATGAGCCGCACATGTCTCGATGTCTAGGAAAGGATATTGGAGGTGAACAGTAGTGAAGTATGTGTGGAAAAACGAAGCCGCTGTGTGAAGCGGAATATCGTTAGGCGAGATGCCGGAGGGGCTCTGCGAGTCCGAGGTTCCCTCAATGAACTTGGACAGAATTGTAGAGATAGTCGATGATTTACCATTGGCCATTCCTGAGCTTTCTGCAACGAAATCATGTGGTGCTCCGCTGCCAATAGATGGGGGCTGTCTCGGCGATGGACCAGGGAGTCTTGCTGACGGCGGCGTCTGCGAGTAAATCCGGTTCTCGAAATCAGAATTGCGGGATGCCAGAGACCCAGAGGCAGATCGTGGAGTTCCAGTGATGGCATGCCGGACTCCTAGACCGCGCTCATCCCGAGGTTGGTTCATGTCCACCCTTTCAGGGTTCAGCGATACCCCAGGGACGATCGTTGTGCTGCATCCTAAGAGTACAGGAAATTTGTTAGTATGCCAGAGACAACTAGGAATAGGGATTGTGTGAATGCCATTATTACCAGCTCCGACCGCGATACAATTCTGGCAGGTTGACTCTCCATCCGCATCACAGACGATGTTCAGCCGTATGCAACGCTCACATGATCGTTTCCTTTTCCTTGTCGAGACTCCGACAGATGGTGGAGACATTATTTGAATTAGTGAGTGAAGGGGGTAACCCCGGCCGCTTTCATGGACGAATGGTTTTGCAAAGGAGGAGGTCCAAGTCCGAGGGGAGCTCCCCCTCGAGGAGGTGAGGTGAGGGATGTGAACCAGGGAGAGCTGTCACCAGCCTCAAAGACTGGATGAGATTAGGTAAGCCAGGAGACAGCGAAAATTCCATAAGATGACGCTACATGCTTGGAGCGCAGCGTCACCGAATCAGATGCACCTTGTGGTCCAGGACAGGTTGAGTCCAAGCAGCGAGCGCTCGCATGTGCGGCATTAATTAGAATCACCTAGCATCGTTCGAGTTAGATCAAACTGTCAGGCCAAAACAACTACCCTACACTTCAAAGGGTAGTTTGGTATGGTCGTAGGAGAGGATATTTTCCGATTCTACTCTTCTCACACTGCTATACTAGATGACATCTACGCTTTTTGGATCTTTTGTAACTATGCATAGTGTCATCGTAATCTGTATGTTTGCACTTTTGGAACTGATTATGAGCTACCGGCTGTGTTTAATCTGATCGCTCATGGCACAATCTTCTCTCCAGCAACAACAGCAAAAAAGGCGTCCGCAAGGTATGATCCTGCGTAACTAAGCTTGTGGAATCCATCGACAATGGGAGGCGCCCTTGATGGTTTAGAAATCGTCTCGATGTATCCAGCAATGCCATCCCTCTGCCACTCCTTGGCAAACTTCTCTGCCGTAATGTTCAGTCCTGCTACGGACCAAATGGGCTGGACCTGCCATACGATGCCCAATTTGGCCATGTCGTCGCTGAAAGATTTTACCTGTTCCTGACCGAAACCGGCCGCTTCGTAGTTGTACATTCCCGTGAAACCAAACGCAAACATTCGGTCTGGGTACACCTTGCGGACCTCGGTATGAAACTCGACGATATCTTTCCAGACTATTGATCACTTATTAGTGACAACTCCGAGAACTAGGTGAGCTTTTGCTTGTTTGAAAGAAACTTACCTGGCGCGTCCATCCTGGCCCATGTCATATCGCCCAAGGGTGCGACTAGAATGGCTCGCTCGACAATTGTCTTGACACTAGGTTTCCACATGTACTGCCCCTCCTTGGATCTAGGGAGTTCCCAATCGAAGAACACATCTTGCTTTACCAACTCTTTGGCAATTCGGCGTTTTTCTTTGAGTGAGATACCATAAGCAATGGCTTTCGAGGCGTATTGTTGGAATTCCTCTTCTGTGGCTTTTTCCTTGACAGCCTGGTCAAATGTCATGAGGCCAGCCTGGGACTTCCATTCATCGCGTGCTTGCACATATGGCTTCCCTTCCGCCATGCCCTGTGCTACGTACTCTACCAGAGGGTCCAGGTCTTTGGTGGCTCCGATGATATACTCGTGGTCGCGAGGGTCAATGGTGCTTGTGATGAACTGGGACCGGTCAGTGTCGCAACGACACATGAGCAACGTGTTGGTCCTGTGTAATCAATTGTGACAAGATCAGCCATTCATTCTTTTGGTCAGGGATTCATTCAACCCTACCCCATAACATCAAATTGCATACGGACAGCAGTCAATCTCGACAAATACTCGCTGGTGGGGACTACGGTTCTTCCTTCGCCAACGGTAAACTTCTTCAAGCCGATCGCCAAGTCATCCAGATGGATCATGGCGACGCCGGCTTCCACGAACAGTTTGGCCAGTTTGACGGTTGTTGTGAGGCCGCCAAAACCCATGTCCCCATCGGCGATGATCGGAGCCATGAAGTCATACTTCTCGAGGTTCGCGCGCTCCTCTTTTGAGTGGCGCATTCGAAACTGATTTTGCCGCTGGTCATGGAAGAGCTGCGCTTTGAAGATCTTTTCAACGACCTTTGGCACCGTGTCCCACGGGTAATCTGCGTGATCACAACCTGGATGCTGAACTTCGGATAGGCCGCATAAGGCTCCAGATACATAGACAGTCTTTCGAATAAAGGTAGATCGTACCTCTAGTTAGCACTTCAAATACTTCTAGTAGAAGTTGACATATGATGGGAAAGTGGGATCTTGAAGAACTTAATCCAGTACCTGTTGATGCTTAACCATTTGAGAAACGACAGTCGGTTCTGTGGTGCCAAATGTCTTCTCATGAGTTCCATTTGCCAGATGAGTCTTCAGAATATTCCAAAGCTTATCTCCTTGCAAGCTTGACGGATACGTTATCGGTATCGTGTTTCGTAGAGCTGCAATCGACTCTGCCGAGTAAGGCCTAGAATAAGACGGATCAGCACTTATTTTCAGACTCCTGTCAATCCATCGCATACCTCTTCAGATGAGCCTGCCTGGGATTTTGCCATTCTTTCTCGATAGCAGCTACCTGCGCCTGGAATGCCGCTTCTTCCGCATCTAGATCGAGGCTGACGTTGGGCATGGTGGTGATCTGAACTACCTAAGATAGAATATAGTGATGTGCTGTGTGAAGCTACATACAGTTATCAAATGCGGGCAATTTGAGAAATAAACCATCACAACCACTGCTTGTTGGACCATGTCAAGGCCATTAATAAACCCGGATCTCAATTCCCGGCCGCAGTTGTTATTTCGGTAAGATATCCCCGACGGATTGCGATGGATAGCTCACGGGCAACAGAGTGTGTGTGTGGGTTTGGGGATCGGACATAAGGCCCGATCCTGTCCCCGATCGCCCCGAATCGATATCTGGGGGTCTGTCACTGGGGCAGCTCCCCTGGACTCTGGGTCATCCACCCCTGTAATCCTATCAGGGTCGGTCATCTTCCAATAACCTCCTTGGTGTTTTTTCTATTGGCCCATTACTCAAGAGCAACTCATTAATACGATGATTATTTCTCATTGCTGTCGAAGAGGGTGCTATGAGCCATTGGTAATACGATAATGATCACTGCGCTATTGGAACAAACTCTCCATGCCGTTCCTTTTCCATTCTAGTACCTGTATTATGATACTATATGTCAGAAATGTAGAGCACCGCGTTCACTAGTTCTGAGACTCGAGATTTAAGAGCGACCACTGCTGGAACAGAAAGCGCTGCTTTCGTGGGAAAAAAAAACCAACTCCAATAAATACATAGAAATATAAATAAATTACTCGATCTAGATGTATATAGGTTCTAAAGGTCCATAGTAAATACATCTGTGGGCTTACTCCAGGTCGTTGGGTCAATGCCTTGCTTTTGTCCCACTAAGGCACTAAGAGAGGGAACGAGTATATTGTTTTTCTCCCCTTAGTGGGGCAGCGCGGAGAGCGATTGACCCGCGATTGTATTTCTCGAGTTTGAAGGCTGGCAGTTGATGCTTGAAGAAAACAAAACAACATTTTATTTTATGACGATTGGTTATGCTGCCTCTTTTTCTTGTTCGACTTTTCTTACAGTAGCAATTCATCGCGTGGTTGATGTATTCATCGTTCAACACAATGCCGTCTTGTTCTCCGGTGCCGGATGTTGCAGAATGTCTCAGATGCTTCTCGCAGAAGTCTTTTCACGAATGAGTCGAAACATTTAAAGATTTGGAATGCGGCGGCAAAGACCAATCTGATCCGGCGGTGCTCTGTATTTCTCTTAATTGAATGCTATTGCTGCCCGCTCACCTTCTGTTCTGCTCTCTCACGGCCGGTCTCGTAGAATCGACGTATCCACGCTGTGACTTCTTGCCACACGTTCAAGGAGAGGATTATTGCATATTCCCTCCGACTCGGAGCGATCCATATTCGTGGTTACACAGATTAGTAATAAAACATATGCAATATTATGTGTTCTCCATCTCCTCATCTCATGCATCAGATGTTTCCTCCCCCGCTTTCATCTATCTCCCATAGAGCCATCTCTTCATTCACTATGGCGCGACTCGAAACACTACCCTCGGAACTCATCCTTCTCATTGCGGAAGCATGTACCTTAGGCCCCCGTCCCAAGCGCCCTAGGCTGTTTGGACCTGGTGGAAATTACCATCAGCGGCCCAAGAGATCGGTGCAAATGTTTGGCAGGTATTATGCCCGATACCACGCGGCACTGGCCCGCGTCAACCGTCGTTTCCACGATCTCTTGAACGGTCCGCTGTACACGCGCAACTTGCTCCACGACCCCATGTCTGCTTCTTGTCTGCTGTTTGCAGCCGAGACGGACCGCGTAGAGACGTTGCAGCTGGCTCTTCGCTATGGCGCGGACCTGAACAAAATCGGTGACGAGAAGTTTCCCGAGGAGTTGCAGCCATTTCACGCCGCACTCGCCGCGCGTAGTAGCCGCGCCGTCGAATTCATGCTAAAACATGGGGTTGATGTCCATCTGCCGTCCAGTCTGCCACCTCCCGCTGAATGCGGGTACGATGCTAGCCGCAGTGTCGGGTGGCTACCACGGAACCGAAACGTGATGAAACTCAACAAAACTGCATATCCCCTGTATACAGCTGTTGTGTATGGGACCACGGAGGATGTGGCCAGCCTGATTGATCACGGCGCGTACCTGGTTGCGAAGGGAGTATCTGCTCTCAGGGTCTTGGATAACCAAGGGTGGCCCGACCTTGTCGAGAAAATCTCCCAACGCACCGATCCTGTAACGCTTCGTGCCCGTCTTCACCGTGCTGCTGCCGCTCATGACATGGACCGCATACGAGAAATTTTCAAGTACAAGATCTACGCGGGTGACCTGGATCGCGACAGACAGAACGTCCTTCACATGGTGATCCGAGCACGGAAAAAGGAGAACCTACCTCTGATCGAGCTCCTTCTCCAGCGGCCTGATATAGACGCTGCCATGGAGGATAATGATGGCATTACACCCATCTTCGCCGCCATCACAAGGCGTCATATCAACACAGTCAAACGCCTCATGGAAGTGCCCAGTGTCCGTATCACTGGTACGACGGTAAACCGCGAGACTGCTTTACATCTAGCCCTTGAGACACAAGACCCGGTGCTGATCGAGTACGTGCTCAGTCAGCCACACATCCGCCTCGACGCGGTAGATATTCAATTCCGCAGTGCCCTATCTCTCGCCTCTCAAATGGGGCGTGAAGACAACGCCTTTGCTACGATCAAACTTCTGCTCGCTAGAGGGGCACCGTTAGATGATGCAACACAGGGTGAAATCCTTTATGAACTCGTAAAGCAAGGATACCTGCGGATAGCTTTGTTTCTTCTCGGAAAAGGCCTCATTACCACGCCAAATTTCTTGGGGCATTCATACGAGCACGACCAGCTCATACTCCTCACTCTTCTAGAAGAGCCTCACGAGTTATTGATAGACGTGCTCAAGAAGCTGATTGCTCTTGGGGTCGATGTCGGCCAAGTAGCAGAACCAAGGTATTCTAGACCAAATCGTTTCAAGGCCACGCCGCTGTTTGTGGCTGCTACCGGTGCACAGAGCATGGAGAGCATGAAGCTTCTGGTCGCCGCCGGCGCTATCGTAACTGACCCGGATGTCAGCGGCTTGACCATGCTTCGAAACATCTTCGCAAACTTCTGGGGCTGGGAGCCGCCGTCGGACGACCCTGACGTTGAGGCTTACGCGGAGCGGATCTGCCTCTTTCTTGAACTCGGCGCGACAATGGGGCGCGAGGCCGCCAAGCCGCAGACCACTGCTTTAAGTTATGCTTGCGAGGCGGCAACGGACGAATCTTGCCGACTGCTCGCGTTGTTGTTGGACAATGCGACGGCAGCCAATGTTGACGAGAGCGTTGTCCGTGCGCTTATATCTCATTACGAATCTGATGAGAAACGGGAAGAACCCAAGGCAAAGGAGATTGTTCGTCGACTTGAAGCCTTTGGAGCAAAAGTGTTTCCCAAATAATGCTTCCACTGTTTTAGTCAAAAACTGGTTGGTTTCTCTCAATTAGCCCTGATGAAACTGTTGTGTGCTAACGGGGTTCAGCTGCTGTCCGTGATGTCCCACGAGTTGTTGTGGTCGGACCTGGGTAGCCTCAAATAGTATTATATGAGTATGTATGCGGATATCTGGTAGAACCAGAGGACTTTTATTTCAAATTTTGATGCGACAAGGAGGAAATCGGTGTTTTCTCTTCTTCTTTCCTTATTGGCACAGATTGCGACAACAAGCCAGCTATATCAATCTCCTTAGAAACAAATAAATCTAAAAATAGCAGAACACTCTTCGTTTTTCTTAATATAAGCGTACCATAAGCGATATCCCGCCCTCCTACCACATGAGATGCTACAATGAAAAGAAAGGGAACTTTTGTCAATTCAAAACAGCGATAAACCAAATATAAATGGTACCTCATCCAACTCGATGACCATTCAGACTTGAACTTGACGCCCCCCAGTCGTGTTCCGAAACCAGCGCACGCAATGCGATCAGTGCCTTGGTCACACGGCTAAGAGGGCGAGCATCAGAGCCTACCGTATCATTCAAGCTGATCCTGCCTATTCGCAGCGGATGCTACCAAAGAATTGAAAACAGGTTCAGTGTTCGCGTGGCAAGACAAGGATTTTGCGGGTTTAATTCCGTCATCAGCTGTCAATTTGTAATCAACAATTATCAATCCCCACCAGCTACGCAGGAGGTTGAGATTGGCTTATTACTCAAAAGTGCTCTCCCATCTTAACTGTATGCCTGGTGAATTCCTGCAACAAATTAATTTTATCCTAATTGACCTAGTCATATTCAGGTGTCAAATGTCTTCACGTACACGCACCAAAGATCAGCCCAGGCCAAGGCGCACGAAAGGTGAGATCCCACGCACGAAACTCCACTGAGGGTGTACTGTAAAATGCTGACCAGGGCGATGACAAGCATGCGATTTGTGTTTTGCTAAGAAGATCAAATGTGACAAGCGCGAACCCCAATGCTCCAACTGCAAGTTGTACAATAAAGATTGCAGTCGGAGCATTACTCGGAGTGAGGCCAAGACACCCGGTGTCCCATCCACAGCTACGAGTGGCAAGTCTAGGCAGGGTTCAAGACTAGAGTCAGTTTTTCTGGTGCTGTATCCAGTGCGGGAACAATGATATTGATAACTAAAACATCGCCCAGGTCCAGTTCAAATTCTAGACAGCAAACAGCTCTGAGTCCAGTTGATGATGCGGTTGAGCAACATGAGCCAGTGCCGATTGAGACAGACACGCCGCGAGAAATTAACTCCACGGGCAGGGTGTCCGATGTCTTCAATGAGACTGCACCTCAGGGTCCCCGTTGGAAGTTTGATCCCACCAACCCGAGTCTATACTTTGGACCGTCAGATGGTTCTCTAGAACTCCCGCCTCTCACAGTATGCCACAGCCATTTAGAACTAAATCGAACATAATTGTCTAACCGAGCATGTCAACAGGAGCTTATGCCCGCTATTGACCATTTCTTCGAGGGTATTAATACAGCACTCCCCATATTTAACCAGACTGTGTTCATGAAAATGGTCACGCGCTGGTTCAGCAATCAGCCCAAGCGAGACAGACTCTCATGGGCATCAATCCTGGTCGTCATGGCACTCGGACTACAATCCATGCCCGACGAGAGCCAGAACATTCACCAAGCCGCCACCGGAGAGACATGGCTGAGCTATTGCATGAGAAATGCACAATCTACCTTGCCCGAACTTATGTCCCGGGATGAAGACCTCGTTGGCCTCCAGGTGATTTTATCCCTGGCACTCCTATTCCAGGGCTCCGTTGATTTCAGACCATCGAGCGTTCTGCTTGGAATGGCGATCAGGCTCACGCACAGGATGCAATTACACCAGAAAGACCCAGGCCGGCATTATTCTGAAGGGGAGGCCCAACAGAGATCCAACGTGTTCTGGATCACATATCTTCTGGACAAGGTATGTTTAAAGGGCTTAGGTGAATGAAATACAAGATCTAACATTCGCTAGGACATAAGCCTCCGGATGAAAACCCCCTCTCTCCTGTCGGATGATGATATTAACCTCCCTCTTCCCGACCGTGATTCCTCAACAAACGGAGGCTTCATTCATTCGTTGCATGGGGACGCTTCCCTCAATATGCTCTATCAACGTGCTAGACTAGGTCAGATCGAGAGTAAAATCAACGCTCTCATCTGCTCAAATCATTACTTGGATTTTGACACCAGCACCAGGCGGGAGCGCGTGGCAAACTTGAACGCGATGCTGGAGAAGTGGTACTCTGTGATCCCGGCTGCTTTCAAGCCTGCTAATGCTTCTGGCTCTGTCAAGCCCGTAGATTTGGCCCAAGTCATGTATCTCCACCAGGTGTATTTGTTTTGCCAGATCTGTGTACACGGAATATGGAGCGCCAAGTCTGAGTGGATGCGTAAAATCGGTTCATTCAGTAAGGCAGCAATCGAGGATATCATGGTGACAGTCCAAGGCCCAAGAGTCACCACATGTCTACAGTTGCAGGAGCCTCCCTCGATCGCGGGATGGAATGATTGTGTCTCCACCACTCGGGAGGCAATACAACTATTTCTTCAAGCACCCCTCGCAAGTTCCTCAGCGTGGTATGTATTATGAACGAAGAGATTTGATTACAGTATATATTCTAACATATCTTCTTGATAGGTTATGCACATGTGCCCAATACTCAGGCATGATCATCCTTCTAGCCGACATAATTATCCATCCATCTACAACCAAGTCCCAAGATTTGCGACTAGTCAAAGCTTCGAAGCAGAAATATGATCAGTTTCTGGGTGATGTTCCATCTCACCTACACGAATCCTTGAATCTGATCATAGAGGACCTCCTTCAACGTGCAAGTAGCTATTGCGATGATGATAACATTGGCCCCTCCAGTGGTAGAGATTTGGGAAATGCATTCTCGTTAGATATGAGCTCATCAGAGATGCTACTCAGTAACAGTTTACCAGAACTCAGTTACGAGGATATCCAAGCCATGAATTTTGACTTTCCCGATCTCATGGCTTCTCGAATAAACGAGGAAAACATGTTTTTGGGGTTTGACGGGTAACTCTGGGGACTGTGAGCGATATCAATGGGTATTCAAGATATGGAACCGCTATATCATAATGTCGGTCTGGGCTATTTCACATTTCGTCACGAAGACCATTTTCAGAATATAAACGAGCTTTTTTTGTCATTTTTACCAAAATTCCCTGTGTTTCAACCACGATATAAATGAAAGAAAGAGGGATTTCAATCTCGTAGCATCTTAGTTGTTTCCATCATTGACCAAGACAAACCGATATCGTGGCTGTCCAGCCTCCAAATCGCGAAGCGCTTGGTTAGCTTCTGCCATCGGAATTGTCTGGACCCAAGGCTTAACATTCTTCTTGACGGCTAGATCCATCATTTCCTCCATTTCAGAAGGAGAGCCACAAATCGCACCGGAAATGTTCAGTTCCTTGTATAACAGCGTCAGCAAGCTGAAGCTTGGGTGTTGGCCGCCCGGATCAGCACTAGAACCTCGATATTAGCTACCTCACCGAAAGAAACAAGTGTGCGACTCTTACCCTAGTTGTATGATGGAACCTCCCGTTTTCAAAACGGTCATGTATTGGTCAATCGGCATGTTGCTCCCAGAGGACGTCACCAGGAGAAGGTCCAGTGTCCTTTCATTCTTCGATGCCCACTCAGAATCCTCCCCGGTTGCGATGAAACCGTCCGCTCCAAAAGCAAGCGCATCATCACGTTTGGATGAACCCCTCGAAATAGCCACAACTCGATCCGCATCGAGCGCTTTCGCAAACAGGATACCAAAGTGTCCCAGTCCACCTATTCCGACAATCCCAACTGTCTTCCCAGGACCGCATCTGTATTTTTTCAGGGACGCATACAGCGTACTTCCAGCACACAGCATAGGGGCTGCATGCTCAGAGGGCAAGCCGTCTGGAATCTTGACGGCGAAACGGCTATCAGTCCGAACGTAGTTTCCAAACCCGCCGAAGGATCTGCCCTCGCCGTCCGGGTATGTGCCATTGAAAGTCGGCACGGCCCTGGGGCAGTAGTTGACCTTCCCTGAGGAGCATTCATAGCAGTCATCCCGGAAACAGCTTCGGGCTTGCGGACCAACACCAATTCGATCACCGACTTTGATAGATTTAACGGCGGTGCCAACACGAACGGCTTTCCCGACAACTTCATGTCCAACACAGCAGGCTTAATTAAGTATTAGCTATGACGTTCTAGATTAGGGAGAACGAGATGGGAAGGAGCTCACGATATGTCGTTGGACCCCAGTCAGAACGGAGCACATGAACATCGGTACCGCAAATACCACAGTGGGTGACGCGGATATCGATGTCATGTTCGTTGAATGTTTTGGGTTCAAATTCTCCCCAAACCATCTTCCCTTCAGAGGCCTCTGCATCGTGGCCTAGCCATCCTTCGAATTTGTACATCTTCGCTTGAGGGAACGAGTTGGTAATAAATGATACTTGCAACAATGAATCAAACAACAGATCCTTCAATAGGCAGTTTGTGAGACTAACACTTAGTTATGATAACTTAATTCTAAATCTCTATACCTTGCATGCTGCCGGTTTAATATAGCTTTCTAAAGTGCTCTCCAGTCCACGGACTTTTGGCTGTCCACGGACAAACTTCTTGGCTGGATTGTACACCCCCAATCGGGGATACGAAACAGCTAAATCCAGCCCATTTAGGGAGCTATTATTTCATACAGCTGGTCCCTCAGCAGGGTGACATGCGCTAATGCAAGCTGCTTATGCTTCTGCCAAAGCGTGGAGCCACTTGCCCCTCTTTTCGAATTGCCACGCGCTCTCGACAGAGATGTCAATTAATAAGGCATCGGCAGTTTATCTCCGAGCCTCTAACAGAACGGGTTATTAATTCATACAAGGTGATTGTGCCATCTTTAAACGATGGTATCTTTGACGTTGTTGATAATGTTAAGTTTGCTTGTTTTACAATTCAACAACCAAGTGATCATGACATATTGCACTGAATGATCTAAGACATGCGTTAAATTTCTCAGCGCCACTGAAGACCACGCTTTGCTATGTGCCTATATCTTGCCAAGATCGTTGCGACTGCTCGTTTCCCTCATATTCCAGCTAGAACTAAGAAAGAGACCAAAGAAAAGAAAGCCTCAAAAGATATTCGAAGAAGCCTGCCTTCCATTGGGCATTTCTAGACAAGCGAGCAGGCAAATGTTTCGCTGCAGCACCTAAAACGCCCAGCGTGCGGGCTATGCACGAACTCATCTGCCATGGACTTGGTGAATGAATTGGCAGATGTGTTTCGATAATTCGGAAGGACAATCAATTGGAGACAGATGGCCAGAACCCTCCAGCACCTCCAACTTTGCCCCCTGAATGTTCTCGCAGACTTCGTTCTTTACCCTCTCCAGTGGTTCTACAATGTCTTTGCCAGCTGCCACGACCAACACTGGGCACCGAATGCTGGTGGTGGCCGCGGTGATGTCCTCTCCCATTCCGTACGTTGGCCATGCTTTCTTTGCCCACTCATTCCCTCGCAACATATCCGACACAAGGGATTCAAGGGCACTCCCAGACGGTGATGACGCCGTTAGAACGTTGAGGGCCACGAAGCTTGCCGAGGCTGCGTCGTCGTAGGCGTGCACCTGTTGATCGCGCATTTCCGGTGGGAGGCTCAAGGGTGTCGGAGGCGCTGGGCTGACGAGGACGATGCCCTTCAAGCCAGGAAGTTCGCCTTCTCCTGCCAACAGCTGTGCTACTTTTGCCCCCATCGACAGGCCGACAATTATGTACTGTTGCAGCTTTAGAGAAGCAATGACGTGTTTTACATCTGACGCGAGCCGTGACATTGAATAGGCGTCTGGGCGAGGTGGCCCAATTGATTTGCCCCAACCGCGGAAATCAATCGCGATGGTGGGGTGCTGCTGCGATATCTGGGAATTGACCTGCGACCATGTCTCTGAGGAACCGCCCCAGTAGTGGAGGAATATGACTGTTGTTCGGGTTGATTGCCCTACGGAAGTGAGCGGGCCGGAGACCAGGGCGTGAATCGTCGTCTCCGGCTCCGGATGAAAGAGAACTGATTCTGGAAGCAACATTTTCATTTAATTTATTGGAGAAATTGTAAGTTGGTGAGTGAGGGGAGAAGGTTTATATAGTTCTGATCAGTGAATTATTCACTCTGAAATAAAGGAAACGAGAAGGGTCAAAGCCGAAAACCCGTCGATCTCATTTGTCATGATGATGGAGTTCGGTCTGGTTTATATAATTAAACTGCTTTACATCCGATGGTGCTCGGATATAAAAGCTGCTGCTGTCCAGAGTACTGATATACGCACTACTGAAAAAACAATACTAACACGTCGGGCTGCCGTTGCTATCATACGTAATTTACATCACGCCCAAACAGAAATAGTTGGGCACGGCAGTGTCAACGGCACTTTATTAGCAGTACCTTATGTAGGTGCTGACTCAGAAGACATAAGTGTACGGTACCCAAACGAGTGGGCGACATAATAAAACCAGCAGCTGTGATGTCCAACATGGACTGGGTGTCGCTGAATCGAGAATAATAACTACAATAGTGAGTAAAAGTCAAACTTATATTATGATTTTTCGATTCGTCTTGATTGGTTTCTACCTATTTGTCATTATCTTGATGTTACTGTTGGCTACGGCGATATGGGGTGTTCAATCGATGTCATATGTCATATATGTCATATGCCCTTCCCACACCTGCAAAGCGCCAAGTTACTACGCAGGGGCTGACGCAAAGAGTCATGCGGACGGTACAAGGTTTGAATTTTTGGATTGACATGTGTCAGGCTTACTGCCTCTGCTTCATTCCATGTTGTTTTCTCATGCGCTGTCCCATAAGGCTCAATCCGCTATCATTCCATCGAGCTTAGAAGTACTAAAAATAAAAAGACCACAAATCCTCCAGAGGATCAAGCGCAGCAGACCAAAGTCCTCCTTAGCGGCTCAGCCACTAGCAAACAGCGCCATTTATCATCTGCGAGGCGCACTGTGGCTCTTTCTTCATTGTGCATCACCCAACCTCCGACATTGAAAAGGTTTGGCCATCATCGACGCATCACTCGCTCAGATTCTAGCGTCGTATAAGGCGCGACTAGTACGATGATAGGCACCAGCCGAGCGGAGCTGTACTTCATCCGCGTCTCCATCATCGTCTTCCGCTACACACCCGCAATATGTGCCTTCGCTCTCCTCCTGCTCTACCTTTCCGGCATCAACTCATCATGGAAGATCTTTGCCACGGTCATATTGGCACTCTCCCTGGCTGCAGAGGGCCTCTTCTACCTTCTGGCTTGGCGGCCAGCCCAGGCTCGCCTGCGCCTCAAAGCCGTGTATCCCCCTCCATTGACGTCGCCCGAGCGTAGAGTGCTGTTTGAGAAGTGCATAGAAAACATGCAGTCGCCTGAACGATACCTCCAAGGTTGGTTCCTCGGCGCAGATCTGCAGGACATCCGGCGAGAAAACCTGAGAGAGTTCATAATGTGGGCCTTCTTTGATCGTGAGGAGACGGATTTCGGCGACTGGAGCGCATCCGAGGAGCAGGACATGGACTACTTCATCCATCTGATTGAGGAGCGGCTGGGGAAGACTATTGAGCCTGGCCGTACCCCAGTCAAGAGTCTTCGCCTCAACATTGACGGCATCCACACAACCTACCGAAGTCTTGCCTGGTACATTGTCATTTTCTTTGTGGACCAATTCACCCATGTCGCGCTTTGGTTTCATGGCTTCCAGTACTTTACTGCTGAATCAAATCGCGAAGTCTTTCCTCCGAGGCCGCAAAGGTTTCTCACAGCTCACCAGTCGGAGGCTCCCGGGCTCAGTTATTGGTACTCCCCGCGCCAGGAGGTCGATGACACCAATATGCCGATTATCTTCTTCCACGGTATTGGCGTAGGCCTCTTGACATATATCCGGTTCTTGGCTGGCCTAAAGAAGAGCAACCGGGCAGGTATCATTGCCATCGAAACTCTACCCATCTCATTCCGCCTGGCCTCTTCCCCTCTGGACAGGGTGGAATTTCTGGGCCAGGTCAATCTCATACTCGATCACCACAACTGGGACACGTTTGCCATCGCCACCCATTCCTATGGCTCAGTACAGGCTGCCCACATACTCCACTCGCCGAGCATGCGATCTAGGGTCAGCGCTATTGCAATGATCGACCCTGTAACCGTCATGCTTCACCTGCCCCCTGTGGCTTACAATTTCACTCGCCGACTCCCTAGTCGTGCAAATGAGTGGCAGCTATGGTACTTTGCGAGCACAGATCCAGGTGTCGCTCACTGTCTCGGTCGGCATCTGTTCTGGCGGGACACCATTATTTGGAAGGATGATCTGGTCCAAAGGCGTGGATCAGACGGAAGCAAGATTGGAAATAGACGGGTGGCTGTCATACTCTCGGGTCAAGATATCATTGTTGATGTTCCCAGCGTGGCCAAATATCTTGAATCGAGGGGGCAGGATGTATTAGACCTGAACGGCGACGGCAAAGTTCTTGTGAAGGTGTTCCCGGAGCTTGACCACGCGCAGGTATTTGACTATCGTGCGGCATGTGATGAAGCGATCGACATTGTCACGTCGTGTTGCGACGCATAGAGTGTATTTTCAAGATGACTTGTTACGTCGGTTTGCGCAATAGACTTTGGCGGGTGTAAATTTTAAATGGTTTCACACGAAGGGTTTCAATTGTCAGTCATATAGATTTCATGAAGACTAAATAAAGATATTGGTAGCAATAAGCAAAATTAAAAGTGTGCAAACTTCAACAACCTTTAGTTCTTCTTCTCAAACAAAGCCAAAATATCCTGATTCCCACAAGCTGCCGCGACGTCAATGGGCGTCTGATGGGCATCGTCCTCAAGCATCGGATCCAGCCTCATGCTCAGCAACTCCTTGAACCGCCCAACATCCCCAGAAGCCGCAACATGCAACAGGCCCTGACCTTTACCGTTTCTCACAGAAAAGTCCGCGCCCAGGTTCTGGAATAATTGTAGAGCACCATCCTCTGAATACTCGCGCAGAGGCGCGAACAAGCCGCCAGAGCCACCACCGAACAAACCTCCTAACATTTTCTTAGGACGCTTGCTAAAGGCGAACAATGGGGTCTCTCCATCCGCGTTGCGTGCATTGATATCCACGCCACGCCTCGCTAAATCATGGAAGATATTTCGTAACTCGGGTGTGTCGAGGTTTGTCGCGAGGAGATGCAGCATATTGTCTCCGCTCTTTCTAACGGCGAGTGCATCAGCTCCGGCGGAGAGGAGCGTCTCTGCTGTATCAGTGTGCCGTCTGAAAGCAGCAAGGCGGACTGCGTTATGAAGAGGCGTATGTCCTGCGTTGTCCGATTGCAAGGCTAGATGTGGAGCCTTGTCTAGAATATGGCCAAGTGTAAGCTTGGGCGTTTCGATGTAGACATCGCGATCGACCAGATAATGCAAGATGTTCTGACCAAAGTTGTCCCGAGCCTCAAGCGTAGCTCCGAGAGAAACAAGTTTCTGAAAGCGAGTCAGCTGATCGCCACCTTCCTGGTCAGCGGTGGTGATTTGGTCAGGGTTATTCTGGCAGGCCAACTGGAGTAGAGTCCGGCCTTGGGCATCTTGGCGATTGATCTCCAATCCTTCAATGTCAAGCAGGATGTTCGGTGGTTCGCCGCGTCGCATCAGTTCGTGCAAAACCGTGCGTTCTTCATATCCTTCAGGGACACTTGGTGAGGCCGTACCCCTATGGAAGGGATCCGTCTTGTTCTCATTACCATAGTTGGAATACGGGGTCATGGCTTTGACGAGGAATTTTGCGAATGGATCAGCTCCATACTTCAATAACATCTGCACAATCTCCGTCATCTTTTTATGCTTGTCAGAATCCGGTGGTCCCGAAAAGTCCTTCAGCTTTAAACAAGCATAGTATATCGGTAGATCCTCAGTTGATCCCTGTGGCTCGGTCCTTTTCCCAAATAATCCTGATCCTAAGACCTGCGGGGGCTGGTCTATTCGTTTTGTGTTGGGATCAAAACCCGCCTTCAGAAACGCCTCGAGAGTATCAACCTTGAGCTGCTCCATTGCCGCGAAGACGGCCCTAATGGAGGGTGTTGCCCCTCGCTTCATGAGAGCCTTTAGAAGGTTGATGTCTCTATTTGCGTAAGAAAGGCAGGTGTTGCCAACATTATCAACTGCATTAACATCCGCACCCCATTCGAGCAAAGTTCTGACGACATGTGTCTGAAAGAGGCCAGGGCGAGTAGATATCTCCTCAAGGGCTGACAGTAGCGGGGTCTCGCCTTTGAAATTTCGAATCTCTATATTCGCGCCAGCCTTGAGTAAGTAAGGAAGTGCTTGAAAAGTTTGCCACCAGGTGCGGCCATGCGCGACCTGATGGAGTGCTGAACTCGCTGGAACCACGATGGACTCGTTGTTGACTCGCTGGCGCTGATACTCAAACTCATTGATGTCGACTCGGAAACTCTCAACCAAAAGTTGAACAATGGCCATGTTGGGCAGCTGTCGTGACACCGCCTGAACTAGAAATGCTGGCCCTGCTGTTGCGATCTCATTGTTCCCCTCAGACCAGAGACCGGGACGTGTCTTGTCTCCAAAGGCATGCCACTGGCCGCCAACCAATCTTGATGTCGTTTCAATATCACCAACCGTTTTGACGAGGGAGGAAAATCCATTCTTAACCAGAACAGAAAAATTGCAGTCAACAGTCTCTTCAGAGATAGTAAGGAAATCAGCCTTTTTCCTGGCCAATTCATTCACGGCCTGATATTGTCTTTGATGTATCAAATTTTTGAAGAGTTCCTGATTGCTTTCCCCGGATTTTGCACCTTCTAGCAGTCTTGTTTCTGCTTTGTACGCTTCCCTATCATCAGAGTTGGCGATCTCCACGATGTCCTCCAGCTCTGTTCCGTCCCTGTATCTCTTGAGGGCGTCCGAAAAGCATCTGGCGGTGTAGGCTTTCTGGTCTCTCACGGCCTCATCGATGAAGCCTTGGAGGAACGGAAGTAGGCCTGCGGATTTGCTGAGAAGCATATCCAAGATCTCCTCTAGTCTGGCTGTCACTCCTACCCCCATATCTGAAGTGAATCTGGAGGATCCGTCTGCCGGGCGCGCGGTATCTTCCAACTTGACCGGGTTGGTGTATGGTACCGTGCGGGGACTTGTAACAGCTCTGGATACCCTGCTGAAAATACTCGTCGGTGTCGAAGTATCTCTTACTGTAAATGGCGACGCTCCAAACAAGGAAGTACCTTTCAATGGACCGCTATGTCTTGACCAAAGCGCATTCTCATCTTCGAAACCAGCACACCCCTTCAATGCATGGTCGTTTACTTCTGCACCAGCTTCAATGAGGAGTGCTACAGTTTCAGGTTGCCCCGACCGGCAGGCGTAAAAAAGAGGAGTTATATAATCAAACCCCCTAGCTTTAGCATTCACGCCGACGGTGGACGAGGATGAAGGGTCCAGGACACTCTGTCCCAGTTCTGATTGGAGAGAACTGATGAGAAGGCCTACTGTGTTGCTTTGCCTCGCACGGCATGCCAAGTGAAGTGCCGTCAAGCCTTCGTGCGTAGCCAGTGCAGGATCTGCCCCGGCTTCAAGCAGCTTTGCTGTATTTGAAACACTGCCAGCTGCAGCTAGATGAAGCGGCGTGATTCCGTCCTCATCGGGACTGTCAATCTCTTGGGTTTGGGAAATCACAAAGTCGATCGGTGCTGGGCGCCCGGGTTCGGTGGTTAGCCAGTTGGCATCTGTGGCAGACAGGATGTGCAGTGCAGTACGACCAGCATGGTTTTTCTGGTCTACATCCAAGCCATTCGCCACCAGCTTCCTCCAGCAGTCCACCATCGAGTGGCCATGATCTAGACTTGATGTGGCCCGCGCGCGCTCCGCCAGCTCATGAAGGAGGGTGTTCCCCAGCGAGTCGACGGCCTGGAGATCGAGGCCAAGGCTGACCAAGAAGTCCAACTTCTTGCATCCATGAGTAGATTCTGTATCATTCTGCAAGAAAATGTGTGTTCCAACAGTTGCGTGCAGAATGGTGCGACCTGCGAGGTCACGAACTGCAATGTCGGCACCCCTCTCTATCAAAGCTTTAATACAACGGCCCTCGTCTTCTTTCTCGAAGGAGAAATTTGCGAGGCCCCCGAAGAGCAAAGTTTCACCATTGCTGTCGGCCGCGTTAATGTCAGCGCCCGCATCTAGAAGCATGTTGATGGCTGGCATTGATTCCGGGGATAGACATATTGAGAGTAAGGGGGATACTCCGCGAGCATTCTTTAGACTTGAATCAGCCCCTCCATCAAGTAAGGCTTGAATGAGCGGTGCCTTGGGATAGGTAGGCTGTACCACGATGTGAAGGGGCCTATTCCCGTTACCATCGGGGATGTTGCAATCAGGCCCGTATGTAATGAACTTGATGATAGATTCTATACCGGATGGCTCATGTGAAAAGAAAGACAGCATAAAATGAAGGGGAGTTTGCCCCTTGGAATTGATAGTCTCGATGTTGGCGTGGCCATGCTCAACCAGTATCTGCAAGACCTCGGACGATTTGACGTTGTAAAGGGGAGTGTTTCCCAATGAATCAACCGCGTTGACATCTGCTCCAGCTTCTATGAGAGCACGGGTCATGCCAGCTGAGCGTACCGCGCCATGTAATGCGGTTTGCCCTCGTGGAGTGCGTTCATGTATGTCAATGCCAGTTTCAATGAGCAATCGCAGGATCTCGCAGAGATCACTTTCGAGAGGCTTTCTAGGATTGGAGGGAACATTCGCCCCCAGACCGCACAGTCGATGGAGGCAGTTGTAGGTCTGGGGTTTGTTCTGGGAATCGTTGGAGTCCAACCAACCGAATCCATCCCGGCGGCATTCACAACCGAGTCTTGGATCTGCACCAGCATCTAGTAATACTTGAACTGTTCCAAGGTCAGGATAGGCACAAGCTCGGAACAGCGGCGTATCGCCTAGGACTTTCGCGTTTGAATCGACACCAGGATGCCGTAGAATCCTCGCAACAACTTCTGACTTGCCCATCTCGGAAGCCCACATCAACGCTTGATGAACCGTGCTGATGTTTTTCAAAAAGGACAAGAATACCTCTACACTTTTCACGTGGCCGTTGTGGCATGCGTACATTAGCGGCGTATCGCCCATTGTGCTTGTTCTGCTCCCACAAGAAAACGCGGAGTCATCTTTGGTTTTTGGGGTCAAGGGGTCGACGCCAGCTTCTAGTAGGGCTTGCACAACTAAATGATGATTGTGGGTTGCTGCCTCGTGCAGAGGTTTCAGTCCGGAAGAAGCAATCTCCTGGTCTGGATTTGCACCGGCGGCAACCAGCACGCGGATCATTTCTGGGTGCCCCTTACTCGCTGCTAGCCACCTGTGAGGAACTCGAATGTTAGAACATGGATATCGTTGAAACTCAGGGCAAGAGATACAAGAGTAGAAGGGGTAATGGAAAAAGAGGAATGCAATACGTATCTGGTTACATACATTGGAGTGAGCCCATCCCGATCAGGGGTATTGGGGTCAATATCCCCTAATAAAACGACGTCTCGGGCATAGGATGCCAGTCCTAATTTTGCCGCGATATGAATCGGTGACACCTTGAACATCTCCCGCCCAATTAATCGTTGAATTTGAATGTTGATTTCATACTGATCAAACCCTGACTTTTCCGACTTGCGAACATGTCGATGCCAGTTTTTCGCAGCGTAGTCGAGAAATGGGTGCTGAAGTCTCAGTCGGGCTTCTTTCTCTGCAGCATCAGCCACGCTACAAAGCCCGAATAATGGAATTACGGGTGGAGGTATGCCGCCGACACATCCGATCCAATAGCTGACCGAATCCCTGGATTCAAGGTAGCGAAGACATTCAAAAGCAAGATTCGCATGCGTGGGGGCGGGGTGCAGAATGTGATATCCAGGCTCCTTGCTGGATCTTGTTGTCCCTTTCAGGTACTCAGTGAATGAGTGGTGAATGACTGATATCGTCTCGTCGGCGAGGATCTCTAGAAGGGGGCCGCAAGCAGTTCTTATCAACTCCTTTGTCGCCTTGAGATCTCTGGAGGAGTTATCAGGATTACTAAATCGAATCATCTCGGCAAGTTCAAGCAGGCGAAGAGGTCGAGTAGCGTGGGTAACCGCTTGAAGGATGAGTTGCTGAACACCAGACGGCACACTTGATCTCTGTGCATGCTGCGCCAAAAGTTCGGTATACAACGCATTCAAGTCAGTTGGAAGTTTCTGAATGACTTGCTGAATCTCGGTCTTTGGTTCAAGAAACGCGTCCATTGCCAGCTTGGCATAGAGAAAAAGGCCATTGGCCCGCCCTGGAACTGCATTTCTTATCAACTCCTGATCGCTTGGTGGCATATTAGAGACAGAGAGTGCCGATTGGACAAAGGTTGAAATATCCACGTCGACTAGATTTTCTTGTAATCGAACTTGTAAAGGAGCGCCTTTTCGGAGTGGTATCGCAACATTGGGGACAGGCCGGCTAGTAACGAGTACTTTGACCTCTTCTGGTTGGAAAGATCCAAGTGACGCGAGGTCTTGCAGAAAAGACTCATTTCCACCGTCCATCTCATCAAGAGCATCTGCAACGCAGAAGACCTTACCAGGAAGACAACTGAATGCCTTCCGTAAGTCTTTCCATAGGCTCTCCGTTGATAGACTTTCAATTGATCGCCCTGCATCTATATAGCCTTTTAACTCCTTTTGCAAAGGAGGACTATAAGTCAAGAGCTGGTCCAGCCAGTCTCGCAACAGAGCTTGAGGCTTATGATTGGCATTGATGATCTGCCGGAAGAAGAAGAGTAATACAGGAGCTCCGGGATTAGACGTTGATAGGGTGTGAATCAGATTTGCTGCGATCACTGATTTACCCGATCCAGGAATGCCTTGAATCCAAAGCAAGCCCTCCTCTGAGCCTCCAAGCCATTTTGCATAAGATTCATCTGAAGTGAGCCATGTCCCTGTGCCTTGGACATGGGATTTCAGGTGCTTCTCATACTCCCCACCAGGAGCATTGTAAGCGGTGGGCTTGAGCCAGTCGCGGATCTTTTGGAGGGTCTCGGGAGATTCTGGAAGGATTTGGTTCGGATTATAATTGCTAATGTCCTCATGGCCAATAATGACTGCATCGGAGTCATTATTGTTGAGGGTCTCTTGATGCTGAGTTGTCATGTTTTGGTCTGGTCGTTGTAATCTGTAGCTGGAGGTCTGGCTGAAAGCTGTTCGGAATTGAAGAGCTTCAGAGACGCGGACGGGTCTAGGTTTTCATTTATGCCTTAAGATGATCATGGATGAATTCAGCGTCTCTCGCTGGATGATGCGGCTAGGATTCGATTTGGGACGGTCTAAAAGCGGGATTTCTGGTTCTAGGCACAGGCAGATGATTGAACCACGGTTTGGCTGAGGATTATGGCTGTGCGATTAGTCAGTCCTTGATGCCTTGCGTTTGGTTGCCATCTCATTGGCCGTTGGCTTCAGGTAGACAGTAGGCAGCCCAGGCTCCAGTTAGGCTTTTACTGAGCCTCTTTCATGCCTTCACATTTTGCTATTTTTGGCTCCCTCTCCACTATAACAGAACGAAGGGGCCAGGGGGGCCTCATATGTGTGAAAAGTGGCGACTCTTACACATCATGTGTGGTGGTTGCAATCCTCTACATGTACGAAGCAATTTCATTTGCAAACAAAGCAACGGAACCAAGCTGATAGTTAAAATCTTTACTAGGCAGGCTTAGCACGATTGTTCACCTTACCACCTGAAACTACAGCAACTGAAACTGTCATATACTCCTGAACATGGCTTGAACAGCGAAGTGAATTGAGAACTAGCTAGCAGCTACCACTATCAAGGCTTTGCAGCAATGTATAATTTTGTCGCGTCCTCAGGCCGTTAGAGCCAGCACCCGGGGATGGTTGGAGGTTCTGCAGCTTGCAAGCTATTCATGAAATCCGAGCCGACAAGCGGCTTTGATGCCTGCTCAGCTTAAGGGGGGCATGTTGGAGAACATGTTCTACCCTCGACTTTCTGTTGAAAGTATGCGATTAGTACAAATTATAAAACGAAAAGCATGTGGCACTTACGCATGCGTCAACACACTGCAGCTTCTGTAGATACATAGCTCATCAGTACAAAGACCTTTGGTCGCCCCGGAGGTTACTTACGGCAGCCTGTAAAACATACTAGTCAGTGACTGATTAATGCGTGCATTACAATGATCACTTACTCTGCAATTGGCCTTGCCAACGGGACACAACTTGTCCTTGGGATTCTGGCACCATCTCTTCTGATCTTGGATACGCTCATACAAGTTGTCCAGGGCACCGGCACAACTATATCGGAAATTGTGTTAGTTTGAGCAGAGCTGTGAGTTTATAAGTTTGGTCATTAAATCTGGATGCTCGTAAACACATGCCTTATCCTCCGGGAGTCGAGGTCAGGCAATGCAGCAGCAGTGCCGAGAAGGAGGCAGAGAATTGTAGCTGTGATTCTCATTGTAAAGTCGTTTCTGAGTGAATCTGGAAAATGGTTCTTTGCGTAGAAGATAGAGTTGCTGAGAATTGCAACATAAGCCGAGAGAATGGCGCCTTAAATAATGTGTGTTCCGACGCTACTTATCACAGACGATAGCTGCAATACAAGAATCATCATGCTTAGTTGTGAGAATATGGCGTGATTTACACACAGTGTCTGAGACCATGGCGGCGCGTCACGATATCATTGGAACGGTCACAAGGGGGGCTGAGACTTTTCCGTTGTCATCCAGAACACCCAATCATGGGACTTTCCGTGAGACAAGACCTGCAGCATGACTCGGTTAATGTTAGACAAAATGCAATCATACGGATAAGAAGTGGCCAGAATCGTAGGATTTCGACTCCGGGGGGTCAGTGTTCTAACATGCGATGTGCATGTGCAAACTTGTGAATTACTTTCACAGCATTAAAAGAATGGGTGTATATGTCATTCTTCGTCTTTAGAGCGCGAATAAATACTACTTGACGAGGGTGCTTTTTAGGCTGATGTGTAGATTCCTTGGTACCATGTTTTTGACACAAACCCACCAGTCCTAACTATTCTGTACAGCAGCCGAGACACTTGATAAAATCATCCGAGACGAGCGGTCTAGGCAAGCAAGATTGCGCTAAGAAGTCAAAGGCTAGGATTGATCGTGTAGCATACAGTTTAATTCACAGAGAAATCTCTAAATTCAGCTTTGTAACAGATGAATTTGCAATGCATGGCATCGCTTGCATTGTCTGGTCGGGGACTTACTTTGCCTGGGGTTTACTAGTTAGTCAAGGGATCCTGTCCTCAAGGACAAAGTTTTGTGTTACATGTATGTGCCTTGGCCACCCACCAAGCCTTGTTGATTAGCAACTGATTCCGGTTTTCCAGCATCTATTTGTCTTTGTCTCCCCTCAGCTCAACATGAGCATTTCTTTCTTGACCTTGGCATATGAGTTTGTATAAGTTGAGTTATGTTTTTGTCAACTTGACACTGGAATGAGTGCAAACGAGCTGCTTGTCCAGTAACCAAACATCTCCTTTCTTAAGGTTTCAGCTGTTTTGATGGTTGGCTGCACGAGGCCCCCAAAGCACTGTTAGCCTGTCTCCCTAGGTAGATTCCTTTGGTTCCCTGATGATCCGTCTTTCTGCTATCAGTCTTCATGTAGTGTCAAAGCATTTACAGTCATCAAATCACTCCTAATTCTGTCCTCTCATTCTTTAAATAATGAGGGTCCAAATCCTAAAAAGGGAGCCTCCTTGCAAGTACGGTGCTCTCTCTAAGATCACATACACGCGAGATTTTCTGACCTTATACGTTTCTCACATTTTCAAACTCTCATTCACAAGATCATCGACCAAGTCACTGATCAGAGGCCGCCATGGATATGCGTGACTCCGATTATATCCTTGTCCAGGACTTCAACCAAGATTGGACCACGGATCCCAAATTTTCACTCGGTACTTTTGTCGAAAACCCGAAAGATCCACGACGTTTTTTTGGGGTATCTAATAGAGTATTGACTACTCGTAATTGGCCCGTTGAAGATAAGGCCCCTTTCACCGATGGCGAGATTGAAGCAAAAGCTTACGACATCAGGCCTATTGGGAAGCATCCAAGCCAACATTATGTCGAAACCAAATTTCGTGGGTCTCTTGAGTCGTCTCACATGCAGATAAAGGAGTTTCGCATGCGAGACAATTGGATATGTAATAAGCGCACCCTCAAAGAGTTTGTGGATAAAGTGGGAGAATATGAAGATGCTGCGGAGTTTTTTGGCTTTCAGGGCCAGGCCCTGGACAATATACAACTGTATATGGTCACCGGCATCAAGTATGCTAAAGGCCTAGAATATTGGCTTACATGGGACCAATGTACGTATTCGAGACCTGAGCCCGTGGGCGCTCGTCCCATTGTAAACCGGAATCAAGACCTGGCACTTTGGCACGAAGCGTTGCCAATACATTCGGGATCAATCCCTGAGAAGGATGTCGTAATCGCATACAAGATCCACGAGATCACGCATGACGCAAAAACGGGAAAGATGCGGCTTGATATATATGTGGACACAGAACGTGTTGTCCCAAAACTACCTAAGAACTTTAAGGCCCAGAATGCGGATTTAATAGCTTCTTTAGAGGGAAAATGAGGTAGATAAGGATCTAGTTAGTTGTCAATTCTAGGTAAAAGTTCTCTAGCATGTCCCTTTCAAAGCTCTTGGTCTTATGTCTACGTCTACTTTTCCACTCGACTCTTCCCAAAGGCGCGGGCATATTCTTCTTTCGCATACTCACGCAGCTCCTTGAAGAGCAATTTGAAAGAAAAGGGAGAATTCAGCCGCGCCCAGTAGTCTTCGATTTCCTTGGCAAACTCATCCACGCTACCAGGCAACGGCCCGTACAACCTCAGTTGCTCCCTCCGCCAAGCCCGCCATTCTGCTGAATCAAGGGGACCGTCCAATGCGGCTCGCAGAAGCACCCCGGCTGGATCAAGAGTTTTGACGTTCGGCTTCTTCCGATTAGCCTTTTGGTCGAGCTGGCGGAGTTTTGCGTTCATCTCAACACTCAGTTCTCTGCACCAGATACTGGCTTTGCACCTCTGTCCGTCTTCCGTGTGAGGGTCATGATCGTGAGCCATTTCACATTCGAAGGTAACCGAGTTACGCATGGACCAGGAGGGTGTTACGTCGAAATCTGGGGAGAAAGGATCAACCCTATTCGGCGTCGGTACACCCGAGTGGAGAGTCAGGCGCTGCAATCCGCCATTGCGATCTTTCAGATAGCAGAATACTCGATTCGCTACTGAGTATGTGAGATGCGGGGGCCGGCCACGGATTAGTCGAAACCACAACTCGGCATTACGGAGGCGAGGAAGCGCAGCAATGGCTTTCAAGTGACCGACTGGCCAGTCCTCCTTGTCTCGATTCCATTCGAGGTGGATTGCTAAGCGTTCAAGATGGGGCAGGTCCTTGGAAAGCTGGGCGAGATCAAGGGCCGCCATGGCTGACGCTCCCAGGCCGCCAATCTCCAGTTCCCTTAGTGTTTCACCAAAACGGCTGATTGGTTCTGGGTTAGAACCTATGCTTTCCCAACTTGGAAGAATCATTTGTTCCAGCGGTGATGTGATGGCGCGTAGAAACTCTCGGGCGAGCTCATAGTTCCAATAATCTGTCAGATCTATTTCTCTAAGGTTGGTCAACATTGGGAATGCCCGAGACATTTCAGGCTCAAGGCACCCGTTCAAGCGTGTCAGCTGCGACCAGTTGAAGTTTTTGACCCAGTAGTCTTGTTCGAGACCCTTGAGACGATATCCCCGGGGCCATCGAGCTCCCTCCCTTCCCCAAGGATACATCCCTATACCTAGCTCTTCAAGCGGCTTCAGCATCTCGCCATCTGGGAAATAAAACCCCGTGTAAGGCCCTTCTTCAAATGTTGGGCCGTAGCTGTAGCATCCACCCTGGGGAAACCACACATGGATTTTGGGAATCCTCGTTAGGTTGGGGCACGAGAGAAGGACCTTCGTTAAGCCGCGCATTGTTTCAGCACCCATTGTTTCCCCGGTGTAGAGCACCCGTATGGAGAGGGTTTGCAGATTTTGATTCCCTTCCAGGCCCTGCAGAAATGTCCGGGTCTGGGTGTGGCCCTCGTTGATTGCGTGACAATTGAGAGACGTATGAACGCGGCACTCAACCAGCAGTGCAGCAAGTATCGAGGACGGGATTGGTATCGGGGCATGCAGGTCCAGACTCCTTACCGAAAAGGTTGGCAACAAGGGTCGCGAGTGATGCGCGTGCCAATGCACATCGCGCAATCCAGTCATGGCTGGCACAATGGACGCGAGGTGGTCTAGGATCTCCCTCATGGTGTCATCGTTGTTTGGATGGCATTCACCGTCCACTTGCAGCACCCGAATGGCTTCAAGTTGGTTCAGACGTTCAATGAGATGGAGCCGGTCGAGCACATGTTTTGTGTTGTTGAGATCAATATGCACCTCGCTGTGCTGTACGTAGCGTGCCTGCTCGTATAATGAAGAGCTCAGCGATGCTATTAATGGGAGTAGCTCAGGGCGCGCTTCTTTAACACAGAGAAGAATATTTCGTACAACAGGGTCTGGAAATTGGGCAATGGATGGCCTCGTAGGATCTGCGGCAATGAGCTGTCTTGTCTGGATGCTGATGATGACAGGTTCTGTTTTCTGTTGAGTTTTGTGCCTCGATTTGGCTAATTTATTATAAAGCCGGTCCATGATTGAGTACCCATATACGCCAAGGCGATATGATCACACGATAATCTTAGGGTGGAGGTTGAGAGGACGAGAATTGACAAGTAGGGAGGATAAGCGGCTATTTCAGGGGTTATAAATAACATGATCACCTACCTAATCTAGATGAAACAAGTGGTGTTTATTAAGCTTCACGCTCATGCGAAGAAATAAATCTTATTACCGTGGCTCAAATGAGAGTTCAGCATCACGCGCAACTGAACTCTATTGCATTCGGTCTTCTCATAAACCAGCAAGCATATGCTCAATTCTTGAGGCCATTTACTCAACGTCGAGCTGGGGCATTGTAACGGTGGAATCCATGAAGAACTGTACTTCTTCAGTTGATTACCGGTGTTATATGCTCATCACTATACATGAAACAACCAGTACGCTATATCGAGAACGAAATTGTTTCCTACGGGCATACCATGGGACTCATAGCCGAAAACCCTCAGGCAACTCGCTCTATATATTGGATTTTGATTGATCCGTACCTAGGCCTTGGTTAACACTGCAAGCAAACAATCGAGTGAAAGAGCCATCACAGAGAGATCGAAATTTCGACAATGCCGGAGCCCAAGAACAGCTCAAAAGTCAATCACCAAATCACCATTTCCATGATTTTCGAATATACGTCAATCATCACGGATAAACCACAATTCTAAAATTGGCTCAATGAGCTTTCGCTGGCAAGGCTAGGCGAGTCGGAAGCTTCCGGCACTTCAGCCCTGAGCAATAGTTTCTGGGTGATTCAGCCTAGATGTGGAGAGTTTATGAAGAAGCGGTAGAGATTGGGTTAGTCTATGAGCGAGTTCTCAATTGGCGGTAGTGCCGCTCCAAGCCACGTTCGTTCAGTAACAGTTAGCATCAAATAAGGGCTGATGGGCGCTGGATCATTGGCTAGATATGATGATATTGCCCTGGTTCCGTTGCCTTTTTACCCGAGCTAGTTTGGTCAACTAATTGGGTGGTTTGCATTCCTCAGCCCCAGGTTCTAGATCTAACACTGGGAGCCCGCCAAGGGAAAAATTCGATGGTCAACAAACCTCTCAATAATTTGGCAAATAAGACACTAGCTGAGCCATGAGAAAAATATGGTATTAAATAGTAGAGCATCGTGCGCTGCCTTGTCAGCCCGCCTCCATCCTTTCTCGTCGTTTCAAGCCCTTGAACCCTGCGTAGATCTATCATGTATTCAGGCTCGGGACTATCCGCCGCGGCAAGGCTCTGCCAACTCTCGCTTCTCCTCTTGGCCACGGCTTCAATCGCTTCCGGCTATGTAGACCCTGCTGGTCCAGTTATTACCTCACCTCCTGATGCGGGGGTTGTATACCTGCGAGACGGAACTCAGGATGTGAGTTTCTGGGGTTATGTATCTGAGAGCGGAACTTGTAAGTTTGGTTGATCTAGCTCTGTTCCCTGGTCCTCATTTGGAATAACGCCATCAGCGCTCACACATTAAGAAATGTAGGGGATGCAAGATATTGCGCAGCCGGGCAGACCATCACTCTCTCCGGCGCCTATGGGGCATGCAAATCAACTGCACAGGTAACCGCCTCAGTTGCCACCGGATGCAAAAGTGGTTCACTTGTTGTTTATCCTTCTCAGTCCGCTTCTTGGTAAGTTATTCCCCTGTTTCGATTCTGGACTGTGAGCTAACCCACTCTAGCACTGTCGGAAATCAGTGCAATACCAGAGTTCTGCACAGAGATCTGGATGACAAGGCCGGGTACAGCATGTACGGATGTGGCGTGGCCGCATCTAGCTCTGTTGATCTGTATATTCAGACAACTGGCACTGCCGTTCGTCCAACCTCTGGATCTGTGTCCTCGGCTTCAGCTTCATCAAGGGCATCCTCATCCTTGCCAAGCTCGTCGACATCTTCCTCCTCAAAAAGTTCGACGTCTTCATCTTCCATATCTTCGTCGAGTAGATCCACTCTATCAACATCAGTCTCAGTAGCACAGTCGAGCGGGGCAGTGTCAAGGAACCTTGTAACGACTTCAGATTCTCAATCCAATCTAGCCAACACCTCTGGCGTTTCCAAGACCACATCGACTTCAGTAACTGTCAACCCCACGGCTGACTCAAGCGCCGACAATTCGAACTCTTCGTCGACCAAAAGTGCGGCTTGGATAGCCGGGCCAGCTGTCGGCGGAGCGGTTGCCCTCGCGCTCATCGCAGGACTCATCTTTTGGATCGTCAATCGACGACAGAGGAAGCGCCAAGTATCTCCAATCCCTCAACCTGCTGCGCCTCCTCCGACCTACCCTCAACACCCGTCAACCCCTCCATCCCAGATGTCTCCAAATAGCACGTATCAGGGACAGCACCCGTATCAGCCACCAACCAATGGGTATTATGGGAACAACGGATACTCTGAGCATGGTAAATTTCAGGAGATGTCGGCCACTGAGAGTTCAACACCTGTTGAGTTGCCTGGGTATGCGAGGCCCGCGGAAATGCCGGCTCCTCATTATCCTCAAGGCAGATGAGAAAATATTGTCAAAGCGGTATATTTGAATACATAGAGGGTCATGATGAGGATTTTGTGAACATTGCGTCCCAGATAGTCATACATTTACGAGTCAAGGCGACATATTTCCTAAACTTTCACAAGCGAGAGTAAATACCTAGGTGGTGGTACATCGACGTAACGCCGCGCTGCAACTGTCAGAGAGCTACATACAATATCATTGCAGAGATGCCATATTTTTGATATTGGTCATATTTCTTGCTCTTATAGTATTGACTAGCTCAATTTCACTTTGACATTCAATGAGAGTTCCCATACTCGCCTAGGCAAACAACTATGCGGAGCCTGGATGTCTGTAATTCAACCTCATCTCCAACCGTTGTATCATTGACACTGAAGAGACGGTGATTCTGCTCTGATATATATGTGGACAAATGCCGTGGATTCATCGACCAATCTTGCAAGGCACCAATGCATTTTTTCATATTAGCCAGGAGGAGAATGTCGGGCGGATACTCCCTCAAGATCCGGATTACTCGAATCCTAGATACTGATATCTCTGAACCAATCTGTCATTATTGGCTCAAGAGGGCGACAACCGCGCGGTCGAGTAAAAATAGCCGTTTAATAGCACCGAGCAAACTCAATTGGAATAAATGCAGGGATTAGGATTCCAGTCACGAGTGCCAAATTAGTCCTGAGTCTTGATGGCATACATGGCGAATACTCATACTCATTGCCCTGAGATAGGGGATACTAGCATCTGCATGTCTTAGAAATCGCGCCTGTGGTAACCAACAGCGTCTGATATAAGAATACGGAGCTGTAAATACACTGTGCACAAAAGTCAGCATACCGTGTCTGGCGTGTTACGGCCTGAAACGCCGCCGCGCGGTAAGATTCAGCTACAATAACAGACACAGTATTTGATTGTCTTTGGCCGGCCAACAAGCGAACTATAGGCATTAAAGCGGCAGAATATTCCCTGTTCAATGTAGCGAATGGAACGGCAGGGATTCTCTCATCTCAATCAGTTCTCAGACGGCAGTGAGGCAGCCAGTTCCAGCACTTTCACATCCCGGCCAATAAGAGGCCATCCGAGCCTTCCATCCAACAACAAGCTGCCTTACGTTCGACCCCTCCAGGCTCATCCATCAACCCCTCTGCTACCCTCCTTCATCATCACATCACATCACATCACATCATGCCATCGGCGCGACGGTCGCTGGAGCCCGGCACCGCAGCACCCCAGCCATCGAACGCATCGTCGCATCAAGCCGTCGCGCACCATGTTCCATTTCATGTCCACCCAGATGAAGTTCAGGCGGCGCCTGATGTGGCGGGGCTGGCGAGGCATGTGGAATGACGACTGGATCCCCGACGACCTCGCCGTCTACCCTCGCTGCCGCCTGTGTCGCCTCGACTACGAGGACGGCGAGGAATTCATCGCAGGTGCGCAGAGTTAACTTATATGATGTCTATCCCTTCCTAACATCCTGCTGACGGCTGCACGCAATAAATAGTCAGTGCGCAGGGCCGGCAGAGTGCCCCGTATCGCTTCAAGCCTGGTGACTTCCTCTATGATGATGCGCTCGAGAACGGGCTGTACTGTGAAACTTCCTTTACCTCCATAGACAACACCGTTCTCGTGGTCGGCTGCCATTCAGACTGCCTCGAGTTCGCTACCAAACTGATAGATGCACAAGAAGCCCAGGGCCTGCGGAAGCTAAAGAGGCAGCGCGATGACTTCCGTATGGAGCTGAAGCTGCGGGTGGTGAGCTCCGATGTCTTCTCCGCGGCAAAGCGCATGTTTGGAGGCATCCAGCCGCTGACTCGCGTGAAACCGGACATGGTATCTCAAACCCTTCTCAACCGGCTCTTCCAAGGGGACAGCTCCTGGCATAGACGGATGGTTCGAGAGAACAAGGTCCAGAGGCTCAAGCACATCCAAGATGAGCTGGTGTGGAATGCTGCCAGGATTTTGGACCCCAGCAGGAAGTTGCCGCTGGAGATATGGACAATGATTACCAGCTATCTCACCAAGTCATACGGCACGGCCACGTTTGTTTGGTCGACTCACCGAAAGAGTTCAACAGTACACAGGGCTCACGACATATGGGCGACCTATACCAAGATTGACGGCAAGATCTACCTGTCTAAGCTGTCGAACAAGCGTACTGCCGGTGCGATGTTACTATGTCGAGGCGATCTCAAAAGAGAGAGGAAGATGCTTTACATCAAAGAGGATCATATCGGCATCAGAAACATCTTCATCTCAGTAGCAGCCCCCCCTTTCATTAGCCCCCCCGACGACCCGACGCGATGGCGAAACCATTGCCTCAAAGAAGTGGATGGCGAACTCACCTTTATTTCAGATGTAAGTAACTCATCCGGTTCCTTATTTATCCACTACGTAAATTCCTTCCTTCAACCTTCTCACCTCTTCTCAGGGTGCTGTTGTCCAACACTATCTGTCCGATGCAGAAAACCACGTCATAGCCTCCCGTAGCGAGGTATTTGAGCGTTGTTCATGGCCAGAACCGATCCAGGAAGACGAGCTGAAGAGCCTACTACCTCTCAATATCAAAAGCACAATGGGATGGATGAGACCGGGAGAGGTGCCGGCTGAAATTGAAATCATCATGGTCGACTGGGACATTGAGATGACTTGGAGATCCCAGTTCAAAATGAGAGACCTTCCTCTGAACCGGCCCAATTGCGTGGGGTATTCGGCCTGCTGGGTGTCGCGGGCAAGCTGCAAAGCACGCAAAGGAAAAAGCACTCCGATATACCTTGTTGGACTCCATGCCCACGAAGCCGGGGAGAGTCTTGACTTCTATCGAGACACTGACGCCGAAACTTGCCAGACGTTTTGGACCTACATGCCTCTGCAGGCCATGGAGCAGATCAAGCACATCTGGGGCAAGAGGGGACGAGACGACAGGCTCACCCTTTCTGTGAGTTTTAACTCTTTCGCCACGGCTTACAATATCACTTTTAGACACTTGACTTATTCGTGAATCAGTGGGATACTACTCTTGACCGCCAGATTACAGTTGGCGCAAACGGCGCGGACAAGCTACGATACAACTCCCTCGATACGTGGCACTGCGTCGCGGCGCCCACGACAGCCAGCCCGGACCGTCTGTGGATGAGATACCTCGACTGGTCCGGGGGTGTCGTCCGCTCACTGGCCGGTCCGGTGCGTGAAAATAACCCGCAGCGCGAATCCAAGCCGTCCCAGAGTCTCTGCAGGGAAATGAAGGATCCTTTGCCGTTCCTCCTCCACTCCGAGACTTCCCTCCGCAACGTATCGCGTGTGACCGCATGCCGACTCACCGACGGCACCTCGTCGCGCGTCTCTGGGCTTGTATTCCGCTTCCGAGATGGCTCCGAGACGGCTGTGGGGAACGTCCGGCTGGACTGCCTTGATGAGGATGCGATCGAGATACCCTCCGGCTCTCCGGGGCTCTTCCTCGGACTAAGTAACACGGACGGCCTGCGCCAGGTTCATGAGGTGGGGGTAATCAAGTCGGACTGCAAGGCGTGGCTCAATTGGGAGGTGTTCCCCTGGGATGGGACGCTTGTGTGGTGGTTTGATTACCTTACATGCTCGATCCGCCACAGCTCTGGGGTGGAGGTGAGCAATCTGGAGGCCGCATGATGCTGGTGGAAGGTTGATTTTAGCATGGAAGTGATGAGGTTGGAGAACATGGTACACTAAGAGAGGCACTGGGCGGGGGGATGCGGCGGTACTTGGAGAGATGCCCGATCTAGTGAGCCTCCTAATGAGATACTCAAATGACTACATTTAGCTTAGCAAGCCCTCCATTTATTATCTGCCATCCATCTCTGAGAAGGGCGTCCTCGTGGGCTGCCTGCATGATCCACTGAGCTGATGCTACCCAATGCCTCGGTAAAGAGTCCAGCGCTATCTGCATTTGCTGGGCTGCTGCAGGGGTCAAAGTCCCTGAAGCGCCTCGTTGATTAGTGGCGAGCCATCCCCAAAGAGCCCAAGCTCGGTCACAAACTGCTGCAGTGTGCCCGCTAATCTGCCTGTTGATGCTGCTGTTCGACTCCGCCAAGACGAGCTGAAAGCCTGAAACTGAGATGTTGCGCATTTGCAAGATTTGTTGAGCAGCCCAGCAAAAGAATCATACCAAAATCGAGGCTGAGCAAAGCGAAGCTGCGACTTCAGCCTGCCGCATCCCATCCACCCTGTAGGCATGTGAAGATGGGCGCGAAGATGCACCATCAAGGCTGCCTTCATATAGCTTGAATGATCTCTTCAGCTGGTCTGCATCAAACCAAGCAATTCAAGGTCAATCAGCGTCAATCCGCTCAGTCTGGAATCTCTCTACTGCTCACGTCATAGGTAGACAAGCTCACCAAGAGATTATATCGTGAGACTGGACTCGAAATCCACCAAAATGACACTCCCAACACCTCCTTCCACTTCAGATAGTCCTCCTCTACCCGACATATCATCCATACAGCCGTTACCAACCTACACAGCAACCGCGCAGGATGATCTCGAGACAAGAATCGAAAGGACGTCCGGCCTAGAGCTGCCCATCCTACGGACGCCAACCTTGGACTACTCAAGATCGCACAACCCACCCCTCAAAACCACCGAACAGGCAGACAACGCAGCCAACCTAGATGCCCGCACGCTCGAACGCGACATCGTCCTCGCCTTCTTCATGGCCATCAGGTCCGGCCACAATGACCTCGTCTCCGAACTCGTCTCCCGCGGCCTCGTTTCCCCAGACGTCACCAACTCGGCCGGCGAGACGCCCCTCCTCGCAGCCGTATGCGCCGGCAACACCCCCATGATCAGCACGCTCGTCGCCCTGGGTGCCACCGTCAACGCGTACGGCACGCCTTGCTCCGTCGATTCGAGCAGGCGCCACAGGAGGTTGCGCAGAACTCCCCTCCAGCTCGCCGCGCAGCAGGGCCGCCTCGCGCTCGTCAAGGTGCTGGTGGAGGACTACGGCGCCGACGACAGCCTCGTCGCCCCCGACGGGTACATCGCGCTCCGGCTGGCCGCCAAGAACGGCCACCGCGAGATCGTGGAGTACCTCCCTGCCCGCCGGGGCGACATCGGGCTGCGGTGCAAGACCATCGCAAAGGACGAGTGGGAGGTCGTCGTCTCCATCCTGAAGAAGTTTGGGCATGTCATCGAGTTCTTCGTGTGGCGCCTCCCCGTCGCCGTGTTCTACAAGGCGCCGAAGCACATCTGCCAGTCGGCCTGGAGGCGGCGGCACCGGTTTGCGGCCTGGTGCAAGCGGGCCGCGAGGGGAGTCGTCAAGCTCCCCGGCCGCATCTTGAAGTTCCTGCGCGAGCTTCTGAAAGCTCTCAAGAGGACGCCCGAGTTTGTGAGGGGGATTGCGCGGGCAGGACTTAGATTTCTCAAGGCCATTCCGGGTGTTGTGAAGAGCGTCCTGCTCTGGATCGGTCGCGGTCTCAAGAGTGCGGGCAAGGCTGTCCTTCACATATTCGCGCTTTGTGCGTCACTGATACATACGGCAGTCTTATCCGTCTTGTCATTCTTTCGTGGAATCACACCCAAGGACGTTTGGGACGGCATATGTTACCTCGTCAAAGCCATATTTGTCGAGGCGCCACTGGCGCTCATCAAGTTTCTCGGCACCTTTGGGGAGATGAGTTACAAGGTGCTAGCAGCCTTGTTTGGCGTATTAGGGAAGGTGTTGTGGTATCTTGCGCAGGGGATTCTATACGTAATCACCTGGACGCCGAAACAACTCTGGAGGTGTGTAAAGGCTTTTGGTCGTCTCAACCGCAAGGGATTCAATGAGATAATGGCCCTTATTGATCCAAAGAGGATGTAAACGTAGAATAGCTTAAGATTTCTTTCGTGTTTTCTGAAACTCAGTTAATTAGCGAGGAGAGGGTCTGGTATGATTTGTGCAACAAATACACCCTGTCAACCACTTAGCTTTTAATAAGAAAGAGTAACGTAATCCACAAGCGAGCGGGCCATACAAGCGAGCGGGCTACTTCTATTAATTTCTTTAATCTTTATCTAATTTATTAAATTCCTCTATAATACAATATAACAGATCTCTTATACGAATTAAGGATACTACTTACTATCTAAGCTCTTGAAAATAACCTAAAATTAAGCCTTTAAGCTGCAGTTAAAACCTATAAGATTAAATAAATAACCTTAATATAATAATATACTAGTTATATAGCTTAATATAATACTTAAACTAATTTAATAAATCTAAGAAAATCTAAAGAGAAGGCTATTATTTTATATATAATTAAGCTATCTATATATATATTTCCTTCTAGGATATATAGTATTAAGAAAATAACTAATATCCTACTATATATATATAATATACCCCCTATTAGAGTTAATTAGATCTCTAACTTTATTAAATAGTAATTAGAACTTTATATATACTAGATTTAGAAATATAACTATTAGAGAGCTAAATATAAAGATCTAAAGATTATTAGATCTTAGTTTACTCTTATATATAATCTAAAGATAAAATATAGTATTCTAGATAAAAACTTATATAACTTTAATAAGACTAGCTTTATAATAGGGGTTATCTTCTCTGGAATAATAGTTACTATCTTAGAGGGTTATATAAAGGCTAAGCTAGTCTAGCCTAGTAACTGGGAGTAGATAATTATAATCTAAGGGGTAAATATAGCTAACTAGGCTATTCCTTCTTTTATTATTCTAGCTATCTAATATTATCTTAAGAACTAGTATTAGAAATATAATCTACTATATAATTAATAGCTTATAATAACTAAGAATAGCTAGATTACTAATAAGATTAATCTAGATTAGATTAAATACTTTAATTCCTATATAGCTCCTTATATAAAGAGAGTATATTAAATACTAATCCTTAATAATTATAAAAGCTACTATTTAACTAATTTTAAGATTTATTATTAAGAGTATAAAATTATTATAATTTATATATCTTCTTACTTCTCTTATCTTCTTTAGCTATTAGATATTAGCTACTTTAAACTACTAAAGTAATTATATAGAAGAGAGATTAAGAAGTTAATATAGATATATATTATCTATATTAATAAGCTTAAATTTCTCTCTTTCTTTTATATAGCTTTCTTCTACTTCTTTATAAAGAAGAATATCTAGATAGATTTTATTAGATCTAGCCTTATACTATATAATCTAGAGAGAGTTCTTTTAAAACTAGATATAGTACTATAAATACTAATACTACTAGAGATCCTATCTAAAATAAAATAGCTCTAGATTCTAAAGATACTATAGACTATATATAAGATAAGTATATAGTCTAAATATATTAAATTCTGAATTTTAGCTTATTAAAATAGCTCTCTAATCTCTATACTAACTATAATAGATTAATTTATAAAGGGAATAACTATAGTAATATACTAGATAGCTCTTTTATATACTAAGATCTGGGATCTTTATATAGTAAATAAGATATTAAATAAATACTAAAGAGCTAAAAAAAGCTATATATAGCTTAGAGAATCCCTAACTATATAGAATAGAATAGATCTATTAGATTAGAAGGATATAGATAAGTAGCTAAGAGGAGAAGACTATAGAAGTAGTAATTAGGGAGAGTAGGCTTATATAAAGACTCTATAATATAGTAATTATAGAAAGCCTGATTATAATATCTGAATCTATAGAGAGACTAGGGAGGAATCTGATAAATTAATTTCTAGTATTATTATTATAGATAATTAGCTATTATTATTTTAATTAAGGTTATTATATAAGGGATAGGTAGAAGTAGCCCGCTCGCTTGTATAGCCCGCTCGCTTGTGGATTATGTTAAATATGTTCCCAAATTCCTTAAAACTTGTATTAGTTTATGAAGTAATCCCTTCTACAGTTCCATATCCCCAATGTTCCCCATCCATGAGTTTAATCTGTTCCCAAACTTGAACAAGTAATTACAGTCCTATGCTTCCAGTTCTGTGATACCCCGGTCACAAAGCATACTTGCGGAAGGGATATTATACCCGAACCGGTTCAAAGTTTTTATTCGCAGCAGTTTTATTCAGTGTTGAGGTACTGCGGTAAAGAGAAGAGTGAAAGTGAGTCTCAAACTAAAGAAAGGATTTTCATTCTCATCACTTGACTTCCAGGTAATTCGAAACAACTCGCGATCCAAAACAGATTGGGAAAAGAACAACGCTTAACAACATAGTGTTTCTGAGCTTTTATCGAGTACACAAACAGTTTAACTCACCAAATTCCAATAGTCTTTGAACATGCGAGCCCAATCTCTCCCAGGAACTTCACCCGCCTTGAAGTCTTATTTAAGGTATGTGTCATCGTCGAGTCTCCTTCCCACACCAGCTCTACAATCCGAGACTCTCAAGAGGATTGCAAACTTGAGAAGCTACTTGAAACCCTTTCTCACTTTATCCATACCAAAACATCTTTCAACAATCTCGGAGAAAATGCCTTCTCAGCAAGAACTTAGCCGGGTTAGCATGGCCCTAAAGGACCTTAAACTCTCTGTACAAGACCTCATAGAGGCATTTTCGCACCTCTTTGATGATCATATCCTCTGGCAAGAGTCATATGAGCGAGATCCATCTGGGTTGAGGGGAGGATCCATGCAAAAGCATGTATTTGCCTATCTCCGGGATTTCATAAGTGCGGTGGAGGGCCCGCCCGACCTTTCTATCGCTTCACTGACTCCATGGAACCACGCAAGAACCCTGAGGATAACCATGGTACTGGATGCCGGAGTAGCGGACATTCTTCGTCTTATGCAGGATCACGAGATGATGCCCCAGGGCATCGACCGCCGGATTTTCTCTGTGCTGTGCCACATTGACGCAATCATCCGTATGAAAGAAGATTCTTCGGCATCACCACCATCAACTGGTGAAGGTTCCGGATCAAACGGTGAGGGTTCCGAATCAAGTGGTGTCTAAGTTAATGGCGCCCCATATGAATGCAAACCATGTTGGTGGAGATTCTCCCGGCAGTTCCTCTTAACAAACCAACTAGCAAGACTGCGAGATCCTTAGGGAATTGCTTGCTATAGCCATGTATTTATCGTATAAAATTGAAATTATTGTCCGATCCGAACCCAGGACTTTTCATCTATCATCCCTTAACTTTCTCGCCGTTTCCTCATCGTCTGTGTTCCAAGTGTCCCTTTTTGAAATCATGCCTTGGATATTTCCGAATCAAACTTGAAGACTGGAAATGATCCATGTGAAGGCTGAAACCTGACGGTTTCATAGCAAACGAAGCCCTTTGTGTAGTTTTGTTCATAGAGAGGCTGTTCCAGAACCCCATCTCTTTGAAACTCGAAGCTGCCGTAATCAAAGTATGTTCTACTACATCAAACGTATGTCTAAGCCATCCAAATACAGGGCACTACCTACGAGCAATCGCTCTTAAGGTGGGTGCATGCTACCCAAAGTCCTTTGGATATACCTATTCAGGCTGAAATGCCTCAAACTTGCCAACACCCGGCTCCTGGGAACTGGAAATGGCGACGTCAAAACGTCGTCAAACTTACCCCTCGTTTATTTCCTGGCCAATCGAACTCTGGTGATAAATGACTTGGCCGCTATTTGCTATTTGCGGCCCCAGATTTCGTCATTGTAAACAACCCACCTTGGCATCTCATATTTATATTTTTTTCATCTTAGAGGCAAGCGTAACTGGTACATTCTCTCAGCATGGCGATCCTGACATTTGGAAACCTCTGCGTTCTTCCGCTGGCCTATCTCTTATGGAGTATTGCTTATCAGGTTGTTTACTACAAGTTTTTCCACCCTCTTTCCGCCTTCCCAGGATCGTTCTGGGGCAGCGTGACAAGACTTTGGATTGCATGGCATAACATCAAGCAGGACGAGTGCGAGGTCTTCGATCGACTACATAAAAAACACGGTATGTGAAACTGTGCTTATTGTATAAAAGTTTCCTTCTGACACATGGGGCCGTCTCCAGGTCCTGTAATTCGTGTAACCCCTACGATGCTCCTAATCAACGACTCGACCAAGCTTCCGACCATTTATGCCCGCCATGCAAACAAGTCGAAGCACTACATTATAGGCAGCTTTGGGGAAGATGAATCTGTATTGAATATGCAGGATGCAAGCGTCCACGCCAGGTTCCGCAAGATTATCGCGGCTCCTTATAGCTTCAGCAACGTTAGGAAGATGGAGCCCTTGATTGACGAGCAGGTCCAGCGCTGGATCGCGAAACTGGAGGAGAAATTCGCCGGAACCCAGGAGAAGTTCGATTTCGCTCCGTGGGCTGTGTATATGGCCTACGACGTCATCTCCTCGGTCGGATTCGGCGCTCCAGTGGGCTTCATCGAGCAAGGCGACGATATCGAAGGCCTAATCAGAGCGTTCCACGATGGGATGGTGGTTTTTGGCCTCATGGCGCGCCTTCACCCGCTTGTGAATTGGGTGAAGAGCACGTTCTTGGGCAAGTACATGGTCGCGACCCCGGAACAGAATTCTGGGATCGGGACAATGATGAGGTTCCGAGATCGCCTTATTGAACAAAGGTTGAAAGATCTCGAATCAGGGGCCTATGATGGCAGAGCGGACCTTTTGCAAACGTAAGCTGCACCCACATCATAATGTCGGAGTGTCGTTCAACATTGACAAAAGAAAATATCAGGTTTATTGACGCTCGGGATGAGGAGGGCAAGCCGCTCGATCTCAACTACATCAAGGCCGAGATCCTGCTTGTCCTTCTTGCCGGTTCGGATACTACAGGGACATCTTTCCAAGCCCTAATGCTCCATTTGTTCTCTAACCCAGAAGTGTACGAGAAGTTGATGGCAGAGATCGACGCAGCCACTCGAAATAACAAGCTGTCCTTCACCCCCCAATATGACGAGGTCGTCGCAAGTTGCCCGTACTACATGGCCTGCATAAAAGAAAGCCTACGCCTAAACCCCCCCGCCGTCACTATTATTCCCCGCACGGTCCCGAAAGGTGGCATGGAACTCTTCGGACGCTTTGTCCCCGAGGGGATGGAGATCGCAGGTAGCGCGTGGCTAATGAACCGTGACGCCAACCTTTACGGCCCCGACGCCGATGTGTTCAGACCCGAGCGCTGGTTGGATGCGGAGCAAGCTAGGGAGTACCAGAAGTACAGCTTGACTTTTGGATACGGGCAGAGGGTGTGCCTTGGCAAGGACATTGCCATGATGGAGCTGTACAAGGCGCCTCTACAGTTCCTACGAACTTTCCAGCCCGAGATTGTGAACAAAGAGCAGCCTGCGCGGTATGTTGTTCCGGGTGGCATTGCATTCTTTAAAGACATGTGGATGGCAATACGGAAACGTCCTCAAGCTGTCTAGGCGAGTTGGAGCGCAACTTGAAAGTAAGAGTGAGAGCAGGCAACTTTCTATGAGTTATAGCCAAGCCAGTTGAGTTCTCAAGTAAATGCAAGATAACCGCTAAATTTTTAAGTTCAGAATAAACGAAAACGGCTAGTTACGAAGTTTTTCTTTGAAAATTGTTCAATATTATTCAAATAGTATTCATATAGTATTTGAATATTGTTCAAATATTGTTAAATAGTATATGAAAACTTTCAACTCAGATACATCATGTGCTATGTAAACCACTTCCGCGCACCGCAACAGCTTTGGACATGATACAAAACCTCGTCTCTAGACCTCCTTGCCAGCTCCAAGAAGATTCGCCCAGGGCCAAATCCGAGGGTACGTTTGTTTCTTAGGCATCACTAGGGAGTCCCCCATGTCAGTTCAAGTTCCCCATGTAGTCATAGCCACTATAATAAAGGCCGCTCTCAACAGTCCCATCTGTCATAAGTCAGGGAAGCTCAACAGCCCCCACCCTGGAGGATTAGTCTCGAGGACGGTTGCCCATGTCTAGTTCCGCCAAAGCACATTACGATGAATACGATGAGTGGTTGGTAAGCGGGGCAGACCCCTGCAGCTTCAAGAAGCAGCTGAAAGCTGATCGATCTTTTCCTCAACATGCTAGCGTTAAGTTGGCGTGTTTCGTGGCCACATTCTCATATTTCCCGTAATCAAATCTCTCACATTACGAACTACAGGAAGTCTCTCATCATGGCCCATTTGGAGCCTCTCGACCCCAAGGTTGACTCCATCCGCATTCTCACTCTTCTACCAAGAGTTGACAATCCAAACAGCAAGGAGCTCTTTTGCAAACTTGAGAACAGGACGCTAGCCAGCAAACCAAAATATGAAGCTCTGTCTCACGCTTGGGGTCCCGGCCAAGCGACCGACACAATCTTCATCAATGGCCAAAAGGTTGTCATACGACCTAGACTTCATGATGCGCTCCGCTCACTCCAAACCGGCAAAGGCCGGTCGTTATGGATTGATGCCCTCTGCATCAACATGGAGGACACCAAAGAGCGCAATGATCATGTCAATATGATGTCCTATATCTACTCGAGGGCCACAAAAGTCCTCGCATATCTCGGACCGTCTCATTCTGCTTTCAACAAGGCCGATATGAAAGAAATGGGCGAGAGCTATCACTACTTTAGCGAGAGAAACTGTCAACTCATCTCCAAAAGTATTTATTGGACGCGTCGCTGGACCATACAGGAGCTCATCCAGGCCAAAGAGATCCGCTTCCACCTCGGGAAAGGCTATTTCACCCTCGACAACCGCTTCAATAGTCTCTCCAACGCCTCCAATGGTTCCTGGCTAGATGACCACCTTGAAAGGATCGAAAATCATCGGAATAATATGCACTCTCACTTGCAACAATTAGAAGTGCTGTTAGAAATGTTCAAGGACCTTGAGTGCGAGGATACCCGCGACAAAATCTTCTCATTGTTGGGAGTTGCCGATGATACCGCTCAGGAATTAATCGAAGCCGATTATGACGTGGATTATTACCAGCTGTACGCAAGTCTTATTGATTATCATCAATCCGCTTCCCCTTTGCAATGTCGGTCTGATCTCTTCCGCTCGAGCACATATGATCCTGAGCCATGGAGAGAAAATTGGCAGGGTTTTGATGTCAGCATTGAGCGCTCAGTGCGAGTTATTGCTTTCAGCAACCTGGTGCAAAAGACACTTAATAGTGCCGTCAACCAAACTCCAATTCCAGAGTCTCTATCACTTGGCGATCCAATAATCGCCAGGGGTGTCATAATCGGCTCGGTTATGAGCATCGGAGAGACATATGACGACTACGTTTCCTCATGGGAGTCAAATAAAAAGTGGAAGGCACTCTTAGAATCAACATACAAAAAGGATAAGGATCTTGCCAAATGGAGGGAAAATGATGCGGCCTTTTACCAAGAGATGCTGAAGTGGGATCATAGTGAGGTTGCTGCTATCCAGAGCTGTGACACGACTAAAAGCTACGGGTACCGCGAAAGTCAAGACGATGAGCACATCACTCGGGAGGCTTTAGACAGTGTTACCGAGGGAGCTCAACCCAGACGATTTCTTGGAACTAAAGGGCTGATGGGATTTCTGCCCCCAGGTGCGAAGGAGGGCGATCAAATATGCTCTTTCTGGGAGGCTTGCTTTGGCGTCGTGGTCCGCAAACTTTCAGAAGATAGGTGGATGATTGTAGGGAGGGCGACAGTGTCAAAGGAGTCGCTAACCCCAGCTGTCACAGAATCTGTCTATCATGATGCTCTAAATTACGGGACCGAAAATACATCATACAGCTCGTTGCTGAGCAGGACCGGGGATGAGTTTTGGGCGAAACAGAAAGATTTGGCATATGAGGCTCTAATCTTCTTCAAGTTGGACATTCCTACTTTGCAAAAACTAACTGCATAGACTTCTCTAGATAGGTAGAATAACAGGTAGAAGACAATGCACCCCAGAATCATATAACTGTCTAGATATATCTTACTTCGGTGATCACCTCAAGAATTTGAAGTCAACTTCTGGAGACTTCTGAGATCTAGCCTCAAATTGATACCAGCATCAGACAGGAAGGGCGAAGAGCTACCCTTCTTAATCTTCAACCCCTTCATATCATACGCAATTGCTGTCTCAATATCGTCGTCTTCTTCAGTCTGCCACTCGACATCGTCGTCTTCTTCGGTCTGCCACTCACTCTGCTCCTGTTGGATTCTCGCTGGCCCCAGCACGAGGAATCGATCCGCTGCTGTTTCCAATTTACGGACTACAACCGCGACGTCGCAGCCAAGAAAGGTGCAAACGTAGTCCCCTTCTTGCGCATCTCCTGGAACCACGCCAACAATTCCACCGTCTCCAAGTGCAAGTCTTGCCTCAGAGTCCGTCAGTTTGTCCTCAGCATCCGTATTTTCCTGCTCGTTTAAGGGACTTGGTCCAGGATCAACAAATTGAAAGCCGTAAGATGAGTGTGAGTCAAGCTTCTTGATCCCTGCCAAGTAGCTCTCGCTCCAGTCGAGCATACTCTTTGAAAAGGCTTCATAGTCCCTCCGAGCTTTCTGCTGCTCCTCTAGCTCTTTGAACACGCGAGAGAATGAGAGCCTCCAAGATTTGTCGGCTCTAATAGATGATGCCACCTCTGAGGGGGTAGGTCCAATTTTGAGGATCTCTCCGGCAATATAAGCTCGTGCTGTGTAGAATAACCCTGACCAAGCAACATCGAGAGAGCTGTTCACTTCCTTGGCCACTTCACCCTCGAAGACATTTTGAAGAAGCTGGCTGAACCTGATGAGCTTAACAGCTCGATCAACATCGTTTGGGAAAGGGCTGTCGCGCGATGCGTCTGATGTTTGGTGGAAGTCAATCACCTGGGCATAGAGTTGGGCGAATCCAATCCCATAATCAACCCTGATGGCCGAATCCGAGCCATCAAGCACCATTCCAAGCAGTCCATAGATCTTATCCCGTTTTTCAGTGCACTCTGCCTTCCTAAATACCTCAATGAGGTTCTCCAGACGCTGCGCGCTCGTGTACCGCTTCTCTCGAAACCGGTGTATCGCATCGCTCCGGCCCTCCAAAGCTCGCCATTCGGGGTTTTGGGTGCTCGTCACCATGTCCCATCCGAACTCGTACCGTCCCAGGTAGAATCGCACCTCTGGCGCTAACACCAGCTCCTGGATGATCCAAAGGCGCCTCCAGTAGGAGTTGTGGGAGAAGACATACCAGTTCTGGTCCGAGAAATAGTCGTTCTGCACCGTCTCGGCCCAAGGCCCAAGCCACGCCAGCACCCTCTGCGCACGAGTATAAATGAAGGCCATCAGACTGACCTGGGCATTGCGCTCTGCCATGTCCTTCTGGTTGATGCAGACGGCGTCCACCCACAGCGCACGGGGCTTGCCAGTCTGGAGACTCTTAAGCGCATTGTAGAGGTTCTCGCGCACGGGGAAGAGCTCCCCGTTGATGGTTATGTGTGTTGATTCAGGCTTTGTGCCCCAGGTATAGGAGAGAGCCTCAAATTCGGGCTTGCTCCGGAAGGTCCTATTCTCTAGTGTGCATGCGACTGATCCTTTGGAACGTGGCAGCAGCGTGAGAATGCGCAGTGAGTCCGCCTTGGGGTCAAGTGGTTCGTAGTGAAACATGATATGTGATTAATTGCTCATTGAGATCGATCGTCTAGTGTCGCAAGTTGAGGGGAAAGTTGTTCGAATTGAACTAACAGAGCAAGTTCGTAACCCCTGCATCGCGTTAGGGCCATAGCCAATACGAGAGATACGCAGTCAAAACCATTACCAAAACGTTACCCTACACTACTGGTGATCAATGGTGATAAGGCGGGCATCAGGTTTCTTGCTTCTAGATTACGCCGGCAAGATGAAATGGCTTTGTATGGAAGAGGAGGACTTGGGTGCCTGTATGTAGACTTGGAAATAATATTAAAAGACTGCCTGAAACTAAAGGGAAAAAGTTAAGGTATCAACTGGGAGGCGACAAGGAGCACAATAGTGAATTTCGTTAATGGAGGCGGTGCCTCTTCTCATCGCTAGAGCATGCCCTCTTATTTATTTGTTATTACCTGCCCTAGAATGAGCATCAACGGAGAGCCTTAAAGTGGGAAGGTTTCAATGAATCAGATTTCCCGACTCTTGATGAAACGAAACTCGCCAACAAGCTCCTCTCGCAGAGAATAACCAACGAACGTGCCTGGTGCAATTTATTCCGAGCCCAACTTCCCTACGCGTAACGACAGAGCTTATCCCGCTTGGCTCGAAGACTGATGGGAGGTTCCCTCCCGATTCCAAAGCCAAGTGATAAAAGACGCTAGTCGACAATTCCATTGATTGTTTTCTCATGTGCGCGGGCGTAAGCCTTGAGAAACTCACTACCGGAGGCGAAGATTTCCTTGAGAGTTTCGGGGGGGGATTGGCTTGGCACCGGGAGGCACGCTGCCAGGAATCTGCGGATTCTCCCCACAGCGGCCATTGGCTGGGCGGTTCAATGGGTTGCGATGTTTATGGGCATCGCTGTCGCTGCGTGGCGCAGTATTCTCAATCTTGTCTGCCATCTTGATAGTGGGTAACGTGGGAAGACGATTTGGGATGACGGCCCTGACGGTGGGATGGCGATGGAGGGGCTGAGAGGTGGGAAAAGTGAAGATGATGAAGGTTTGTTGGGACGGGAGAAGTTTGGGTGATCTCAGTTGTGTGCACTGACGTATGTAGGTTTTGTTCTATCACGCCAATCCAAACACTTCAACACACCAAGCGCGAATCTTCTCAACAACCAACCCAGGGAGTACCAGTAGCCCCTTGGCCAGAGCACTAACACTGACACGCCCGCAGCCTTCGACACATCATGGCAAAAGACGAGATCCCCAGCAGATCCCAGTGCCTTCTCTCAAAGGCAAAAACTTCAATCCTCGTCCATTGATAAATCTGCTCGAATTCAACCAGTCCTACCAACTTATCGCTAACCCAGTATCTTTTCGTTTAATTAATTTTGAAGTTTATTTCCCGAGGAATGATACGAAGTCGTCTTGCTGGGCCATTGTCCCCTACGCTACCTTCGCTTCCCTAATCATGATGCGACATGCAACAGAGCACGTCTTAAACCTGCCACGAGAAAGAATCTGCATATTTAAGGCACTCAACAATCGTCAGGTAGAGGGGCTTCTCCTTCGGTCGACCCATGAAGTTCTCTGCGGTGCTTCTGGCGCTCTCGCCAGGCGAAAAAGGGTTCGGACGTGAAGACCTGGTCACATGAATCACAGGTGATCGGGGGCTATGAGTACAATTAGAACAAGGTTCATGAGATGATTGAGCAAAAGAAGTGGTGTGTCCGTACCTGAAACCTCTGCTTCAACACGGGGGGCGTCCACCATTGGTCCTCGCAGTAGAGGACATACTCGTCAACAGGAGATTCGACGGAGAGAAGCTGGCGGAGAGCCTCCAAAGAAGATGGGATGGGCGTATTTAGCTCCCCGCCAACTCTCTTCTGGGTGAAAACAAAAACCCAGCTATCAAAGATGTAGATCCATGGCGAGTGTTCATAATTGCGGGTGTATGGAAGAAAAATCCGGAACTTCCAGTCGATCCCCTTGTTTCTGAAAACGGTGGCAATTTCTTCCTCGTCGGAATCCTGAAGTAGACTCCCTAGAAGAGGATCCACGTCATACGGAGAAAGGAATGTATTAAACCGATCTCGTGGGACTTTTAATCCCCGACCATAAACAATCATCGCGGCAATCCTTGTATTTGGGGAATTTTCGGACGGAAGATGAATTCTTGTCTAGCGTAGGTGTAGGTAGCGAGAAGTTGAAGAAGATGAGTTGAAGAGGAGAAGCTTATTTTTGTAGGGCACGATATGGAAAAGCGGGACATGTAATGTGACGCCTAATAACAAAGGTATAAAGGCAAAATAAAACATGTCCATGCGAGGAGGAACGCAAGATACCTACATAAAGATGCTTTATTACTCAACGGAGGCCAAGGCGGCGGCAGCGTTTTTATTCCGAGCAACTCTGATATTAGCTAACTTCGTAGTGCCCAGGAGGTCTAGTGAACTTTCTCTACGCATCACAGACAGTCACTACTCATTTATTCAGATAGACAAAACAAATTAGCTAATTCAGTCTTAAAACTTGATTATATTTAACTACATCAGAAATGAGAGAGTGAAAATGGTCAAACAAAAAGAATAATCGTTAACTCATATGTGAAGAACAAGAGGGTGGAGGGCCGCCCCAGCCCTCGCCCATACTGTCGTTTTCTGTCCATTCCGACACTTCTGTCTCATGAATTGCAATCTTCCATCATCATTGTTATTATTAACAACGTGGGTAAAGAATTTGAAGCGAGTGTAAACGGTAAAACTTGAAAAGATACACATCAAGGGATTCAAAGCAGAGGAGAAGAAGAAGAAGAAGAAAGATAAAACAAAAGATTTCATGATATGTCTTCACATCGAAGAAAAGACATAGATTTAGCGGGAAATTTTGTAAAAGAGTGAACAGATTCCCTCACGGAGAGCCCAAGCTCTACAAATCTGAACAAAGAGCGGAAGGGGAAAAACTAAAGGATCGACTGGATAAGAGATTGCTCGTCAACTCGGCAGTTGCTCACTGTGTTGTCTCCATCACGGATCCATGCTTTGAAACCGTCTTCGGAAAGGTCAGTTGGGAAATTCTCACGAATGCTTCCCGCCATGTTGGCATAGTGCGTTTCCATCCCGGGCACCACGTCGGCCGGTTCTGGCGAGCATCGATCTCGGCAAAGGAAATAGTACGGGTACAATCTCCTGCAGATGTCCTGGATCAATGCGAAGCGTAGCTCTCGCTTCCCCTGATTGATATCCCGGGCCAGAGCGTGTCGGTATCTCTTCCAGACGCATATCTGCCAGCGGAGTGAGAGAAGGAGATAACCGAGCGAGGTGACCAGCTCGGGTACCGCATTTGGATCATTAACTCTTGGTCCCTGTTGATGGAGGCTTTTAGAGAGAACTTCATAGATGTTACGCTCGAATCTGCGCAGCTCGATCAGGACTACCTGGGTCAGAATATGATAGATCTGGCCATTAGGAGCAATTCTCTCAATCTTCTCTCCTCTTTTGGAAACTTGATGCAGGGTGGTAAATTTTAGGACATTAGTCCATCGGACATACATCCTAAGGTGGCCAGGGAGGTTTCCCTCGCGAAGGAAAACCTTCTCTGGGCGCGAGCCTCGGGAATAATGTTTGTCGAAGACGGCGGGGAAAGGGATTGGACTCAATCTTGCCTTCTGCAAAGTTGCTAGAGACCGCCACATCTCTTCCATATCGATGGTGCGTAGCCTGGAAACTCTGTAGTAGATCTCGAGATTCCAGTCGGCACTGATGTCCTTGATCTTGCCAAGGGTCTCGTGAGAGATGTCCACTTCATCAAGGCTGACTGGAAACTGCAATAGTTCGAAGATCGGCGCGCGGATTGAGGGTGGCACTGTTGCTCAAGTCAGCATCTCACGGTGATGTGGCATCTAAAGGTCAATCTAAACACATACTACTAGAGAGGGTCGACATTTTCTTAATCATGTCTTTGAAGTGAGCCTTGGTGCACATGGGAACGACCCGCCCATCAAAGCCTTGAGCACATCGGATACAGAGCCATGTCCCGTCACACTACAAAGAAGATGTCAGCAGTTTCATCTGTGATGGAGGAAACTATTCTTAACTCACCTTGACCTTGCTGAGGCAGCAGTTGAGGCACGTATTTCCATCTGTTCGCGATCTTTTGAGTCCACTTCTCGTGGTTTCTGAAAGAGGACCTTGTCGCTTACCACGAGCCCTACGAGGCTCCAATGGGGCACCTTCCATGTCAGGGCCGACAACGGGTTCTTCGTCCAATTGCTCATTTTTCCCTTGGGATTCATCGGAATCCCTCGCTCTTTTTAAGCTTTGACGAGGCGGGCGAGTCTGGCAAGAGTCGGATGAGCTGCGAGGGCGATCTGAAATAACGATAGGGGAAGTGTGAGAGGTCTGGAGGGTATCCGTTCCAACTTCTCCTGTTGGAGTGGAACAGTTTGGTGCTATATCACTGGATCTCCGTGAAAAGGTGCTGCCAATGAAGTTTGAAACAGATCGATTCTCTCTTCCCAAGGGGTAGGTATACGAGTGGGCCAGTGGCCCTGGCTGGAGATATTGGCTGCTTGGCTGCTCGAGGAGGCAGGCACCGGGGTTACGATCAAAGCCCGATGGCGTAGCATCGTCTTCATATCCATCGCAGGAAGTCGCGTAGGTAGAAGCAGAGCTAGCTGACATGTATGAAAAGCTCGGCTGTCTTTCGTCATGCATTTGAGCAAAAGAACCTGCGTCGCTCCGGGGGCTATTCACGCTTGGCGTGTGCGGAGTGCCGGGATAGCTGCCCTCCTGCCCACTTGAATATGAGCTGGAGTAGTAGTACTCTGACTCGGTACATGTATTGCCGGCAGAGTTCAGGCAGATCTCGGGGATTCTTGAACTACCTGGTGGAACCTCAATAGGAGCAGAGCTCGTCGTCTGGAAAGGGTTGGAGCCCTGTCTATCCAAGAGCGGCACCGGGGGTTCTTCGCAATCATATTGACCAATTACAGAACAAGGCTGGTATTGGTACTGGAAACATTCAAGAAACTGTGGGTTCATTGAATTCCTAGTAAGCATAATAGGACACCCGGGAGCGGATTCCATGCTGTCCAGCTCCTTTGAGAGCCCTTGAGAGCATTGGCTTAACCTCATGATGTTAGCAATAGCAATCAAAAAAGATTATACTCAGAGGGACTCACGGTTGGGAGCTGAAGCTCGTATCATGATCAATACCAGCGCCGAAAAACAGAAAGGAATTACCATGTATTCCAGAAGGATTATCGAAGGCATTGTTAGGCGAGTGGCCAGGGATAATCTCACGAGGCCCGTTCTGACTGGTTGCAGGGGGAGTGAGATGAGACCACCCATCTTTATCACTAGAATGACTATTTTGCTTCATATTGAAGATCGCTGAAAGTCTACCTAGGATAGGATCAGGTTTAGGTATGTTCTTCACGAGATTCTGTTGCCTCGGGGAATGGTGTAGCTAAGTATCCCGGATATCGACAAGTAGAGCGAAAACAATAGTGGTTAAAGGAGGGCGTCGAATGGATAAAAAATTAAAAAGCTAGGCAAGCGGGGTAAAGGAGCGGATGATTTGGGTCTGATGACCTTTGTGTTACAACAGAACAGTGGCAGTCTGTTGAGTTGCGGGTCGAGCAAAGGAAGGGTGGGAGCGAAACTTTATAACACTGGGAGGAAAGGAAGGGGAATAGACGCGATTCAAATGATTCACGACATGCGGACAGGTCAAAACTTATTTAGGCCTTTGGTAAAGCGCCGTCAAGGCAATCTGAGCCTTATTCTGTCTGACATTTGATACTTGCCCAACCGCGTGTGCATATAAGGCTGAGCGGTGGTCCGCGCGGACTGGGTAAGGCAACTCAACCACTCAGACATATTGTGTGCGTACTTTTCTATAGACGCACACCACTCGCGGTACACACACATATATTGGCCCTGGATGGCTGGGTGTCACCTCATATGCCAGTAAGACGCTTTTGAGTGGACCGAAGATAAAGAGATGTCATGAAGTGCATATAACAAGATCACAAAAGCAGGCAGCACCAGTCTATTCGCTCCCTTGAGCAATGTCTCAGGAGGAATGGCATATGATTTTGCTGTGACGAATACTACCGTATCATTCAATTATATTCCAGCCTACTCGACGAAAGCAGTGATAGACATGTTGATGAAGTAAATTGGACACACCCCCTCCCTCCTTTCCCTCCTCTCTCTTCTTCATACTCCCTGTCCACATGCCCAAGACAAAGTGTTCGATCTATCCAATACAATTATTAACTACATGATACCGAAAAAGAAGAGGCAGGCGGTCAAGACTAGAGCGAGGCTATGCTATACACCCGTATCTAACGGTAAAATAATGTCGGTGAAGTGACTTGGTATCGCATCATCTAGATTCTTTCCATTCTCGTCAAGTTCTTTGGAGGCGGAGCCGGAATTGAATGGCTGCAGTGCTGCCCGAGCATTTGAATCACGAGCATAGGGAGAGGGGAGAGGGGAGAGGGAGGATAAGCCAGGCCAAGAACTGCATCTCCGCAAGAGGCCACTCGCCAGCAGTGAGTGTGCCTGCCCAAGAGGCAACCATGGGGAGCTTCTCGAAAAAAAAACTGGTTATTCGTTACGCCTTGCAGCGTGGCCCTTTCTCCATTAGAGTCTAGAAGAGAAGAGTGTCGCACCGTGGCGTCATTGGCAGCCAATCAAGGAGCTCGGGGCTTGAGCATGGCTGTATCAGACATTGCTGATGGGTGTGCTGAACCCAATGTGCAATTCTAGAAAGTTGCGGTGAAAGTACATACTGAAGTATAAGGCAGCTGAGGGGTGTAGCATCAGCAGAAAATGCAGGATTCAACCCAGAGCTGAGCCGCGAAGAAAAGAGATAGAAGACGGGAGGTCGGCGGAATCTCTATAGGTAAAAGTTAAAATTCGGCGTCTACTGGCCAATAACTCGGTAGCCTCCAATGACATCTTGGGGCGTCCACCGAAGAGTCTCAGAGTGATGTCTTACAGCCGGTTCATATGGCTTGTTGGTCTCCCCGCCCGTGATTATGCCCACAATACTGAGTAGCTGAACCCTGCTCCCGGGACACCCCCATCGGTCCAGTCCGTCGATCCAGGCGTGGTCTTCCATGTGGCGTCTGTTGAGGGCTTGGGTTGATGTATCCAGTTAGTCCAGACAGGTCTCTTCGCCTCACGGGCCAAACAGAGTCGAGCCGCAACGCTCGCCATGATGTGCAGCTTTCACTCCCTAGCCTCCAGCTTAAGTCCGACCTTCTATGCATCAAGTGCCGTGCTTCCAGCTCCTGCAGGCTACACAGCCCCGCTGCAGGCCGTCCTTGCAACGGTATCACAGGGAGTTGCCTGCAGGCCATGTAAGCAGACCATCGGTCTCGTTCAAGGCGACCAAGTAGACCGTTTCGTTGTACAGTCATTCATTGGCATTATCCCATGTAGTGACTAGGTCATGCATGCGATCAACGACCGGTGTAGCTGATGAATGACCCGACGATAACATTTGTCAACCAGTCATAGGAGATCATGCCCAGAGCAATTGAAAGGTTAGATGAGGTCCCAGATAGGGCTGGATTCAATGTTCCAGTCGACGGAGCGAGCTACAAGCAGCACTGAGGTCCAATGCAATGCACCACCACCACTCCCTACTGCCATCACTTTGGTGTAAGTCTCTGATCACTCCTCTTCCGTCAAGTCTGATACTTTTTTGTCAGATCATATGTCATTGCTCAAAATTCACGATGCTTCAATTCCAAAAAAAAAATAAAGCACTGCCCCTTTTCCCAAAGGCCGCCCCCATGCCTCTCGTCTCATTGGGGGCCAAAGAGCGTGCCGAACCGTCACATCCAATCCTTCTCGATGCTGCCCTCTCTCCCATTGACATCTTTCCATAACTGGCCTCAGCTACTCGCGCCAGTGACCGCTGCTGCGCCCCAGGCTGGGTGAAGCTCGCTGCATTGGTTGGATCCCGATGGTGGTGTGCCTCCGGCATTAGTTTCATTGCCTGTTGGTCCTAGGTCAGGAAAACGGTCAATTAAAAGCATCAGAAGAAGTCATTTGGCCTCTTTCCATGACGGAAATCTTTCTCGTATTGGCTGGGGGAAGCACAGCCGCCACACTGATTCCCGACGCCTTTCGAAGGGCCTTTATCCGGTGGTGTCACAGACAGCCATCATAGTTTGACGATCCCTCGCTCGGGCCCCCGAGAATTTGACCAGCTCCAATGACCGAGACCAGCTCCATGCGTAGAAGAGGTGAGACTATCTCGTACCTCGTGAACATTATGGTTGATCCATTAGGTCCGTCTGAACGTGCTATGTGATCAACTAGACTTGCGGCTCACTCTCGGTCTCGTTTTCCAGAAGCTTGCAATCCCTATCAGTCGTGTGTGCTGTGAATCATGAGTCACTCACCCCCTCTTGCTGCATCCACGAAACGTCACCTTGCCTCCGCTGTTCCAGACCCCAACCCGAGATGCAGATTAAGGCTGAACAGTCCATCTTTCGTCATTACCACAGTTGCGATTAGTGGCCAACGATCATCCCCAACAAAGTCCATTGCATGTGACATCACTTCACCCGCTGAGAGTGATTTTAATGAGGTAATGGTCTCATCAAGGCATCGGTAGACGCACCGTCCTTTCTTCAGGGCCCCAGCATGAATCCTCAAGCAAATCCAGTAAAGTCTAGGGGCTGGAAAGCCCATCCCCCCTATTGTGATATTCGGGAATGCAAGAACGAAGACTGCAATCGGAACAACTTTTTGTACCCTATTCCAGGTGGCCTTCATTGATTAATTTCAGACGGTTGGAGGACTTAATGATGTTTCCATCTTTGATTTTGCTCTTGTCATCAAATCACCGCTCTATTCTATTAACTCCATGGCGGCGTCGAGGGTCTCCCAGACGCTCATGAGCCCAACCCATTCAATTGGGATTTCATTGTTTTTTTGGGCAATACGGGCTACCCTTCTGTAATTTATTTGAGTCTGCCTACAATATTTGTTCAATCGTTTGGTTCTTCTCTGCACTCGACTTTTCCGCCTTACTCCAGCCCTCTGAGCCAACCACTAGCCATTTACCAATATCGACAATGATCGGGAGGGAACAGGTATAGAAGAGCTCTCAGAGCCTTATGCGTATTTACCCCCTATTTTTAGGATGCCGCTCAGAGGCATAGCCATTTGTTAGCCGTTAGAAGTTCCACCGAGAATGGGAGACATCGGAACGAGGGGGAAATTAGTATGATATGTTACCGCAGGGTGTAGAAATATACCTGGTATTACTCAGAAGACGGATTTTACCAAACTTAAAGCTCAGTGTCGACAAATTCATCTCGAGGAACCTCAGGAAGTTGTTAGCCCACTCAAAAAGACCATGGGGATGACAGAGGAGAGTAGATCCCGGGTCTCGTATATCCCATTTAGATGGCACTGAAGTCCTTGGTGATTATTCGCGATACATCGATCCCTATTGGACTGCAAGATACCGACACGGGCTGTCAGCTACAGGGCCATCCTGAGACAGTCTCAGCCTCGCGAGCCCCCTTTCTAGCCCCCTTTACAAGCAAGTGCCCAAGTGCCATTCAATTGAGAGCAATCTGACTTGTAAGAGAGCCTCTATTCATACGAGCACGCAAGGGAATCAGCATCGCGTATTGGTGATATCACTTTTGTGTTGTTCCGGCTTTCACCAACGCGCTTACTCCTTGCTCTCGTCGCACGTACTCGTTTTCTTGTTCCCCCAACACGCTCAAATAAGACATGTCTGAGACTATGGAACAGGCACAATTCTAGTATTCTTTCCGTCTCCAGTCACAGACATACCCCTCCATTCCAGAATCTGTTGGTGTGCCATGCTGCACGCATCCTCCTCCCGTCCCCCTTGGACCCTGAGCCACTCCTCCCTTCTCTCATCGATACAACACACGAGTCAACCCAAGCAAGGGAATTACCAGAGAACCCATCACAACAACAACAACTATAACTGGGGGCAGTGTCTCCACAGACAGCGTCGCCCCGAGGTTCGCTCTTCTTCCCCTTCTACCCCTCTTAGCAGGCTACTCCCTGGTGCACGCACAATGTTCTCGCTAGGCTCTCTATTCCAGGGCCTCCCTCTGAAGCTCACCGCAGAGCAGTGCGAGGGTCGCACCTTCATCGTGACTGGAGCCAACTCAGGTCTCGGCCTAGCATGCTCCCAGCGCCTCGTCCAGCTGGGCGCCGCCCGCGTGGTCATGGCAGTGCGCAACCTCGAAAGCGGCAAGGCAGCCAAAGAATCCATCGACGCGGCCGTTGCGAACCACAAGTCCGCCATCCTCGTTTGGCACGTCGACTACGCCTCGCACGACAGCGTCAAAGACTTCGCCAAGAGGGTTGAATCGGAGCTCGACCGCGTCGACGGGTTGGTCGCGAACGCGGGCGTGAGCATGCACCACTGGCAGGAGGTGGAGGGCCTAGAGTCGAACCTGACGGTCAACGTCGTCTCGAACATGCTGCTCCTTGTGCTCCTCCTCCCGTTCATGGAGAAGTGCGCCAAGAGGCTCGAGGTCACCCCCACCGTTTCCGTCGTCGGGAGCATGAGCGGCTTCTACGCTCACGACGCCCTCTTCAAGGCGGACATGCAGGATGTCTTCAATGATCTCAACGACCAGAAGAAGTGGGAGAGCGCCATGGTGAGCCGGTACGTGCCAACTCCCGTGACTGTAGATACATATGATTGCTGCGCGCGCTGACTCGGTGCTGTCGATAAAGATATTCTGTTTCCAAGCTAATGCTGCACTTCGCGACCCGTGAGCTCGCCTTCCGCAAACCCGTGGACCACTCCAGGGTCATCATCAACGTTGTCAATCCTGGCCTCTGCAAGACCAACCTCTTGCGCGACGCAAGCGCCATGCTGCGCTTCAACCTCAGCATCGCGAAGCTCATTGCGGGCCGCAGCTCGGAAGAAGGCAGCCGGACTCTGCTCCACGGACTCGCTGCCGGCGAAGAGAGCCACGGGAAGTACCTGTCCGAGTGCGAAATAAAGGAGTGAGTCGAGCGCATCCCCCTGTGAACTGGTGGACCATTTACTAATCGTCTGGGAAACAGAGATTCTGTCCCCGACTGGATCAGGAGCGGCGAGGGCCCTACTTGGCAGACTGCGATCTGGGAACAGCTGGCTCAGAGGCTCGAGGAGATCCAGCCCGGGTGTGTTACTCAAGCCCTCAGTGTGTAGAAACACCCAGCCCAGGGATGTCGAGAACTGGGTCGCGACGGAGCTTCTTCTTCTTGGATAGTCCTTATTCCACTGTATGCTTCATTGCCAAAATTCGTGCACCTTGTTAAATTATAGCCTGTCCACTATATCCTGCCGCCCACAAAACAAAATGGTATCTCAACAGCACTCTCCACAAGAAACTTTGCGAGGAAACACAGAACCTAATACATGCAGCCCAACCCTCCTCTCCCTAGCAAAGACACCACACACAGCACAAGCTCAGGCAGGCGTCTGCTCGAGCTGCGAAGCCACAGCACGGGCCTCCGGGATCTTCTCGACAATGCAAGCGGTCCCGTAGGCACAGGTCTGCGCGAACCCGCCGAGGTCCGCGGCATCGAAGCGCAGGCAGATGATGGCGTTGCCGCCGCGGGCCTTGCACTCGGCGACGCAGCGGGTGAGCGAGTCGTTGCGGCACGAGTAGAGCATGGAGGTGAACCACTGCAGCTCGCCGCCCGCGAGGGACTTGAAGACCATGCCCAGGCCAGCGGCGATGTTGCGGGAGCGGACGGTGAGGCCGTAGACGGCCCCAAGCACACGGACGACACGGTATCCAGGCAGGTCCATCATGGTGGTGGTCACGATGCCTTCTGTCTCTGTAAACTACATGTACCTCAGTTAGCAACGCTCAGAATGGTGAACCGGGGAGATATTCTATGGTTTGCGCATACACAGTGAAGATCAGAGACAGCAGCGGGAACGTGGGCCGGCTCCTTGGGAGCGTCCTTGGTTGCAGTGCCGACCATTGTGATTAGTGGCTAACACGGTGATGTTTCAGTGGTATAATTGAGCAGATGGGTTGTAATGGAACAGCGGCCGAAGCAATATCTGAATCGATGATGATGTCCAATTCATGAAGGACGCAGGACGTCAACTCTCCTTTATAGAATCCAGAACCTCCAGAAACCACCGCACCCCCATCACCAAATATCGCCATCACCGCCCGTCGTATGATCGTCATCGTCGTCAACTCGCCCTTCTTGTTAGCTGCCAGCGGTTTAGTCCGGGCAAAGACAGACGTATCCATCGTATCCGTCCGGAGCGAGCCTGTGGGTCTGCGGCATTAGGCGTCCATCCCCCCTGAAGACCAACCACAGGCCCTGCTGCACCCTCCCTGTCGCCTGCCCAGCGGCCACTGCCACAGGCGAGTTCCCGGTGCCTGAAGAGGCCCACGAAAACGCCTCGCCGTGATGGGATCTGCGTGCTGAGAACGAGGAAACCGAGTTGCGCCGTCAGCTTTATTGAGGCATCGGGCTCCGAGCCTTACAGGGCTTCGACGTCGAGAAGGTGACGGGATATTATGAGACGCTCAAGGCCGCAAGCACCTACCTAGTGGTCGATCAGCGAACGCTGTGAACAGATGGTGTACGCGATGACGATGGCACCAAATCATGGGTTAGTTCTACGAGCACAAGGCTGGGACACGACGCCCAAGAGACGATGATCTGCTGCTCATCTTCACTGCCTACGTAAACAACACATGTCCGTTCTATCCGAGTGCCGTGAGGCCGGCCTTAGGGAATTTTATCCAGAGGAGATAGAGTTGTGCTAGCATCCGGCTAGTTGACCATCCAAGCCATTCCACCAGCTGCAGGGAGGGAGGAGCATTGGCCTCTGAAGAGGGGGCCAATTATTCCAATAGCTTATTGCTACTGGCACAATTACGGAGTAGGCTTCGGCCGATCGCCTTGGAGGCTTGGCGCCATCTTGACTGGAGGACACTCCCTTCTGTCACCACCAACACCATCAGACCCCAGGCACGTGCAGGCTGTGTTTGTGTCTTACCGTGTGTTCATCAGTAGTCATTATACGGAGAGGAAGTATGTGGGATGGGATTAATTCGATATTTAGGACGGGGAAGGGTTGTGAGGTGCGGAGATGTAGATAGCTTGCCGTCAGCCAATGGCTCGTAGTATCACAGATGAAGGATCCATTCAAAGACGTCTCGTCGGATGGGATGACTGATACACAATCTAGTTAGGACACATAAGCATATAGCTACTGCCAACCACAGTCTTATTCCTGCCTACAAAAGGCCCTTAATCAACCACAGCGATACACAGCCAAAGTCAGCAGGAGGGATGACCTGGTATAGGGTAGGCATGGACCCCGGCCTGGTCCCTGGCTGCTGGTGCTATTTTTAGCTCCCGATTACGTGCTGTTGCGATCCTCTGCCCAGCTCTATTGAATCCCCAAAGGAGTGTCGCGCCGCCCTTCACTGAGGACAACCACCCATTGAGACGCTGCCTCTAGTTCTTGCTGCCAAGAACACGATGCTTGTTGTGTCTGCTGCGAGGTGATGCTTGTTTCGTGTCCTCCCTCCTGCTCCCTGACTCTCTCCCACAGCTGCACGCGACACCAGCACCAAGAATAGAGCCGCCTCTGGCCATCCCGAATCATGGCTCCCACCAACCCCAACACCGCCGAGAACCTGCCCCGCGACTCCTTGTCCTCCGTGTCGACCACCAGCATCGTATTCGACCGTCTCCAGGAAGAAAACGAGAAGGCAGCCGCCAAGCGAAGAGCCAACCAGGCAAACATGGCCAGCGGAGGCTCATACAGGGACCTCGATATCGCCGACCTCGACGATGAGGACCCCCTCAAGCCTGAAGACGATCTCGAGACCCGCGCCTTCATCCCCCGCGAGGGCGCAGATAATAATAATCGCACCAAGGCGGAACCCCGGAAGTTCATGGATAAGGGCCTCCGCCGTGTCCTCATCATCGGTGTGTCCATCTTCACCATCGCTTGGCTCGTCGCCCTCGGCATTTTCGTCGCCAAGGGCTCCTACCACCATGACAGCGACACAGAGCACGATCCCAACGCAGACCACCGCGGCTCGGGCAAGGCCGTAACCCTCGATCAGGTCCTCACTGGATACTGGAGAGCTAGAGTCCATAGCATTAGCTGGATCGCCGACCCCGATGGCAAGGACGGCCTGCTCCTTGAGAAGGGCGTACCTGGGAAGGACTACCTTGTCGTGGAGGATGTGCGAGCTCGAGGATCTGAGAAGGACTCGGCCGATGCGTATAGTGCCCGTGTGCTCATGAAAGACGCTAGATTCGACTACGACGGCCGCTCGTACGTGACCAGCGAGGCCGAGCCCAGCCCCGACCTGAAGAAGGTCCTGCTGGGCGTCTACAAGGTCCACCACTGGCGACATTCCTATACCGCCACCTACTTCATTCTTGACGTGAAAAGCGGCAAGATCGAGCCACTTCTGCCCGAGGACGTCAACGCTAATATCATGCTGGCGACTTGGAGCCCCAAGAGCGATGCCATTGCCTTTACCAAGACGTCCGATAACAACCTCTACGTGCGCCCTCTTGACAACAAGAAGGAGATAGTCCAGGTCACAACAGACGGTGGCGTCGAGTGCTTCAATGGTGTGCCTGACTGGGTCTACGAAGAAGAGGTTCTCTCTGGCCGTAGTGCGACCTGGTGGTCCGCTGACGGCCAGCACATCGCCTTCTTCCGTACCAACGAGACTGGAGTGCCCGAGTATCCCATCCAATACTTCGTCAGCCGGCCAAGCGGCACCCAACCTCCCAGCGACGAGGGTAGCTTCCCAGAGGAGGTCAAGATCAAATATCCCAAGGCCGGATCGCACAACCCCGTCGTCGAGCTGAGATTCTACGACGTGGCCAAGAACGAGGTGTTCAGCGTCGATTCTGGCGACCAGTTCCCTGACGATGACCGCATCATTAACAGCGTTGTCTGGGCCGGCAATAAAAAGGCCCTCATCAAGGAAACCAACCGCGTAAGCGACCATGTCAAGGTCGTGCTTTTTGATGCTGACACTCGTCAATCTCGCACCGTGCGATCTTCAGATGTCAACGCCATCGACGGCGGCTGGTTTGAGATTTCCAAGCAGATGACTTATGTTCCTGCCGACCCCAGCAAGGGACGCCCGCATGATGGCTACGTCGACTCCGTCATCCACGAGGGATACGACCATCTCGCCTATTTCACGCCTCTCGACAGCTCCAAGCCCATCATGCTCACATCTGGGCAGTGGGAGGTCGACGACGCCCCCTCAGCAGTCGATGTCGCCAACAACCTCGTCTACTTCGTCTCCACCAAGGAATCCTCCATCCAGCGCCACGTCTACTCGGTCAACCTGCTCGACGGCTCCAACCTCCAGGCCCTAACCGACACCAAGGAGGAGGGCTACTACTCGGCCTCCTTCTCTCACGGCGCGGGATACATGCTCCTCTCCTACAGCGGCCCCAAGACCCCGTCCCAGTCCGTCAAATCCACGCCTTCCAACCCCAGCGCCTACTACAGCCTCCTCGAGGACAACTCCGCCCTGGCAGAGCGCGCCCGCAAGCACGAGCTCCCCATCCTCAAGTACGGCGTCCTCGACCTGGGCAACGGCGTCAAGGTCAACTACGTCGAGCGCCGCCCCCCGCACTTCAACTCCAAGAAGCAGTACCCCGTGCTCTTCCACCAGTACTCGGGCCCGGGCTCTCAGCAGGTCAACAAGCGCTTCACCGTCGACTTCCAGTCCTACGTCGCCTCCAGCCTCGGCTACGTCGTCATCACCGTCGACCCCCGCGGCACGGGATTCCTCGGCCGCGCCCACCGCGTCCCCGTCCGCAACCAGCTCGGCGTCCACGAGGCCGCCGACCACATCGCCGCCGCCCAGCACTTCTCCCGCCAGCCCTACGTCGACGCCAACCGCGTCGCCATCTGGGGCTGGTCCTACGGCGGCTTCCAGACCCTCAAGACCCTCGAGCAGGACGCCGGCCAGACCTTCTCCTACGGCATGGCCGTCGCCCCCGTCGTCGACTGGAGCCTCTACGACAGCATCTACACCGAGCGCTACATGCGCCAGCCCAAGGACAACCGCGACGGATACACCGCCTCCAGCGTCACAAACGCCACCGCCCTCGGCCGCAACGTCCGCTTCCTCCTCATGCACGGCGTCGCCGACGACAACGTCCACTTCCAGAACTCCCTCAGGCTCCTCGACGCCCTCGACCTCGCCGGCGTCGAGAACTACGACGTCCACGTCTTCCCCGACAGCGACCACAGCATCTACTTCCACAATGCCAACCGCATCGTGTACGATAGTAAGTTGCTCCTCCCTTCCCCTTCACCTACTTCCCGTGACGAAAACAGGACTAATGAGATACCAGAACTAAGCAACTGGCTTGTCAACGCATTCAACGGCGAGTGGCTCAAGATTGCTGACCCCAAGCCCAATGATAGGCGAAAGCGGGCTATTATTGAGCAAGATGTACCTCTGCCTTAGATTTTTGTTCCTTACTTTTTTATGTAAAGTGTCCAATGGTGAAGACTACTTGGCCCAGATGTCAGTCAAGAGTTGGGAAACGAGGCACTACTGGGTGTTTGGGCGTTTGGATATACAATTGAATGGAATGCGTCATCAATCACTTTTCCGTTTTTGTCTACTTCAAGATTTCAGAACGAAGAATATTGTATTATCATACACACATACTAAAAGAAACCGTCGTGAGAGCGACCTTCTGTCCACACCTCACTTGCTGCTCTTTTTCATCTAATTTACCGTGAAATAACGCACTCGGAATGGCCCATGTAAAGAGACCGTTCCTGTCGACTGGAGCGAAAACAAAACCTCGAAATCCATAAGAATCCTGAAGAATAACATGTCCTCTTCCACCCGTTTAAAAGAGTAGATAACACAAAATATGATTACATCAATGACTTGATTCCTTGAAGCTCCTGGCCAAGTCCACCATTGTCGTTTCTCGAGATACTATATGCACCTTCGCCATCTCCTTTATTACTGTGGCCGGACCATTGACCACTGTTTACTGGATACCAAGACCACCCGGGTGCCTGCGCCTAGTAACCATAGCCGGTGGGTTGTGGTGCAAAACCATTCGGTTGGCCGTAAGGTGAAGGGCTGTTGCCTCCAGGGCCAGCTGTGATCATCAGGCGGGACGCACCCAGAATTGGTGTGTTGTCCTCCGTCTTCTCTACCTCCTTCTCCTTGGCTTTGCGAGCCTCGTTGTCAGCCTTCAGAAGGGCGATCTCCTTGGTCTGCTGAGCAAGCATGTTGATCATGTAAGGCATGGTGAAGTCATTGAGGCCGAATCGCCATGACAGTTCAAGGACAAGATCAGGCCGGATGAGGTCATTGCAAGCGTACAGCATACCGGTGTAGCATTCACGGTGGCCGATATCGACAAACTAGATAGGGAATTGTTAGAATATGAGGAGTACATGGTTGGCAGAGATAGTAACTTACGTATCGCAGGAGGTCCTCGACAATTTCGTTCTTGCCGGAGAGCGCAGAGGTCTCGATAGCATCCTTGTACAATTTGTCTTGCTTGGATAGGGCAATGGACTTCTCCCAACGCTTGTTCTTGCGGTAGATGCTGGCGGCGATTTGGCGGAAGAAGATCAGATCGTGCTTCTCGAGGCGGCCAGCCAACTCAACGGCATCGTAGTTGTCATAGTTCTGAACGGAGTCGCGGAGAGTCTTGTAATCTTCCTCCTCAATAAGCAAATCATTGATAGCCTCGTTCACAATACGCTTGTTTTGAACCTGGACATTGAGCAAGAAAGGCTTGATCAGGGGGAGATCATCGTTTTTCTGGAAGATCTTGACGACACGGTTAACATCGATGCGGGCAGTGAGGGCGGTCAAGAGGTCGGTCAACAGCGAAGGATGTTGCTCGACGTAAAACTTGATGGCCCGGTAGTAGATTTCGAGATTGGCAACCTTGACAACGATCTCTTTGAACTGAGTGTGATCCCAGGAGTTCTCGGGGCGCTCAATGACGGCCAGAGCGGCGTTATCAAACTCATCATAGTGATAGTAGCAGAAAACGAGCTCGGGCCAAAGGTTTGCCTCCTCGCAGGAACGGATCATCTTGGGCATGTTCATTCTAGACCAGAACAGCTTAATGTGCTCCATCAGACGCTCAGGGTGATACTTAGACAATGCGATACCAAGCTCAGTGAACATACCCATGTGGGCACGCTCGAGACCGAGACCTTGCTCCAATAAACTGATGAGCTCGTCGAAGTATCCGTTGTATTCATATGACTTGACAAGCTCTTGCAGTTGCTCTGCATCGACGATCAGATTGAGACCACAGATCTGAGCCAAGCGGAACTCCTTCTTGCTGACGCAAGCATCGTGAACCTGCTTCCAAACCCTGATGTTGTTAGCCTTGCGAGCGCATTCAACAGCGGCCTGGTATTCGGCAAGGTGGACGAGAGTGGTGGCAAGCTTGGCCCAGTTGGAGATGCTGGTGTAGAAGATCTTGGAAGCTTCATAGAGTCCCTCCTCGTAAGCCTTGTCACCAGATTCCTCGATGTTAGCAACGTTTGTAGCTCGGAGGAAGTCCTCGAGCTCATGGAGCTGGTCCAGACGGGCATAGCAGAAAGCGAGGGCAGTATCGATGGCAGCCTCCCTCAGAGTCTTGCGGGCCATGCGAAGGAACTTGACGAGTTCCTCGTTCTTGCCAGCGTTGGTAGCGATTTCAATGACCTCCTCGTAGTTCTTGGGGTCCTCGGCCTTGATGTATGACTCAATAGCGTCAGGGACACGAAGTCCATCGAGTTGAGCCTTAGCAACCTTGCTCCAAACATCGGGCAGGTCGACTTCCTCGGCATATGCCTGTGCTCGATCAATGCTGACGACGTGCTCAATTAGAACATCGACGGCAGAAGACTTGTTGTCGGCCTTCTTGTAAATCTCAAACGCTTCCTCATGGAGTCCAACTTCAATACAGGATGTAGCAATGTCATCAGCGTTGTAGTTGTCGAGCTTGTGGATGTAGTCCATGACGCGAGCCTTGTCAGCCTTGGCGGCCGTGAAGAGGAGGAGGTTCTGGAGATTTTGGTTGTCGCTGAATGGCGAGGGCTCCAAAACAATCTTCTCCAGCAACTCAATAAGTTCAAGCGGAAGATCGTTCTCAAGGAAGGCAGAGACGGCAACAGAGACCTTGGCTGGGTCACTAGCCTCTGGAACGGCAGTAGCGGTGACCTGGTCGACAACAGAACGACGGTGTATGTTGTTTTCGCTCAGGACGAATCGCCACAGCTCATTATCAGAGCGCTCAAGGAGGTAACGTGCCTGAGCCCTGTACATGGAATTCTCATTGGTGATATTTACCAGCTCCAGGTCATTCTGGCCCTTGGAGTAGGCAATGTATGCCAGGTTGGGGTCACGCTTCTCGCAGTACTTTCCGACAGAAAGGGTATCGTACTGGTCATTCTCCTTGAGGAACTTCTCTGGGTTGTTGTTCGAGTCAATGTAGATTTTGGCCAGAGCGTTGAAAATGGCCTGCTGTGTGTTGCCAGCTTGCAGGGTGGCCTCAAGGAAGGGCAGGAGAAGCTTCAATCGGTTACGAGACTCAACTTCTGATACGAGCTCGTCAATGTTGATCTGCTCAGCATTAACAGTGCTCAGAAGCTGCTTGATGATGTTCTCATCGCAGTCGACGTCCAACAATCCACCGATAACGGCAGGGGTCCTGCCGGGGTTGACGCGCTGAACATAAGCCTCAATGGCCTGGAACTGCTGGTTCTGGTATAAGAACAGTATGAGATCATGGACAAAGTTGAACCTGTCGCAAACAATAATGAGAGGTAGCTGCTCAGGAAGCTTAGCTTCCTTGAGGAAGTTTTTCACCTTCTCGGGATTGTACGCGTTACTATCGCGGCAAATACGCTCAACCTCATTGAACTGGCCCATCTTGGTAGCAGATTCAATATACTTGAAGTGAACATCAGGGTCCTCAGAAAGGTTGACGATGCTTCCCAGGTAGTAGAAGAGACCCTCAGCGGTCTTGTACTTCTCGAACAGATCAATCAAGTGAACAGGGCCAAGAAGCTCAGAGTACTTGGTCGCAATATTAACAACAGACTGCAAGTTCTGACGGATGTTGTGCTTCATCATAGCGTCAAGGCAAGCAAGAGATTGCTCAACGGACAACTTGCCAAAGAAACCTGTCAACCACTCGGCGTTGAAGTTGGGGGTTCCAGGAATGTTGACAATAACACGTTTGATAGCCTCGGGGTCTTCGTAAAGTTCGGCGGCCTTTTGTGCCAGACCAGCCTGCTCGCAAAGGTGGGCAATGCGGGCCTTGTCGAAGTGGGTGAACATGTCGTTGGTGAGAATAGCCTCAGCGACTTGAGGAGCGTGCATCAGGTTCATCTCCAAAAGTCGGGTCTGCAGACGAGCATGTTCAGGATTGTTATCCTTAAGAGCGTCAAGCAGGAAGGCGGTGGCCTGCTGGATCATACCCTGAGATTGGAAAATATCGCAAACTCTCTCCAAGTCGACCAGAGGACCCCCTTCGTTGTTAGCTAGGGCAGTGGCAAATGCAGCTCCCTTCTCTGGGTCTGCTCGAATGATGTGTTGCAGAAGCTGGATAAAATCGGGTTGATAGCCACTCTGAGCACTGTAGGGAAGAATCTTATCGAATTGTCCAGTCTCAGCGAAGCCAGCAACGACCTTGTGGGGAACGTTGGCCTTGAGATAGATTGCAAGAGCCATGTTCATATCATATGGTCGAACCATATCACCGAGCTGCTCTGAGCAATCCAGCTTCTCCTCCTTGAGCCACTTCTCAAGCAAGTGCTTGCGGTTCTGGGCCAGAACAGGCTGGGCAAGCTCGATCGTCTCGTGCGCATTCAGAGCACCCTTGTCGAGGAGCATACCGAAGTACTGCAGGGTGAAAGCCATCTGTCCAGGCTGAGTTTGGAGCTGCTTGAACTTCTCAATAGTTTGGGGGGTTCGGAGGAAACCGCGAGGAGAGTTTGCTGCAATCTTGGCGGCTTCGCTGTAGTTACCAGTGTTGAAGAGCTGGTCGAACTGTCTGGCGTAGAGGTCGTCGGCGCCGGGAAGGCCAGCACGAGATGCCATCTTGATGGCGATTTCGCTGTTGGCAGGATTTTGAAGGAGATAGGGGATCGCATTCGTGTCATCAACAGTAACAAACAGGACCTGACCCTTACGGTTGATACCCACCAGTCCAGTAGATCCGTCATCGGTACACGTGGTGAATATGGTTTCGCTCGAGATACGGTTCATGAAGATACAGGTTCCAGTCTCCAGGTCATAGAGATGGATGAACCCGTACTTGGTTACCATGAAGACAACACCGTATTTCTGAGAAACTTGCAGAGCCACGGGGAAGTCGTTGGTAGCCTCAGGGGGGAAGAAGATGTCGACAGCCTTCTTCTGGAAAACCGGGTTGTTCTCGGCGTGGTCGACTTCAACGACATGAAGTTTGGCACCGGTGGCGGATCGCACGGCGAAGGTGAACAGCTTGGTATCCTGGGGAGCGCCTTCCAACCTCAGAGAGCCGAAGGCAGCGGCGTGGCCCTCGATAGCCTGGCTGATGCCACGGTCCTTTGAGTAGAGCTGCATGGCACCAACAACACGACCACCTTGTGAGGAGATACCTACTACAACCATCCACTTTCCATCCACATTAACACGGTAGTTGATGATTTGGCAGCCCTAGAGAGTCAGTGAGTCGAAGCAAATTACCATGTCATCCTTCATCGAAAACGTACATTCAAGTTCGCGTTGCGCTCGAACACCTTCACAGGTGCGTCCTGGCCTGCGTCATAGACGTCCCAGTGATACACGCTGCTGGATGTAACCAGGCCAATGCTAGACTCGCTAATCCACTTCCAAAACTGCACATCCTCATTCATGGTGCAGGATTTCAGCTTCTTCTTCTGCTCGAGGTCGAAGATCTGTAGTGTGCGGGATTGCGCCTTGAGAGCGATGACTTGGCGAGACCAGTGCATGATGGCACTGTCGGCCTTGATTGGCCGTCTGGTGATGTTGTTGCCATTCTTGAGCTCGATGATGACAACTTCGGGTTGGGAAGCTTCGTCCTTCTTTTCGCGGATACAGACGAAGTGATCTGATTCGAGTGTCTACAAAAGCGCGAGAAGCGCCTCAGAGTTAGCTCGCTGCCTACCCTCGGGTGACGTATGCGTGATGTGGAGGCCGATAGGGGTTGGGGAGAGATGAGTGTCACTTACGCAGGTGTTGAAGCCGATGGATTGTGTGTCGACACCAGTGCTGGTGAGCTGGACCAGCTCCTGGAATTTGATGGGTAGGGGCGCCATGTCGCCGGTGTGTCCGAAAATCAAATAGTATGGCCCTTCGTCAACTCGATACTCCTAGCCGCGAGTACGACTGAAGTCGTCACCAGTAGTCTGCAAGAGTCCTAGATCGTCTGAAACAGGAGCTGAGGAGCAATTTGTGTTGGAGAGATGAATAGTCGCTTCCATGCGCCACGCGGCACAAGGGGCAACGCGGGTTTGGGAGAAAAGGAGACGCTACTGGGAGAGATGAGAAAGGAAGAGAGAAAACAAGAGTCGCGGCTGCAAATGATCGTCAATACAGTCTACTTGATTGCGGCAAGCAGAAAGAGGGGTCGCGCGGATTATCGTCGTGAAGAGGTAGAGGTAGGGGATGACGGGTTGAAGGTGGAAGGAAAGAAGTGGAAAGTTGTTACGTTCTTTTTGGATGGAGGCAGCAGCAGCTGTGCATGGAGCCGGGGAGCACCTACGCAACGACACCTGGCAGCTCCCTACCACGGCTGCATGTACCGCAAGGTTACTCCTGCCCCAGCGCCTGCTAGCACCATGGGTGGAGAACTCTATCAGCAATTGACACTTTAGGTCCACCTAGAGCCCCGGATATATAGATAATCCGGCTTACGCTGGCAAATTAGCTTCCCCACCAGCTTTGTTTGCTTGACGGCGCCCTGTTTCAGGTCCGATTTGGCATGGACAAAGATTCATCATACTTTTTGTAGGTATCCAACCACTGCGACCAGAGCTCCCGGCGCGGGTGCAGGCGCTCTTTGATCGGAATGTCTCTTTCTTCAAGTTGTTTTTCTCTTTAATCCAGCCAGGGCGTCTACGAAGCGAGCCACAATATGAAAGTTTTCGCACAGCAATACGCCGTTCTTCCCAATTTGCCCAGCCTCGATCATTCTTCTCCGTCCAGTAGACAGAACGCACCTTAATCGAGCTCCAACAACCCAAAACCGAGAACATGAACAAACGAAAAAGCCTAAGGTACCTAGTGTCTTGTGATCATCAGTAATTTCCTTCTCGTTCCGGTTGGAAAGCACGAGCAAAACTTCCCGGCATAATTTCCCGAGTACCTACCCTACGCTCGCGTCTCGCATGTGCGCTGCCTTGAATCAATTAAAGCTGCAACCCCATATCTACTACCTCGTTCATTTCCATGCCTTCTTCAATAATCATTTCATATCAAGTCATATGGAACTATCTAGGGGGGCTTTGCTAGTAGTTGGTCGTGTGTAGTTCCAAGAGCACTGCTTCAATTGCGACGGCTCTTCGTAGAGTCAACAATGTATGATCCCAGCAGGATATGAAAGTCATGGTAGCACTACCTTACCTACCAAGCGGGTGACATAAGATATTGCACACCAAATGGTACTTTGATCTCTAATTCCGCTAAACCCTTCACCTTTATAGCCTAGTAACACAGCAATAATTACACAATATACCATTATAAAAGATATTAGTTTAATATTTGGACCTTTGAGAATCATTCAATAGTTTTAATTTACTATTTTGATAGGATTTGGCTGTTGGACTGAGGATTGAAAACGCCTGTGATTTGCGTGTGCAATGTCTTATGTCACCCGCTTGCCTACCTACCTACCTAGATAAGAGGTATCGATCGACCTTATGCTATAGACGCTCTACCTTATTGAGGTACCTAGGTTGGTAACAGCTCCGCCTCTTACTCTATTACAGAAGTCAACAAATAAGGTACGTGATATGATGCCTCCAAGTGCCAATACCCCTGGACCTTACACCACATACCTAGGTACCTTATCAACTTAGAGCACTTCTAAAAATGCACTAAATGAGAAATTTGGTGTGGCATTTGATCCCTTCTAGAATGATCACGGTGGTTTCGCGATCGCCCAGGCACCAGAGACAAGCCACCATGTGATAGCCGATGACGTAGCGCAAACCGCTCATTGCCACATCAACACTCCGTTCGATGTGCTAATCTCAAACTTTGGGACAAATCTACAATACTGATGGGAAACCTACCATCTGATTGACAGAATCTCCCTTGCATAGTTGGTCCTGTCGGGACTGGCTTCGCGACCTTGACCATGGCCAACTGCCTGCGAGGCTAAACGCCCCAGAATTGATTTGGCCCAGTGCCTGATCGTCGAAATCCCCTGACCACCAACTGCCCCTCCCCCGCCGCTATCGGACGCGGCTTTGACAGATGGCGACTTATTGCGTTTGATCTGCGGCGCATCACCACTTTTCCTTCGGCTTCATATTCCTTGCAGCATACCGAACATTAACACCTCCCCCTAGGAATTTCTATTACCATGGCTCCTCCTCTCCGCTTAGCGATTCTCGAGTGCGACACTCCTCAACCCCAGACCAAGGCCAAGTTTGGCTCCTACTCTGGAGTGTTCAAAGCCTTACTCAACGCCGCCTGCCAGACGCTCGACGAACCGAAGAAAGACCTAGAGGACTTGGGTGTTACAGTGACGTCGCACGACGTTGTCAACGACCTGAGCTCATACCCTAAGCTTGAAGACGTTGACGCCCTGTGGTTGACAGGCTCCAGGCACACTGCCTTCGATGACGACCCGTGGATATTGAAGTTGGTCGAGTATGTCAAGGCTGCCCTTGACAGTGGTCGGGTGAAGGTGGTCGGAATCTGCTTTGGTCACCAGATTGTTGGCAGGGCGGCTGGAGCGAATCTCGGAAAGAGTGATAAGGGTTGGGAAGTTGCAGTCACAGACGTTGAGCTCACCGAGAAGGGCAAGGAGATTCTGGGACTCGAGAAGATGGTAAGTCCCTCCGGCCCCAATAGGCGCATGCTGTGGCTAACCTGTTCAAACAGCGGATACACCAAATGCATCGAGATATTGTGTACAACTTTCCTCCCGAGTCGATCCCTCTCGGATCTAACGACATCTGCACCGTGCAGGGGATGTACCTGCCGAAGAAGTATATTACGGTCCAGGGCCACCCCGAGTTCACAGACGAAATTATATCCGAAATCTTGTTTAACCGCCATAAGGTCGGCATCTTTAGCGATGAGGTCTACGCTGATGGCATAAAACGGGCGCCTATTCCCCACGATGGTGTTGCTATCGCAAGAGCCTTCCTGAAATTCATTTATGAAGGCTAGACGATTCAAGAGTTCTGCTAGAATCATGAAAGTCACACTAACACTGTCCTGAAAGGGAAAAACTGTACCAGCAACAACATCCATCATCATAGATTTCCCCATGTCGTTGCGCTGAACCAACGAAGCGTCCTTTAGTTTTGAATATGCGCAAGAAAGATATGTATTTAGTTTAGCATTGGCTCTAAGATATAAAACATCTTGACTCGATCCGAGTTGGTACGGTTGAATGCTTGATGGGCGGTAGTATCGTGCACATCTGCTAGTCTTGAAAAGTACGGTTTGCAACATGTTTCCAGGAACATACCAGCAGTAAATGTACCCTTTTGTTCAACGAACTTCAGCGGATTATAGCCCTCGATCAACAGCAACTGGTGACTTGTACGGGCGTATTCAACTGGGATGATACGGCCTTGCTCATGTGGCTTAATTGTTGAAGTGATAGGTTTCCGAAGCGAAATGGCCCTGTTGAACAAGATGGTGCTCGAGTCTTTGGTGTGCGAGCTGTAAACCAAAGTGTGTGGACATTGATTTTCAAAGTTTGGCGCAACGAATGCGCCAACACATAGTTCACGTCCAGGCAGATATAAGTCCTGAATGTGAACCACGCCTGATCTCCTGCTTCTCTCATAAATTATTTACATGCGCTGCATTCCACTTCCAGCGCCTCAGCAGATTCTTAGAAGTTTTTCACTCTTCTATCCACCTAACCGCCATTTTTATTTCTCTTTCTCTCTCGTGCCTTCGTGCTTCGTGCCTTGGATGACTTCCTCTTAGTCTCCTAGTCGCCTCGCACTCTTCCTCCCCTCGACACCCACCTCTTACTCCTTCTCACTTCCAGCAAAGTTGTTGCACACATATCATTTGAATATATCTCCTATTCATATGAGGCGATCTCAAGCGCTAGACTTGCACCTTCTCTATTTCTATTTTATACATAGCCCCAAACCATCTTTTCACTTCTTCGCTTTCGTCTTTTGATCCTGTGGACATTTCAGCGCAGCCTTCCACTTGGATTTCTTTTCAATGATTATCTTTTGGCACCCGTGAAGCAAAACATATACTTGGGAATGATCTGAACTTCCTATCCAGCCTTAAAAAGGTAAGCTACCACCCATATGTTCTCGCTCTTAATACTCTCTACTTGGCCATACAAGCTAATAATAGAGCTTTAGGTCTCCTGCTACCAACAAGAGAGATCACCATCACCTAACCCTTCACTATGGAGGGCCGCATCTATATCACAATCGATGACGAAGATGACGATGGAGACACCCACTGGGAATCCTCGACTTTTGCGCCTCGTGTAGCGCGAGAGAAGGAACCCTCTCTGTTCGATTCTTTGGGCGACCGGTACAAGTACTCAGACCCAAAAGTGAAGCTCGAGTCTCAAGAAACTCCAATGGAGACTATTTTCGAGCGCGCACCCGATACTGAAAACGACGATCAAGAAGAGCCCCAAGCCTCGCGGGAAGAAGAAAGCCCAACGAGCCAGGTTGACCAAGCCATGCCGGACTTTGAGGCTCAAGACCAAGAGAAGTCGCAAAACCTGGACGAAGAGGAAACTTCGAAGGACGAAGTCGATCAAACTATGCCAGACATTGAGGCTGAAAGCCATGAAGAGCCTGAAGTCTTGCCTGAAGAAGAGCCATCAGAGGAGTCGTCAGAGGAGCAGCCTGATCAAGCGATGTCAGATACTGCGGCCGAGGGCCTGGGAGAGTCTCCGCGCCTAGTCGAAGAAGACTTTTCAAAGGAGCCAGTCAACCATGCCATCCCAGACATTGGAACTCATGACCAAGGAGAGCCCGAAGGCCCAGTTGACGAGGAATCTCTCTTTTTCCAGGACGAAGAAGATGAAGTAGACGCAGAAATTGAACAAGAGCTTCCTAGTAATACCACCCTGGAAGATAATCAAGCTGCCGATAGCTTCGGTGAGGGACCTACTTCACCTCAAGTGGGCGATCGTGCTACCAATTTTGGGCACAAAGTGTCCACCTCCGGCCAATTCAAGTTTGCGGGTGATCTTTCAGACAGCGAAGAAGAACAAAACGATGAGCAACAAGATACGACAGAAAACCTGGGCAGCGAAAATCCAGATGAAGAGGATGGTACACGCGGAGACGAGGGGACTGAAGATTACGAGGAGCACTTTGGCGAAGGGTTTGACCAAGATTTTGGCGAAGATCAAGAGGAGGAGGAGGCACAACCAGTCGATGAAGAAGTAGAGGGTGACGATCAAGTCCCTGATCACCAAGAGAATTCTGGCCAAAGGCCAGACGAAGGCGATGACGGGAGTGAATACGAAGACACAGACTCTGAAGAGGAATCAGACAACGAAAGCGCCAATGCAATGAAGACTCCAGCTTCTGATGCCAAGGTCCCACGCGGCAAAAAAGCCAAGTCAAAAAACAAGGACCCAACGACGGCTTTCTTTGCACTAACAGCCAGGGAGTACTTCAGACGCAAGAAGGTGGCTGCAGAAGCCAAAACAGCCGGTGTGAAGCGGAAGTCTGAAACGCAAAAGTCGGCACCACCTAAAAGAAAGAAATCGGCGAACCAGACGGGATGGAGGGACAACGAGCCCTGCATGAGGCTCGCTAAGAAGTTTCTCGAGACCGAGGACTTGCCCAATGCTGCCAGTCAAGGGTCCCTGCCGAGCTTCGGATCGATAAAAGCTACTACACAAGCAGATCAATTCGCGCAGATCAAAGCGAAGCTTCCTAAACACGGGGATACTCGTCGTATGGCTTCTCAGAACAAGGATCTGAAAATGGCTGTGAAGAGCTTTGGATATAAAAGGATGCTCGCAGATAATGGACTCTGGGCTCATAAAGATATGGAGACTAGTCTCTTTAACTACCAAGTCACGATCACATCTTGGATGATGGAGCGTGAATGCTCCGGTTCCTCTCCCCTTGGTGGATTGATTGGAGATGAAATGGGAATGGGCAAGACTCTGGTCAGCCTTGCTTGTGCTGTTGGCCATCCTCCAGAAGCTGAGGATATCGAGGAATTCTGCAAAGCTACTTTGGTAATTGTGCCGAACAAAATGGTTGCTCGCCAGTGGGTGGATGAAATCAGGAAGCATTGCAAAGAGCATATCCGGAATCTGGCTTGCATTTACCGATTCGGAGATGATTGCGCGCTAGACTTCTACAAAGAGAAGTTCTTTGTGTATGTTTTCTCCCTTCGCTTTGAACCTCAGAGCTACCGAACGCTAGACAACCTTGCTGACTCAATCAGGCTTGCAACTTATCGCGACATTATGCATCAGCATCCTGGCATAGCCAAGGTTCAAGAATGGAAAGAGAAATATGAAGACGACAAAGTGTCGTTCAATCGCGAGTTCAGCAAAGCTGCTGGAGACCTTTTCAAGATTGATTGGTACCGAATCATACTTGATGAGGCCCACCAGATCAAGAACGTCAAAGCTCACAGTGAGTTAGTCCTCCTACGGGTGTTTTGGTATCATCTTTAATACTCTTAGCTTCCATCGCTTGTTGCGACCTCAGTTCGAGATTCCGCTGGTGCTTGAGCGGGACACCGTTGTCTAACACCCCCCAAGGCATGTTGACGACCATGATCTCTTCTTTTTTGATGTCACTCATTCTAACATTCAATTTTAGAATTCTTCCCGTATCTTAAGTTTCTGGGTTGCCCGTTCACTGATTCATCCTTAAATTTCCACAACAAGTTCGTTGACGGAGTAAGTATTCATGCCTCCCACGCAAACTCATCCAATTTGAAAAAACTCTCTGACGCGCAAGCAGTTCCGAGGCAAGGAAAATTTCGACGCCCTCGCCGGATTAGTTATGTACAGGAGGTTTGTTAATACCCGCTCCAGATGTCAGAGCATTTGGGCTAATGTGCTACTTCATCAGGACAAAAAAAGACTCCTTTTTAGGACACAAGATTCTTGATCTCCCGGGCAAGCACAGTGAGGATATCTGGGTCTCCATAACCCAAGAGGAGCAACTTATCTACGAGTAAGTGTATATGTCTGGACGTGTGTCTCTAGAATGCCATCGCAGGCCAAGTGTGGGCAAGACAAGAGCACGGCTGTGCTAGGGGTTCAATCGACTATAGGCGAAATCTCACTAACTACTTGTTTCTAGAGCCGTCTTTGAGCATTACGATAAGGCCATCCGCCAAATGAAGGCCAAAGAAAAAGAGAAGGGCTATCTCACAGACAGGGAGAAGGATCAGCTGTCCGAAATCTACCTCGCTCAATCCACCAGGCTTCGACAAACTGTGTCACATCTCTTCGACATAGAGCGTTTTTTTAGGGAATCCATCAAAGACGTCGAATTGGAGTCTCTCATGGAGATTCTCAATTCAATATCCGGGAAGGCAAAATTGATCGATAATCTGAAGCACCAAGAAGGAGTCGCGGGCTATTCTCTAGGCTTGAAGAAACTGGAAGGACAGAAGGCCAACGTCTTTGGAGGCTCATTTACTCTCGCAAACTTTCTCAAGATATCTCGGAATGAGGTTCGGGTAAGAAGAAAGAGCTGCCGATGCCTGATTTGCAACAAAGACGATATGCCCAAGGAGCCCATGAAGAGCTCCCCTGTGAGTTCATTTCCCCTCAAGGTATTCTCCTCCCGATTGCTAACCTTCGAAGTGTGGGCACATTTATTGCATGGCATGTCTTTGTAACAAGGTTGACGCAGAACGTGCCCGTGGAGGGGTAAGTTTAACCAATCAGCCAAGAAATAAATAGGAAATAAGGATTGCTGACGAAAACCTTCAGGTGAAATGTCTGCACACGAGTTGCACACAGCCCCTCATGGCAGGATGTACTGTCGACCTTTTTGACGGCATCATGACCAAGGCCAAAGACGACAAGAACTATAAGGAGCCAGGTGAGGACAGCGTCGGCGCACGGATCGCCAGAAAGAAGGAAGCAAATGGTTTTTTTACCGCATCTTGCTTCCAACCCAAACAATTTGGGATGCCCCCTAGCACAAAGTTGACTGCGGCTTTATCCGTGATCTTGACATGGCAGGAGAATCACCCAGATGACAAGATTTTAGGTATGTACTAGATATGAAGATCAACTCATTGATGAAATTCGGCTGACCGGTCTTGGAACCTTTTAGTTTTCACCCAGTTTGTCATGTCTGGAAAGATTTTGGGCTACATGCTGGGCCAGCTCGGGATGGAGTTCCTCTATCTTTATGGCAGCATCGATGATCGCGGGCGAAAGAAGGCCATTGACGCTTTCAAGGCAGAACCCAATAAGAAGATTATGGTGAGAGAGAATACGTGGCCCTCCCTTGCCTGCGAGCTCAGCTAACAACTCCATTCCTAGATTGTCGGGCTGAAGTGCGGCGGCCAGGCGTTGAACCTGACAGCAGCAAACCGAGTTATACTTATCGACCCCTGGTGGAACAACGTCCAAGAGAATCAGGCCTTTGGTCGCGTATGGAGACATGGACAGACCAAGGAGACACATTTGGTTCGCATATGGGCAAACACGCCTATGGATCAACATATTTTCGAGCTCCAGAACGACAAGGCAGCGTCAGTGGACTATGCTCTGCAGGATGATAACCACAAGCCTGCAGTCCTGGACGACGGAAGGCTGCAGCAACTCTTTGCACCCATCCATAGAGTAAAGCCGAAGGCGGCAAAGCAGAAGAAAAAGTGAAACACCGTGAACTCAGAACAGAAAAGCGGTTAAGACGAGGACGTGTCATCGCCACTAAATGATGCGCTCTTAGATTATGGGACCGGAGTACATCCAATCTAGCACCTGAGGCTTTATTCATGCCATCTAGTAGGGAGATGTCTTAGCTTAATCGCCGACTTTGTTCGAGAATAGCTGAGGATCGAGATGCAACACTGGGTTTCGGCGTTGGGAAGTATTGAAAATTACGGATTCTATTGGTCAGATGCGATTGAAATGAATGGGATTCTTTAGGGAAATTTTTTGAAATTCGCAAGAAATCAAGCTCTCTTGCGAGATATTTTCGATGGATTGCACAACAACACTGCTCACTTGCTTCGTTACTTGGGATTGGTTGGGACGATATTTTCGCAAATAAGGCATATGGGATCGGCGGGTATTATCGGTACAAGAGGTTAGAGATGAAACTAGATTATATGGATGGAAATGAATTAAAAGCAACTGAACAGTTAAACTACATCTCGTTTTAAATGAGAAATCTGCATGTGATTTCAAGCCTGGAGACAGGAGTTGAGTCTTGGATGAGCGACGCGTAAAGTGTGTGGCCCAAGCTCCATCCACGTATCTCACCAAATAACCCACCCACATGCTTTAATTCTTGACAGCTTGCCCCCCGACGAGCGTTCGATATCTGCTAACCCTGCGACCTATAGGAACAGACCCATCCTCTGCTTCTAATTTCAATGATCAGTTCTCCCTCCTAATTTTTCTTCACCCGCCGAGTCCCGCTCGAGCGTCTTCCTTCCCCGATCACGATGCCCCTCCCTTTCGCCTACGAAATCGTCGTCAACGGCCCTCCCGACTGGCTTCGCAAACATGCCTTCACGATCCTCTACTCGGCCATCGCCGTAGCCACTCTCGTGCTGCTGAAGCTCTACACATCCGGTCGCACCAACCTCTCCGACCGCAACCTCCACGGCAAAGTCGTGCTAATAACTGGCGGAACCTCCGGGATAGGTTCGCGCGTCGCACATCATCTCGCCTCCCGCGGTGCACAGCTGGTTCTCCTCACGCAGACCCCCGTCTCCGACCCCTTCCTCGTCGAGTACATCCAGGACCTACGAGATCGATACCGCAACCAGCTCATCTACGCCGAGCAGGTCGACCTCTCGAGCCTACACAGCATTCGAAAATTTGCCACGAAATGGATCGACAACGCCCCCCCTAGACGGCTGGATATGATTGTCCTCTGTGCGGCGACCATGACGGCCCCCAATGGGAAGAGGAAGGAGACGGCAGAGGGGATCGAGGAGACGTGGATGGTTAATTTTCTGGCCAACTTCCATCTGCTTGGTATACTCAGCCCGGCGATCCGGGCACAGCCCGTCGATCGAGATGTGCGTATCGTCATCGCCTCATGCTCTTCCTACATTGGGTCGATCTCCCTGAAGGAAACCTTTGACGAGAGCAACTGGACCCCTGGCATGGCCTACGCCCGCAGTAAACTAGCACTGCTGTGTTTCGGCCGTGCGTTTCAGAAGCACCTGGACTCCTACAAACGACCCGACGGTCTCCCCATGAGGGCAAGAGTTATCTTCGCCGATCCGGGCTTCTGCCGTACCACGGGCACTCTCAGATGGATCACCAGGGGCTCCCTTTTTGGCCTCGCACTCTATCTAGGAGCCTACTTTGTTCCCTGGTTTCTGCTCAAATCAGCAAACCAGGGCGCCCAATCTTTTCTCTACGCTTCTATGGAAGAGGGTCTCGGCAGAGGTGAGGGTGCAAAGTTGATCAAGGAGTGTCAGGAGGTAGATTTTGCCCGTTCAGAAGTGAGAGACGAGGAGGTGGCGAAGAAGCTTTGGGAGGAGAGTGATGCGTTGATTGAGAAGGTGGAAAAGGCCGCGGCGAAGAAGAGAGCTTCGGAAAAGGTCAAAGAGACCAAGTCTGCCGAGGCAAAAGAAGACCAGGAGAGGGCAGAGGAGATCGAGAGCTTGATGAGCGCTATCAAGAAGGGCAAGGCTAAGGAGGCTGAGAAGCAGACGGCGAACAAGAACAACGCTAGCAACGAGACCGGGAAGGCCGACGGTTCAGGAAAAGCTAGCAAAAGGAAGAGCAAGAAATAATGCCAACGATTTAGCACACGGGAACGGATAGACAAAAGAAATAGAACGCCATTGAATTCACGATGACAGCGTGTGCTCCTTTCACATGTTCCCCTCATACATACTGTAGCAATTGGCTGGCGGGTATACCAGGACCTCTTTCTTTTGTGACAGTCAACCAGCCGAGGCACGGAACTCCACCATTTCGTTAATTCTCCTTACCCCAGGAAATAGTGACTCGGCCCTGTAGATTAGTCATCGTTCATGACGCAAGATAGGCATTGATTCCGTCTCGACGGCTATTAGGCCGATGGCCGACACAAAAGAAATACGGGAGCTTAGCACACGAGCTTCCTGTCTCATGCTTCTCTACCTTGTCTCCCTAGCTCTTTAATGCCTCCAGGTGCTCCTATCTCGTCGCCATGGGCCTCAGCTGCTACTCGGATCACACACCGGCCATGAGGCCAATCAATACGCTAGCTCCTCAACTTCACAATGCGACCACCATGCATCCTGCATTCTTCACAGATCGCTTGCGCAGGTCTCCCTTTGCCGGCATCTCAGGCACTGCCACCCACAGCCCCGTCACCTTCGGATATTCCTACCAAGAGACCATGAAAATAGGCTCTACTTTCAAATTATGAGTGTTCGGAACTAGTTCGGAAACCCAAGACCGTCGAATGAGGGGGCCACCTTCCGAAGGGCAGGTCTAGCCGATATGAATTTGGGTCGAAAAAAGAAACGAGCTGTGGCGGTATCGGACAGTTTCCATACTGGATCCGGGGCAGGGGTGATGGATTTCTTGCAAATGTTGGCTTGATTTACGCATATTGATACCATCTGCCTAGTTGGATGCAGACAGAGAACAGCGGGACGAGAGCGAGGAAGGCCTTCCAATGGGCTGGTGTTATTCTTTTTCTATTCTTTCAAGCCAGTTTTTTTGCCAGGTTGGGCATGGTGTATTAATTTTCTGCAGCCCAAGCAGTACGCTTGCTTCGCAGTTAGCATGAGCATCTGAACAGACAATGCACTGCCAGAATTTCAGCGTTTTACGAAATGAAATTGTTTGCTGCGGTATACAGAGAGGATGAGGGCCTAGCCTCAATGAACAAAAGAGAGTTACGCCTTAGAAATACATGAGTCGACGAATCCCACCAGGAACCCAAAAGAGCCCACCCAAGAGTTGCATATACCAATCCCACCCCGATACTGATCGCTCTTACTGTCCTTCCATCGATACTTCTTCGCCCGAGCTTCCCTGAACCGAATTTCCCTGCGTTATAAAGCAAATCGCGTCAACTGGGTTTCCAACTTCGTCCCAATGCTGGCTTAGTTCTTGAGAGCAACAACCAATCCTAAAATGATGAGAATGACAACAAGGGCAAGGAGAGCCATGAGCTTGACGTTCTTCCACCACATCTGGCGCTTGAGCCCCCGGCTCCGTACGCGGAAGTCCCGCGCGCTCCCACCAAGCCTGTCCGTCTTGTCCACCAGGAGATCCAGGCGCTCTCCCCTCTCCAGCAGACTCTCGATGTTCTTGGTCATGATGCCCCTGACGTCGTCAATCTCGCGCTTCGCGTTCCCGATCGCATCCTCCTGCCCGCTGGCCGTGGTGCCGTAGTCGACCATCAGGTTCTTCAGCTCGCCGTTGAAGGAGGCCGCCCCGTAGTTTGGCATGTCGGCAAAGTATGAGCCGACGGGAAACTGGGCGAAGAAGCGCTTGCGGACTTCGAAGAGGAAGCCAAAGGGGACGCGACGGCCGAGGGACGAGTCGGCGATGACGAGGAAGGTCAGGCCGCCGGCGCCGTTCTGGTCGGCATGATCGGCAAAGGACTCGGCGACGTAGTGGATCTGGTGCTGGCCGTGGGTATAGGTGAGCTTCTGCGCGCTCGTGTGCTCGATCTTGGGCAGGATGAGAGATGCGAGGGAGGAGGTCTTTGATGACGCTGAGGTTGTGCATTCGGAGAGGATGGTGGTATGGTGGGCGATGCAGGCGCTACAAACACCAGGGGAATTAGTATAAAAGTTCTCATAGAATGCGACAGCAATGGGAGGAAGTCATACTATAGGAGGGGGGTAGAAGGGGATGATGACGAAGCCATGGCTGCGATGTGGGATGGACGCTATACGTCAAAAGGGTGTTGTTGGATCTTCTTGAGTCGGGCGCAATCGGGCTTCACTCGTGTAATAGCAAAGGTGAGGCAGGCTCCAATCAATCAAGCATCAAAAAGCAAAGAGATAAAGAATGGAAGCAGGTCCGAAACATTTGTAGGAGACGGTTGCCGAAGAGTAATTGGGTGCCTGGATGGTATGATGCATCGAGATGCGACGCCTGAACTCAGCGATTACACCAATCAGCTATCTTACGTCATCAACTTCTTCACATGGTGATGCATTAATCAGTTTCAGTGAGTCCCTGATCGGCGAAAGGTTCGACCGACGATTTCTACCTAGTGCCGCCTTGCCTCTATACCGTTGATGCATCTCATTGGCGCGCGGCAGCCAACAGGGTCCGTGGACCCAGAAAAAAAAGTCGACCAAGTTAGGCTCATTCAACACGGTGATGCTTTGAATTTCTTTGGTTGATGAAGGTAGTCACCCGTTGCTATATGGTTTTGATTTGTTTCACATTTCTTCTTCCCTAGAATATGGTGCCACATCCCTTTCTTTTTCTGTAATGAGAAGTCTACGGACTCCGAGGGCCCTGGAGGCTCCTGCATGTCGCCGATACATTTCATCAACGCCATTGACTTGCCTGCATGCCAGTTCACCAAATTATCGAGGAAAGGAGCAGACGACGAAACCTAGTCGAGGAAGGGCCCAAAAGAAGCCTGCACCATGGATTCAGGATGTTGTCAGTGGCCACAGGCCCAAGATCGATGCAAGGCTTGATGATCGTGAAAAGCATCATTCGGTAATGATGGCATGCACCCTGTCGGTTTACACATAAAAATGACTAACATACAACCTTACAGGAGAATCAGGTCCATGACCCAAGAACAAGACTACGGGTGCCTATCGAAGGCAAGCTTGCAAAGCACCATGCCCTCCTCAGGAAGACCGTCTTGGCCCGTCTCCAAGACGTGCTAAATGACCTTACTCGTTCTGAGCAGTCAGGCGGTGATGCCGGCAAGGAGCGACTACAGCAGGAGGCTATCTTGTTCATGAACTCGATTGATAATGCTTTCCTTCTCGCACAGCAAAACATCACTCGCAAGGATAAGAATCCCCTGTTTTGGAATCTGCGAGATGCCTTTATCCAGGGTCACAACAAGGCCCTCATCGGCGAGGTCCGGTATGCGTTCCAGTCCTTCATGGTTCGGAATCGCTTCTCCCGCGGCATGGACAAGTGCCAGAAGAACCTGCTTGACTTCAGATTTCCTCAAGAGTGGCTACCAGGAACACGAGAGATGCAGCGGACCATCCATGTCCACGTCGGCCCGACCAACTCAGGAAAGACATACAATGCGCTCAAGGCTCTAGAAAACGCAAAAAGTGGTGTCTACGCCGGGCCGTTGCGATTGTTGGCTACCGAGGTGTATCACCGACTTACGGCCAAGGGCCTGCCCTGTGCCCTGATCACCGGCGAAGAGGTCAGGTTACCCGATACCACAGACCAATACTTTTCGAGTTGTACTGTGGAGATGGTGCCTCTCAATGGGAGGGTTGATGTCGCTGTCATTGATGAGATTCAGATGATTGGTGACTCGGAGCGCGGCAATGCATGGACGATGGCTTTTCTTGGTATCCAAGCAAAGGAAATGCACGTCTGCGGCGAAGAACGAGCCGTGAAGCTCATAGAGTCTCTATGTGCAAGCATCGGTGACAAATGTATCGTGCACCGGTATGAAAGATTAAGTCCCCTCGCTACAATGGATGATGCCTTGGGCGGTGATCTCTCTCAACTCGAAAAAGGAGACTGCGTCGTCGCTTTCAGTCGTCTTTCCCTGCACACCCTGAAACGGAGTATTGAGAGACACACGGGACGACGATGTGCTATCGTCTATGGTTCACTCCCCCCTGAAGTTCGTGTCCAGCAGGCAGCTCTTTTCAATGACCCAGACAACGACTATGACTACATTGTTGCCAGCGATGCTATCGGGATGGGCCTTAACCTTGAGATTCGCCGTGTGATCATGGAGTCGATCTTCAAGTTTGACGGAGCCCAGAATCGCACGCTTTCAGACCCGGAAATCAAGCAAATCGGCGGTCGAGCTGGACGTTTTCGAACAGCCAGCCGACCTAGCGCCGAGAATGAGAGTTCACAGGGAGGGCTCGTTACAACGATGGACTACGACGATCTAGTTAGGGTCCAGGACGCATTCTCGAAGCACGTCCCGGACATCGAACACGCCTATATCGAGGCTCCTCCAGGCATCATTGAACGATTTGCCTCATACTACCCACCCGAGACACCGCTCTCCTTTCTTTTAATGCGAATACGGACTGCGGCCGCGATAGGGGAGCAATATAAACTGAGCCTTCCGAACGACAGGATCCAACTTGCCGACCTTATATCGGAATTTCCCCTTACCATCTGTGACAAGCTCACATTATGTTTCGTCCCGACAAGACTCTCGTCAGAACGAGGCCCCATGGTTATCCGCGCGATGGCCAAGATTTTGGCAACCAACGCTCCTGGAGATCTCCTCTCCATCAAGGAGATCCCGCTCGAGTATTTGGATATGGACATGTCGGAGCCTCATAAACACGGGGCGGACTATCTCGAAAAACTGGAGGAGCTCCATGTTTCCATCAACAGCTATGTGTGGCTCTCTTATCGATTCACTAGCGTGTTCCGCGATCAGGCCCTTGCCTTCCATGTGCGATCACTGGTGGAGGAACGGCTGATTGATATTTTGGACAAGTTGGATTTCACCGAACAGGCACTGTACAAGAGACGACAGTATGAACGCAGGAAAGCCCAGACGGATCAGATGAGTCAAGAGATGATGCGACAAGAGATTGAGGATGGGATGATGGAGAATGGATTCCTCCCCGAAGATGAGGTGGCATCAAAATTGGAGGAGCTAGTAGAGGCGTCTCGTGGAGCGGCGAATGCGAATCGTGGAGCCGAAGATGCGTATCATGGAGTCGAGAGCTCATAAACTGCGTGGTAGTTCTCCTCTCCTCTCCTCCCCCCCTCCTCGAAGAAGGATGGGCCGCCTGGGGCATTCGCTTGGTGCTCATCAGGGGAGCATTGATGAATAATTGACGTGCAGGCGGGCGTTGAATATGACTTGCATAGGGCTTGTATTATAGTGGAATGTACAGTACCATACTTTTATCCCGCAGCGACATGTACAATAGAACAAATCAATAGAAAAAAGCTGAATTGAAGATGCCACACGATTGCATTCCCATCCAAGTGGCTGAAATAACACATGGAACACCTAGTAGACACTCCAGCGTTGATCTAGTAGTAAATGAAACATCAAGCTGAATATCGTGGAATAATTCATTATTCTCTCATTATCGTGCTTAATATAAAACAAGGTTCCTTCCTGCCTTACGTGGCAAGAGCTTTGGTGTGCCATGTTTCATTTCAGCTACTTGGCACCATCAACTCCTCCAAGCCAGTTCCAGTGTCAACATACCTAGACAAACAAAGCTAAAGAGGTGCGCGTGCAGTAGCTGCATTGAATGAAGTTGGTGGGGTAATTGCCCCATAGGTACCCCTAGGGTTTCCCATTTTTGGGGGATGTTGGTCCACCGGGAAGGCTAATTTTAGGCTGCACGGGCTCCTGGTAGGTTCCATATTAGATGGAATCTACTGCACCTCATCTCACCTACCGCATGGGATGGAAGTCCCAACATGCCAGGCAGCCGCGCAGATGGTCTGGTATCTGGCACATCTTGATAGATCCCTATTGGTACCTAGATTTGGCTGCTCGGTCGGCCCATGCAGGCGATCACGGCTCGCGTGAATGGATGGATGTTCACCCTAATGAATTGAAACACCTGTGCGAGTCAGCCCACAGTTGCCTGGGCGCCGGATGTACCTGCCTGTGTCGTAGGTGCTGCCTGTGTTGTGTCTGCCCACCTAAGCTCAGGCGCTGCTGCTGTAGCGTGCGGCTAAATCGGAGGAAGTTCCCGTGTCAGCCCTCCGCCATGACAATGCTCCTCTGTCCATTCACTGTTTCCACCACGCACATAGAGTTACCAGAGCATCAGAGGGGCTTCTTTGTCAATGTGGTATCCCGCCAGAATACATTAGCTCCTCCCTGCGTCAACAGCTGAAAATTCCCTCACATTTCATTATCGTCTTCCGCACCGTGCCTTGACGACAACCCACTGCGAGACCAGTCCTGGGCGCTCCCAACAGACTGCAGCATCTGACGATGCCAGCAGCTGCCTTCGCACACCTCCCAGACCCTCTCATCCCCCTCGACCAACACACCACTACCAAGATGATGACCCACGAGGCCGCCGCCAGTGCGCCGTACACGCGACGACCACCGAGCCCGCCGATGATCCCAGTCCCTGTCTTCACGCAACCACAGGCTCCTGGAGCCCCTCGCGGCATCTCCATGTTCCCCTCCTTCGACAATGTCGACTGCAGCCAGCTCTCTATCCAAGATGTCAAAGCCATCGTCGGAACGCAGCCATACATTGCTCTTGGCTCGGCTGATGGGTGGAGATACGAGCAGCGGCGTAAGGCGCAACGCATTCTCGACTTCATGTACCTCGGCCCGATCAATGCAATTCGAGACTTCGACTTTCTCAGAACAGAAGGCATCACTATGGTCATGGTCATCCGAGATTCGCGCATGACATCGCGCATCTCGAGCCTTGACAGAGCTAGGGAGGAGTTGAACGTTGCCTCGCAGTACGTCGGCGTGGGCTCCCAACAACATCTGATCCAGGAGCTACCTGACCTAATTCGTCACATGAATGAACATCTCCTTAAAATGCGTCAGATTTCTCCCAAGTCAGGCAGAGTTCTAGTTGCATGCGAGACCGGCAATGATAGGTCCGCCATTGTTGTTGCAGCATACATTATGGCGGTCTTTGGCAAAAGCCTGCGAGACGCTCTTCAGTTCATCAACATGCAGCGTTTCTGCTGCATCTTCGATGAGGATGCGAAGCGTTTGCTCCTGGCTTGGGAAGACATCATCAAGGCGCGAGGGGCCATTGCCAGAAGCCAATCTGATCAATTCACGGCCAGCATCCACTCAAAGCGCCGGATCGAAGAGTCTGACGAAACTGATTTCGACAGCGGCTGTCATCTAAGTGACCGCGTAAACGACCTTCAGATAGGGGGCCGGCGAGCCTTTGAGCCGTTTGTGGACCGCGAGATGTCCTAGCTTTCTTGTGCTGAAATCAGCACAGCATCCACGTCTTACTGCTGGGATCGTGGAAAGGCTAGATTAGTTCATTTTGCGGGGAAGCTTATTTCTGGGTATTGCAAATGGTTCATCAATAGGAGTCAGGCGCACTTGGCTTCTCGCGGTTTTCAAGGCGACCATGGTGAGCTCACTTTTTGTGTACCAGCACATACTAACTATCCGCTACTAAGTATGTATTGGGAGGGAGGTAAACAAGCAATCGCCATGAGTTTGCCATGCTTTTCTGGATGCGGTTTGTATTCTCTGATGCTTTACTTTGTTATTTATGCATCTTTTTCTTCTTCTCCTTGCAGGCGCAACGGAACAATGGACCAGGGCTACGGTATAGACGGGGAGGACTCATAGTTAGATCCTTCATAAATCAGACAAAATCTCTTTTTACGACGCAGGCTCCCGCATGCTGAGGCGTTTGGTGTGGCATGATGGACGAGAAAAGGCAGCGCCAGAGCTTGCTCTCTCACCCAGTTCTCACCCCCCTCTCACCTTCTCACCCTCTCACCCGGCCTCAACAATAGCCACATGCACGCAACCGCGAGCCACAAACCACCGCGCGGGCACATTTAATCAACACATTCTTCTGCCCACAGCACCCTGCTTTTATTTCTGCAAGAACACGTTCAATTCCATCCATCCTCCCTGTGCAAAACGTCAAGCCAGGTCCAGGGCGGATGCCTTGAGCACATGGTCGCTAGCCCTTCCCCGATCTTCGTCTCTTTTCTTTTCTTTTTCTCGTCGTTTCGATTTCCCGGCGAAACCTTTGGCCCTGTGCTCTCGTTTTTACCATCACCATCCAGTGTGCTTCTCGATCATGTTTCCTCCAGAAAATTTCCCAGAGTACCATTTTCCTTATATCGAACCCGCCGTGTTTGATTTCCCATGCGAAGGAAATGCCGAAGATGCATATTGCTCGACTCTGCTCTGGAGGGGGAGAACTGACCAACAGCCCCAGCCCCAACCCCAACACATTGAAGAATTAATCCACGATCAAACCACCACATGGGAGGACTTGAGCACAGGAGCTCAATGGATTATACTGGAGATTCTTTGTCAAGATGGCCTGTCCGAGGGTGGAAGTCCAAGAGGCTTTGCATCGATTATCACCACCGTCCTACGGCTCTCACGCGCCCAGATCCAGACATTCCTAACCACATACATAACCCAATACGAAGCATACAAAGAATGGAAGAAGACGCTAGGCAACATCGACTGGGACAAACTCAAACAACTTGCCTCCAATGCGAACAGATCTATCCTCGATCTACTTCCCTCGGGCAGGCCAGATTTGAGCTTCGACCGCATCTCCAACCAAGAGATGGAAACGGCCGCCAGTTTCCTCCAATCGCACCGCTTGGGCCGCTTCTCAGAGATGCTCTTTGACTGGGTTGGGCTGAATATCCGCCAGAACTTCTTAGAACTGCCTATTGAGATCGAAATTCTGCAAGACTGCCTTGATGCTCAGCTCCTTCGAAGGGCACACGCGAGGGGCCTGATCGATCTAGATGCCGTGGAACGCCGGTACCGTGACGTTTGCGACGATGGAAATCTCCAAAGCCGAGTGCCCTCCGACGTCTTCGCGTCCATCAGAGGCCACGACGCGCATCCCGGTGAAGGGACCGTTCCTGCTTCCCAGACCAAAAGAGGGCGTCGACAGACTGCCGCCGCAGACAAGAAGGCCGGTCGTGGCCGGCAACCAACCAAGAGCGTCAATGACAATAAGCGGAAGAAGAGAGCCGACTCTGTCAACGCGGGAGCTGTTGGCGCTTCCAGCCCACCACCCAACGCGGGGGCACAGCGGGCGAGGACCCGACCGCAGAGTTGCAAAGAGGCGACCGAGGTACGTGAAGCTCTTAGGAGACAGTTCTTTTGCCACGCTCAGCCGTTCTTGCCGGGCCACTTTGTTTCCACCCTCGTTGAGCAACAGCGTTCGCCAACTCGCACGTTCAAAATGACTAATTGTCAGTTTGAGTGCCAGCCCCCGAGTAAGGATGTCATTACCGTCTCACGTCCGGCGTCTGCGAACTACCGTATTGACAGAGGTCCCGAATCTCCTGAACATGTCGTTGAAACTACGAAGGGCGACGTCCTGGCTCCTTCTGCACTCGAGAAGCAGCCTGAAGATCCGGGCAATGCAGATGATTCGAATGCTAGCTTTGGCAATGAACAGCCCCCGCCGTTCCTCGTCGGCTACCAATCTCTTAAACAGGGCGTTGTTCAGGACAACCCGCTACGCACTGGGTTGACCACGGAGAACCTTAGAGAACACCAAGGGGAGGTTAAGCATTCGCTATCATCAAGGCAGATTCCAGAGAGCATGAAAGTACATCGCGGTGGGGAGAGCAAGCCGGAACGACCTTACATTCCACTATCGATGAAGAACGCATCCAGCGACGGGGTATTCCAGTACTCTGAAGAGCCCTCATTGCTGAAAAAAATGGACAGAACTACCGTCTTCAGAAAAGCCGCAGCCCCCTGCCCTGGCGATCAGGACCAATCCACGGCGGCGAGCCAACTGCGAGAGGCTCTCGATACACGATACCAAAGTTACCTTGAGTCCCCAGAGGCCCCGGTCCCGCCTCGGAGAGAGCGCAAGCCCAGCCGCCGGGTGAGAGACAACTATTTGGTCGATGCTGCAGCTGCGCCCGATTCGGACGGCGATGATGACTATGTCCCAGAGACCGAGAAGGTCTCGAAACGTAAGAGACCTCACATATCACACGCTTTTGCAGATCAGGATAACCAATCAGGAATAACCCGTCTCCGTTCAGAGGTAAATAAACGGAAGGCGAACCAAGCACCGTCTTCTTTAGCTACAGCTGCTGGATCTGTTAGTTCAGCACCATCAGAAGATTCCCAGGCTATTGAGAACAGCAACCAGGCAAGTTCTTCTGTTAGTGTTGCTTCTAAATCTTCCTAGGACAATATACTACTGGAATTTTATCGCATTTTTGGGTTATTGGGTCTAATTATAACATATTTACACAGTCTTTTACATCGGGCGTTGGCGTTATTCCTCCTCCACCTGCTACTACGGCCTCGGGCAACATGCCACCCCAAGCGAGGTCCGGTAGCAGGGCTAGATTCTCGTCATCAACTCGGAAGGTCGAACCAATCTTCGGCCAGTACAGGAACAGGGTTCTGACCACGCAGCGAGGCAGGCTGGGGACGACGTGGTACGCCTGGTCGGCCTGCCACGCCGAGTTTGCCGCCACCACGGTCAAGGCCCGGTTCGCTCTGCGGGCAGACAGAGCCTCCGGTGGTGGTGGTGGTGGAGCTTCCCGGGCGTTGAGCCAGGAGGATGTGAAGATGATAATTAAGGAGCAGCAACAGTTCGCGGCGGCCGAGCGTGCCGTGCAGGGCGACGTTGGCCAGGACGCTGAGCGGGCCCAGTATGCTGGGTGTGCTGATTTTGCAGTTTACGCTCTGTATGCTGAAGAAGCGGAATTTGCGCGGGAGTTTCTTTTGTCTGATCATGAACAGGGAGAGGGAGAGGGTCAGGGTGAAGGCGAGGGTGGGGTGACGGAGATGGAGGGGGTCGACGAGCAGAATGAGGATGTTATCATGGACGGATGAATTTTCTTTACAAACGGTCTTTGCATTACGGTTACAGAATGGGGTTTTACCTGGCGATTGGGATTTGGTTCTATTTGGTCACGGATGGACTAGCTGTAGTCCAAAGTTGAACACATTCGCTCAACACAGGACCTACTACGCTATGCTATCATGGAGTTATGGGTGACAGCCCGGTACGATTTGGGTCAGGTATTTGATTTCTTTAGTCTAAGTTTCGGTCAGGAGTATGCATGGCATTCAACGCTGGATTTGGGCTTGCATCTGGTCGGCCAAGTCGGTTTGCGATTTATGGATTGGTTTGGAGGCGAAAAATGGCAAAGGCTCGAGATAAAGAAGGAAGGTTATGGAAAAAGCATGCAATCTCTAGACTAGCATGCATCTCATGAATTATGATTCAACAAAATTCAGTCATGCTGCCTGATTTCTCCTTGTGACACTGCATGCAAGTGATGCTGCGGCGTTGTGGCGAACAAACGAACAAAGACAACGGTATAGAGACAATAGGCGGGATCCTGCTTTGGAAGTGGCCATTTATTATTCGCTAGGATCATTATCCATTGCTTCAGAAGGTTCGCGTCTTGATTTTCCCGCGTTTCATGACAATCCGCGCGAACAAACAAGTGTTTTAAGCGGCTGCGGCAGGCACGTGCACCCTTTGTTGAGCTGCACCTTCCCGTCACTCCTCCTTTTCGCTGCTTCTCCTCACAATTTCTTTTTTTCAGTTCCAGGCCAGTTTATTCTTCTCACTCAGGAGCTTTTCCAGTATCTTGCTACCTTCCCAAGCGCGAAGTATTTCCCTCTCCGAGACCTGTTACCCACCCAACACTCGTCGTACCCTTCACAGAGATGGCTTCGCTATCAGAGGAGCTCAGCCTGAAGGGTGACACAAGCATTGAAGAAAACCCTCCGCTTGATGAATCACTTTCGGACGATGAAGACGACGATACCTACAGACTGAATGTCAATCCAGAGAATCCCCGAGAGATCTCAGAAAAGAAACGTCGAGACCTGGCCATATTCGAAGCATGGGCGAACGAGAACCAACGCGAGCTCTCCAAGCCGATGGAGGAGCTTGCCAAGGAGGCAGAGAAGCTTTCTTTGTCCAGAATGTTCGACGACGGCGGCACCAGGAAGATTATTGCCAGCCCCCGCGAATATCAAACGGATCTCTTCGAACGTGCCAAAGAGAGGAATATCATCGTGGTTCTTGATACAGGTAGGTGGGTATTATCATATTGCTAATTTACCATCTCTGACACTCTAAAAATCCAGGATCCGGTAAAACGCTTATTGCCGTCCTCCTCATGAGGCACATCCTCGAAAGGGAACAAGAATCCATCGCCCAAGGCCGTCCGAAGAAGGTCGCCTTCTTCATCGTCGACAAGAACGCTCTGTGCTATCAACAGCACTCCGTCCTGAGGCACAATCTCGAGTTTCCAATCGCGAAGCTCCATGGAGAAGTAGCGGGGTTACGAAGTTCAAAAGAGTTTTGGGACTCGCAGCTGGAGGAGAACATGGCCATCGTGTGCACTGCGCAGCTTCTTCTTGATGCACTGAGAAACGGGTTCATCGCCATGACCCAGGTCAATCTCCTCATCTTTGACGAAGCCCATCACGCGAAGAAAAATCACCCTTACGCTCGTATCATCAAGAACTACTACATGCGACAGCCCAGCGAATCACGTCCCCGCATCTTGGGCATGACTGCTTCTCCGGTGGATGCGCAGACGAGAGACATGCGGGCTGCGGCTGCAGAGCTAGAGCTTATGCTCTGTAGCGAGATCGCAACCGTCTCGGACGCCGCGCTCCTCCAGGGATTTGAACAGCGAAAGTTGGTGGAGAGTGTTGAGTGGTTTGATGGCCCGCCATCCGTCGAGGAATCCAAGACGGACCTGTGGGCGAAGATTTCCGAGCAGGTATCATACAATCCTGAGTTTCGTGCCGCTCTTGAGTATACCAAGGACGCATCTTCAGTCCTTGGCCCCTGGTGTGCCGATCGTTATTGGTCTCTGTTCGTCACCGACACAGAAATAGTGAAGCTGGTGGCCAAGACTGAGCGAGACCATTTTGATGTCGCAAGTGCTGCTGACCATTCTGACAAGGCTATATCTGCAGTTCAAAACGTCAAAGAGATCCTGAAATCTCACGAGATTGTCCCTGTCTCCAAGGACCTGGATCGGATCTCGCCCAAGGTCAAAGTTCTATGGGAAATTCTCGAAAACGCATTCCACCGACAGGAAACAAGTCGTGCGATTATATTCGTAGAGCAGCGGCCAACTGCAGTCCTGTTAACAGACGTGTTTCAGCAGCCTGGGATGGAAATCGAGGGCTTGATGCCTTCGTATATGGTATGTCATGCTAAGATCAAGCTTTGTGGCTTTCATTTGTGCTAACGGAACAACCAGATCGGCACACAGTCCGCCGGGTCGAGCTGGCCAACGATGACCTTTCGCGATCAGATTGTTGCGCTTCAGAAGTTCAAGTCCGGGGAGACAAATTGCCTTTTTGCAACCCCTGTAGCAGAGGAAGGCATCGACGTTCCAGAGTGCGATTTGGTCATCCGCTTCGACCTGTATAATTCCGTCATCCAGTATATTCAGTCAAGGGGCCGGGCAAGGCAGACCAACTCCCGATACATAAACATGATTGAGACAGACAACATCAGAGACTTGAGAAGGCTTAAGCAGGCGAGCAGAGACTCAAACACGTTGCGGCAGTTCTGTGCTGCTCTTCCGTCCGATCGAAAAGTCCAAGATGGCACAATCCTGGACGCTGATGCCCTAGTACGGGCAGAACAAATTGGGCAGAAGAGCTATGAGACTGAACTTGGTGCTCGCCTCAGCTTCGAAAACAGTATCGAGGTTCTTGAGAAGTTTGTCTCCACCCTGACGATGGGAATCCGTCGCTACTTTACCGAATACATTGTCATGCCTGCTGGGAAGAAGTTCGTTGCCGATATTATCCTTCCGGAATCTTGCCCCGTTAGTCGTGTCACTGGCCATCCCCAACGAAACAAACAATTGTCAAGATACTCGGCGGCTTTCGAAGCTTGCATGATCTTGATCCAGAAGAAGTTCATCAATGGACACTTGCAATCTTCCTTTGCCAAGAAGCTGCCGGCCATGAGAAACGCCAGGCTAGCTATAAGTCCTAATAAAAAGGCAGAATATCCAATGCTAGTTAAGCCTCAAATATGGTCAGAACTTGAAACCGAGACTCCAACACAGCTGTTCCCGACCATTCTGGCTATAGTGCACCCTCAAGGGTTGGGGCGTCAGTCTCGGCCTCTTCTTCTACTATCGAGGAGAAAGCTTCCCTCAATCCCTGCCATTCCTTTGTTTTTTGGGAACGGACATTCTTCACATGCTATGATCATCCCTGCGGATCACCCGTTAGAATTATCACCAGCGCAGATTGATGACATTGCCACTTTCACCCTCAAGGTCTTTATTGACCTGTTCAGCAAGGAGTATGAGGCAGGCCCCAGTGAAATCCCTTATTTCTTCGCTCCTATTGAGGGTTCGCATAGTTCAGTAATTGCAGCTGAAGAGGCTGTGGTAGATTGGGCCTGCCTCAAAGAAATGCTGGCAGATCCATATCTTAGCTGGAAGAACAGGCCAGACGAGTTTTTTCGAAACAGATTCGCCCGGGATCCTCTAGACGGCTCTCGGAAGTTTATTTTTCACGATATTAACAAGACGCTGACGCCCAATGACCCAACACCAGCGTATGCTCCACCGCTGAAATCCCGTGCTTATCGAGAGGTGGCACAAATCATCAAAGAATACAGCAACAGCCTGTATATCAAAGGCAGGAAGCAAGCAGTATGGGATGATGGCCAACCAGTAGTTGATGCAGAGTTGATGTCCTTACGACGCAACTTTTTGGATCAGTTTTTCGTTGACGATGCGAGGGATGCCAGGTGCTGTGTGATTCCAGAGCCTCTTGATATCTCTTCGATTCCAATGGATATCATTTCCATGGCAAATTTGCTCCCTGCCCTTCTGTTCCAACTCGATCAGTATTTGATTGCTTTAGAGGTTTGTTCTCTGCTGGGGCTGGACATACTTCCTGGCCTGGCCCTTGAGGCGATCACCAAGGATGGTATGGAAAATGAAGACGATAGTTACGGCCAAAATAACTACGAACGTTTAGAGTTCTTGGGAGATACCTTTCTCAAGATGTCGACAACAATAGCGCTCTTCACTCTCAAACCAGAAAGCACCGAGTATGAATATCACGTTGAGCGAATGCTGCTTGTTTGCAACAACAATCTCTTCAACCATGCAGTTGACCGCGAGCTGCAGAAATTCATTCGCTCCAAATCATTTGACCGGAGAATCTGGTATCCAAACTTGAAACTAAAAAAGGGAAAGGCCCCGAAGCTCGAGCTTCATCACGACCTTGCCGACAAGTCAATTGCAGATGTCTGCGAGGCCTTGATCGGTGCGGCGTATCTCAGTAGTGATAACATGGATATGGCAGTCAAGGCCGTTACTGCCATGGTCAAGAGCAAGAAACATAAAATGCAATCATTCGCGGAATACTACCAAGCCTACAAAGTTCCAGGCTGGCATTTCCCCGAGCGAGTACCAACAGCCCACGAATACACGGCGCAGGCCGTTGGAAAGAAGGTCGGGTACACCTTTGAATCGCCTTCTCTGGCCCGCAGCGCCTTCAAGCATCCATCCTGGACATGGGACAACATCCCCAACTATCAGCAGCTTGAGTTCTTGGGTGATGCTCTCCTCGACATGAGCATTGTTGACTACCTCTTTCGAACATTCCCCAAGGCTGATCCCCAATGGCTGACTGAACACAAAATGGCAATGGTATCGAACCAGTTCCTTGGTTTTCTCTGCGTGCGTCTTGACCTCCACCCGCACATGATGAGCACAACTGCCTCCCTGGCCGGGCAAGTGAGCCAATACATCTCCGACTTGGAAATGGCAGAAGAGACGGCAAAGCTCCAGGCCGAGACCACAGGCACGGACATGCGT